GGAGAATCGGTCATATTTCCTAAGTATGACTTAAGCAATTAACCATATCGTTAAACAACTGATTTATACTTTGAAATATTTATAATATTGCTACTAACTGAGACAGCTTGAATGTTTCTATAAACACCCACGATACATGCTACATGACGTATAGATAGACAAACGACAAAAGACAACTTTCTCTCGACGAGTTTGTCTGTGCGCTCGCGCTCGCCTCTGTAAATATTCGATTGAGGTTCAATCAAGTTCGAAACGGCGGAAAGCCGGATGAGGTCGTGCAAATATGTATGGGTCAAAATAATACTATTTTACAAAAACGTGCGCACCTATGTCACCGATCTTGACGCGCTTTTGGTTTGTTATAGTACATGGTAAAAGAGATCCCAAAAACAAAATTTTAGACCCCCTCCCTCCTCATACACCCGCTATAAACGTCTTTTTTCTGTTTATATTTATTTCGAAGCCTTGAAGTAATTAAAAAATCTGAAAAAATTCATGACGGTACTTTTCAACAATCCAAACAACCTTGAATTTTTTCAGATTTTTTGAGTGCTTAGTCCTTCAGATAAAATCATTGAAAAGTTTGAATACTTATATACGGTGGCGCTACGATGCAATATAAAGCCTGAACTTTTTTTCACTCATTTTTTCCATGAAAATACATTACCTTGAATTTTTTCAAATTTTTGAGTTAAGGTGATAGTGTCTATGGCCGAAAAACGCTATTTTCAACAATTTCCTCGTCGAATTTAAATAAATTCTGATCCTTTCATTTTTTCGATTGAAGCTTCATAGCTCAATCTAAAGCATCACAAAGATTAATACGAAATTCTGAAGGCATTTGAAAAATAATGTAAGCATGATAAATGTCTTGCTTCCTTTAAAAGCGAGGCGCCCGGCCCAGCAAAGGAAGTCGTCTCTCGCCAGCCAGCTAGAGCACATCGACTCTCGTCCTCGCGCTCGCGTCGAGGAGCTCTCGAGAGTTTTGACCTAGGGCAACTTCTTAATAGTGAACTGGGTCAAATCACAAATACTCGCCTTATAATTTCATCATCTTTTCTACTTTAGAGCTTCTGGCTCGGACGCCAGGTGGCGCAGCGCCACGAAAAACTCGTGCCCGCAAGAAGAAGAGTCGAGTTCAGAGTACATGTATACACACAATTATACGTTATATATCAAGAGAAAATTTTTGAATTCTCATTTTTGATTGTTTGGCTCTTCTCAAAAATTCTTTATGAAGTTCTTCATAAATTTGAATTGCGGACTCGCAGTGTCTCTTAAATTGTAAACTTCGCACCACAATGGGATCAGACTGAGTTGCTGTATCAATTGCGCTATGAATGAGATTCATGATTGCAACAAGTCTCTTGGCATCGAAAGATTTTTCCTCAATAGCAATGTCCGTTTCGTCATTAGGAGCGTAATTTGAAATTTCTTCAAGCTCTTCGACTAAGTAACTCGGTTGCTCCGAGCGTACAATAGGTAAGACATCAGAAGTTGCCATGTCTTCAATTCATTGACGTCGAAACGTCTAGCAATAACAGCCACTCGTTCACCACTTCTCAAAAGATTGAGCACTTTTAATTTTTCCGCGAGATTCAAGCCTTTCCTTGTTGGCTTTAACGATTTCCTTGGACTCGGTGCCATTGCAGTTAAATAAAAATATAAATCAAATGATAGAAAGGACTCTCCAAAAAAATACGTGTACATCGATGTCAAAAAAATATATTATTTAAAAAAATTGTACGCGTAAACAATGAACATTGCTACGTAAATACGCGTCATAGGGTTCCAAATAAATCCGCGTTATATGAGGGGTCGGAACATTCGATAAACCACGTTATCTTATTCTTATATCTTATATTTATATTTTATTTATTTTTTTTCTTTTTTTTCTTTTTTTTTCTCTACTTATAAAAAAGAGAACGGCCAAAAAGTGAAGCCGCGTAAAACGACCTCTGATTGGCTGACACTGACGACGACGCCCGACGCGAGCCGACTCTATACGAGTGCCTGTGCTGCTAACTGTCAACAGATAGTTAGTACTTGAGTGACCTCAAAATACGAATGAAAAAATTGACGCGCGCGAAGCGCGTTTGAAACGTACTATTTCTGAACTATTTCTGAATCTTAAACTAACCTCAAAACACAAAAAAAAAAATTGACACGCGCGGAGCGCGTCTTAAACGTCTAGTAGGGTAAACCGCGTTATAAGAACCCGCGTTATACGAGGGACTCCTGTATAACATATTCTCTTGTACGAACTTTTTCCCGGATCTTCCCGAGACTTTTGCTTCAAGTGCAGATCGTCAGCTTGAAATTCACATGTATTTTTCAATTCTTTTACGATTGATTTCTGTGGCTGCCTCGCCAGCATTGCGTAGATATGGGCTTCGTCTTGTGCATTGTCGGCCTTGCCTATCGGTCGACCCAGTACGTCGGCGAGTACGTTCATCTTACCAGGAATGAGCTTGATCGTCAGATCATAGTCCTGGATCATCAAGCTCCATCTTAATAATCTTTGGCTCAAAAATCGGCTGGTACGCAAAAACGTCAACGCTTGGTGTTCGGTACGCACTTCGATTGGCTTACCGTAGACGTAGCTTCTGAATTTTTCGAGAGCCGAGGTCAGCGCAAGTAGTTCAAGCTCCGTCGTGAAGTAGTTTAGCTCGGGTCCTTTAAGTGTGTGACTCGCCATGTAGACGACTCGGACATGGCTCGATCTCCTGACAGAGCGCAGCTCCTAGGGCCTTGTTGCTTGCGTCCGTGTATAGCACGTAACCCTTGTCTCATTGGTGTTTAAATTGATAAAAAATTCCAAACTATCGATTAAAAGTAATTTGGAATTGAATAAACTTTCAATTCTAAATTAAAAGTAATTTGGAATCGAAACAATTTTCCATTACAATTTAAAAGTAGTGTCACGGTATTCGCATGCCGTTTGCCGAATTGGCACTTTTTGCGGCGGCGAGCTCGGGTGACGAGCTCGCGCAGGTAGGAAGTCGAGCTGCGTAGTCAGTACACGAAGGTAGACTGTAGCATTAACAACTACCAATAATACGAAGTTGACGATCTACTTGTCAGTGTATTTATTTCACCTCTCCTCCTCTCATCCCGTTAACTCTAAGCTAGCGACGACGGGCGGAACCCTAATTACGACCCCCGTGACAGTAGTTTGGAATCGAAAAAATTTTTCATTACAAATTGAAAGTAATTTGGAATGGAGGATTTGTTCGACTTCAAATTACTTTTTTAAATTTAATTTATAATTCTGAAATTAAAAATAATGCAACCCTGAATTATACTGTAATTGTACAGTATACTGTACACTGTAACATTGTATACGCGTGTAGCTGCGGCCATCGCACAGATTGCGCCAGGACCAGTCTCTCGGAGGCTTATTCGAGCTGCTGTACATTCGACTCGATATCGTCGTGGCTTGTTTTTTTATCTCATTTTTTTTCATCTTCTGCGTAGCGTTAGATGGTTGTGACGTATTGCCCGCATTTATCGAGAGCTCGCACTGTCTATAGCTTATGTATTTTTCAGGCCCATCCTATTTGCTGGTAAATGATGCACTGGAAAAAAAGTATGAACGACTCTTGCCACACAAAGTATCGAGTTTTGAAAAGCCTATATGATTTTAGGCACTGTGATTTAATTTGAATGAGTTTATTTTGGAATTGTGTCAGAGGGATTGATGCAACGCCGAAGATTAAAATAATTTCGATTATCGTTTTAGAAACAAATAAGAGGGCAGTTTTGAACGATCTCATGGAAAAGACTCGTCGAATCGAAGCGCAGTGATTACATGTATCGAATGCTAATTTCATTTAGCAACTCAATGTTGCGAATAATAATGTTGATGCAGTGCACTTTTCATTATTACACTGTGGAGAGACTGCTGGGGACTGCAGGGAGCGAGTCTTTCGACTGTTTAAATAGAAATAAAGGGAAGGGGCGCATTAAAGGCCATTAAAAGAGCGACTGCGAGAGGCAGTCGGCTAATCCTCGCTCGCACAATCACGATCATGCAACGACCCTTCAAATTTATGCGCGTATTTGTATTTGAAAAGTCGGCTGGATACGCGAGCTGGCCTGGCTAATAATTAACAAACTTGTTGTAATAATAAAGAAGGCGGCCGGCCATTGTCGCGCGATCGCGATAATTTCATTAGCCAGCTCTCTTTCTGTTAAGCGCGCGGATCATTGGACCGCCTGGCGAATCGGCAAAAGCGCGAGTATAAATTTGTTAAACGCCCTTATACCCTGCTGCAGCCTGCTAAATGCCTGCAAGTATACCCTCGATTCGACTACGAGTGTTTTAATTACGCTTTATCTCACTGGATGCTGGCACGTGTATTACTCGAGCTATCTCCATCGACTCGGAGCTCCATCGACTTTAATTACGAGCCTGCTTGCTCTTATTTTTCCTCTGGACTAAAAAATCTGCTAAGACGAGACAGCTACACATGCAATGATAAAATTTTTAGACTTGGAATAGAAAAATTATAATCCATCATTGAGAGCGTTATTATTTAAAACAGAGATACTGATGTAGGGTAAGAATGAATAATTATTAAAAGCTTTTGATTAAATATTTTTTTGCCAAGTTATATATAAGGTAAATGTGGGTATATTCGCTTACTTTAGCGGAATTCTGAACAAAGCCGACACTAAGAAAACATTGCGAATGATAATTGAGATTTTTAATTATTGAGTACAACAGCAAATAGTTTGAACTTGATAGTAGCACAGTCCAACATTTTTTACATATTTACGATAAATAATGAAGTTTAAGCTTTACGCGTTATGTGCTGGTATTTTCGCTCCCCCATTGGGCCTAATTTCCATGGCTACAAAACACCAAAGTAGTGGAATCTATCTATTTTTGTATAATTTATTAAATATTATTATTATTGAATATTCAAATAATCCAATTCATTGAGCTCATTTTATGTATACCATAACTTCTATAATATAACGTATGTCAATTAAATTTAGTAAACATCTAATTTTGTTATTGAATCATCTGTAAGGCTGAACACGGAAATTTCAGTGTTTATTGGAGGAAGAAGCCGACAGTACGTAGGAAAAGTTGGAAAATTTTTATTAAGTTTAAATTGTTAATAATATAAAATACTTGTTATTTAGTTATTTTTGGAAAACTAAAATAAATTTTAAAAAAATGGACATCGTTGAGGACAGAACCAAGACATTCAAATGTCTTCAATGTGACCATAAATTTATCCACCCAACTACACTCAAGAGGCACGTTGAAAAAATTCATAACGATAATTTTTTTTTTAAATGCACTGTTTGTCACAAAAAATTCTCAAAATCATTCGATCTTAACGCGCATATTAAAAGTGTTCACGAAAAACTGAAGGAACTTAAATGTGATCAATGCGATGAAAAATTTACTCGAGCTCTCGATCTCGATAAGCATATTCGAACCCAGCATAACTCTATTAAGAAATTACTGAAATGCTTCACATGTGGTGCAGCATTCAGCAGACATTGTAATCTTGAAATGCATGTAAAAACTGTGCATACCAACTCAAATTCATTTGAATATATTATATGTGATAAAAAATTCAATTCACAAAATACTTTGAAGACACATATCGAAAAAATACACGTTGGTAATGTAAATCATGAATGTCAAAAGTGCCACAAAAAATTTTACAAAATGGAAAATTATAAAAAACACATCAACATTGCTCACCCTGAAATGAACGAATCTCCAAAATTCAAACGTAATATACATGATGAAAAAAGTAGTAACATAAATTTTATTCATGTCAACATGAATGAGTTGTCAAATAATATAAAAATGGAAAAATCACCAGAAAAAGTAGTGAATGAAAAACTGTCAACCGACCATACGTGTGACATGCTACACCAAGAATCGAATGTGAAAATTTCAAAATCGAATGAACCATATCAAAACTTAGTGATCAGTACGAATGTAATGAATGTAAAAAATATATGTCAGGAATCTCATAATCAAGGTTCACAACAAACAATTAACAATTTCAAAACTGAAAATTCATTGATTCATGCTGTGGAAGAGAATAACCCAAATCAAGAATTAAAAGCAATAGGAGTACCTCAAAATTTGTATATTAAAGATTCAACTATCGGAACGTTTTATTCTACCGAAGAAAAGGGATCAAATAACGCAGCGATGTGGAACATAGTGAGTAAAAACTCGGTTCAAATTCAATGCTTCAATCACAACTTGTCGCCGACTCAGACAATCGAAGCTAATGTACTTGACCAAAATTCAAACCAAATGGAATATATAAATAATACATACTCACAAAATCATTCTACTGCACGGGATCTAAATGCCCATATGAAATTTCACAACGATAAAAATTTACCAAACGTAAATAGCTCCCATGAAACAAAATTTTCAAATGAGGAATACTCATCCAATTCAATATACGGGGCAGATAGAGTTGGTCAAAATATTCTTAATTCGGAATTTATGGTTGTTAACCATGCTCCACAATTAATGCCATCTTACAATGGTAGATGTTTACCCGATGTCTCGAATATGAAAAATGTGGAAAATAAGGCCAATCCTTACTGTCACCAAACAGCAGCCGTTGATGGTGGATTCTTACCGGCAGTAATAAATTCACAACCAGTCACTAATTTTAATAACAATTACTTACCGAACATTTCGAATACGGAAAATTTTGTTTGTCATAACCCACGCCAAACAACGTGTTTTAATGAATTTTTTCCTCAAGTAGTGAATATAGAGAATACACGAGAATCTACCAATACTGAAAGCTATTGTTTTATCAAAGAGGAACCTAGTGTAAGCTATAAAAACTATGAACAAACATTTCCTTCAGAATCATCTAATCAAGATGTGCCCATGAACTTTGAACCAACAAATATGTTTGTTGAAAACGTTAGACAATCAACACCTTTTGAAATTTTCAGCGAATATTCAAAAATTAAAAAGTTTAATGGAGTTATTCCTAATGAAAATATAGAAAAAGAGTCAGTCTACGATAAAACAAAATGTGTCGATAATCAAGAGTTGAATCATGTACCATTTACTTGTTCCGAGACTGAAAATTTTCTCGATGACGTATTTCACTATTATATCGATGAATTTGATAAATTAATCCATGGGAATGATGAGGATCAATTAAATAATTTATTAGACGAATTGAATAAAGCATCGCCTGACATGAAATTTGAAAACATATTGGACAAGATAGATCATTTTAATATGAAAATGGATGTATTGCCCGGTAAATTTATGGAAAATTTGTTTGAAATGGTGAATTTCATTGAGCAAGTTGAAAATGTAAAAAATGGATTTGACAGTAATGTATATTTATGAATAAATATATTTTGACTAAGTATATAGCTAGATTAGCCAATATGCTTATTTAAATATACGAATTTTTTGCACACAAAAATTTAGTTTGTAATATAGTAGCGTTCTTAAAATAGAAAGTATCGCGAAAAAATGCATCTTTATCGAAAAAAATGATCGACGAGTTGGCTTCTTTATGCTGTTGCCATTTAATTATTCAGATCTATTTAGAAAATTATTGGATAACTGAAATAAAGCATGCATTAATGTTATTTTTATGGAATGATTTTTAATTTTGTCCTTTTAGTACTCTTATATTTAATTTGAAATGTGACTCGTGAGTACTTATAAATCTACTTAGTATTTGTAAATGATGAAGTGAGACAAAAATAATAAAAGTACGTTTATTGTTGAATTATTAAACAATTTAATTTAATTTTTTGAAATAAACCTTACTCTCCCTATATCTTTGAACGATTGATTACGTTTGTGGAATTAAATTTTCACATTACTTTTATTTATTTTATTTTAATTGTGTATTGTGTAACGTAGAAACCGTCAAGTTATTATAATGTATAAATGAATTTTATACTAAAATGCGTTATATATTTTGATTATTGCCAACTGTTTTGAAACATCTAGATTGATTTTAATTTAAAAGAAAAAATATTTCAACTCTTTTCCTTCAACTTCGAAATACAATTACCATCTTGCGTAAACGCTTTGATCAATCAACCGATCGGATGACCTGAACTACATGATTACGAATAAATTGTAATCCACAAAAAAAAGATCTACCTAAAACGCATTTTTCTTGAACGGGCCAAGGGATTTTTTTAAGAGAATAATTTATTTTTTCTATATTTGTACGTGAATGACTCATATTATTCTTTTTGCATAAGGTTATAAATGTCAGGCACAAGTTATGATTGGTTAATATTGACGTTGACAAGAGAATACAACGTCTATGTAAAATGCACACATTGCAGACTTCCTGAATGCTTGAGGAGTGGTTTTTTTATTTACTTCATTAAACTTACTTCATACATTAACAGTAGCACCAGCAGCATTTTCCCTGCTGTTTGATTTTTTCTGGAAAAAGGCTCTGCATCATGTAATATATTCTATATTTATATTACTATGTCCAATATAATAATGAACTTAAATAAAGTAAAATAATTACTGTAGTAAGTAATTAAAATGTACGCGTAACAATTTTTTTAACTGAAAAATTTTTAACTTTTAAAATGCAGACTTCTTTAGCATCATAATTTTGATTTTAACCATAATAAAATAAAATAATAGTTTGTAGCCTTTGGTTCTCCGTGCATTATCGAAGTAAATCAAAGAGAAAACTTAATTTTTTGCAAGCTGAATACTATAATGTAATGACTATAATCGCTAAAAGTTGTGCATGTATAATACAAGTGAGTATACGATAGAAACATCGCTCGTTATCCATTGAAACTTTATCGAAGGTCATTTTGACGTAAGCCCGTAAGTGAAGCGGCTTATCTATAATTTTATGAACGTGCTCTGTTGACGCGAGCGATGTACTAGTCTCTATACTTATGGATTTGTGCAAAAAATAAAAATTTGAACGATTAGAGCAGGCGGCTCGAAAGCGGAAAAAGAAAGCGAGTAGACGAACAAGCTGAGTTGGATAATACAAAGTCACCGTGCTGTAAGGGTTGCTTGTGCCAGAACTCGAATGCGGCATTAGTTTCAGTGGCGTGAGATGAACATAATTGTTGCGATGAAAAAAACGTATGAGCACAAGAGACTGATTTATGCAGCTATTAATTGTGATGGCATTTTCTCAGTATGTCATTAGACATTGTCACTGTGATCGTAAAATGAGTTGGGAGGATCGATGCAAGAAACAATTCGTTTGCAATTAATTGACATGGATCGTGTGAGGATAAAAGATGGGATAAAATGAAGTGGTTTTTGAAAATAAGTTCGCGCTAGCGCGTCTATGGACTTTATTGGAGTCGAAGGTGGCCGAAAAGGTACTTGAGCGCTACGTCGAAAAATTGAGCCGACAGTTAAATGTCAGGTATAAAAAAGCCAGCTGGCTCAGTCTTAGGACCCGAACATGGACTAATATGGACAGGGACATTCGTCGTGGATGTGGGCCACACCTACACCTACACTCTTGGCGCGATCTCGTACGTACATAATAGAGGCAGGCTAGCACGTATAGAGCTCTGCGGCTTTGGCGCATACATAGCCGCTGAGCTGCGTTCGGTGCGCGACGTGACTCAATCGAAGCTGCTTTCCATATTCGTCGGCTGGTGCGCGTTCCGCAATTGTCGCGAGGCGCCAATTAACTTATCCTAGTCAATGCTATTCGAGTCAGCAGAAATTCATCTGCATTGCCTACTTTAATTTTCATCCCGAGCACGGAAGAATTTTTCACTTGCTTTTCTCACTCGGCCTTTGACAACGCCATCCTTCCTTTAGTAAGGATAAATTTGACTCTTACGGAGCCGTGTACGACTGAGGATAGCGCGATTTTTAATTTTGCACGACCGGAAGTGCCGATCGCGGTGAGCTTAACGCACACATGTGTAATGAGCAGCTACGTCGTTCGACGCACCATCGACCCTTGCAATACCGTAGAGCGTTCTTTTAATTTTCCTTATTCATTTTGCATGTTTCCATTGATAGCTGCTTGTTGTCCGTCTTTTTGAGCAAATATGAGACTTGGCATTGTAATTCGAAATCACGACAACAATAGTTTCATATGATAACAGTCAAAAATCCAAGCCCGGATAAGAATAGGTTGAATTATTTTAACTCTAAGCCACGTAGATAGTAATCTCATCGTGGGACAGTATTGGATACCAGTATTGAGCGAGTACTGCAAAAATATTTTTTTTTTACTGGATCGATAACGGCAGCTGGTATTGGGCCGGTATTGCTGACCAGTTGTGGTTTTAATGTTCTTATTCCAGTATCTAGTCAGTACTGGACCAAGATGAAAAAAAAGCAGTACTGGTAGCCAGTGCTATGCCTGCAGTATTGGCCAGTAATAATCGTACTGCCAATTCTTACGTGGCATAATCCATCGGATACTGTACTTTGCCTAGCAATCGAAAGCGCTAGAAGGAAGTTTGGCGCGCGTAGAAATTTATGAAAAAGAATCAAACGTTGCGTGCGTCAGTTTTCCCGACGATCGGTTGAATCGTTGCCGTATGGTAGGTTGCATGCAGCAGCAAACGTTGCCGCCTTTCATCCGTGACGGTCCATCTAGCTCGATCTGCGCAATTGCGAAAGATTCGTCACTGAGATCGGATTGTCGATAAGCTGCAAGAAAAATAAATAATTAAAAAGGACGTAGTCATAGGATCGCCACTCGCTCGGCTCGCTCGCTGCAGAGAAAATTCCCCGCTCGAAACGTCATCGCGATTCGACGCCTCGCATCGTTCACGTGCATAATACGTAAAATTGAAATTAGCGATGCGTTAATATGGGCAGCTATATCGACGTTATCTCGCGAATCGCATTACATGCTACACATTGGCAATCTTGGACAACTCGATCGTTTAGTAACGATCATCTTGCACTTGCATTGCTAAAGAATAACAAAATCTTGTATCAGTTGAAAATGATAGTAAATGGCTGGTTTTCGTATAAATCAATGAGCTCTATCAGGACTAATATCGATTTTCTACTTCAGAAGCCGCGGGTCTTTTGAAATTCGATCGATATGGTTTAGGCTGCGGCTGTTACAAGCGTTGGCGTGGTCCGTGCTCGATGCAAGGCTCGAGGCTTAAAGCATGATCTCGAAAAAAATCTCGAAATGATAAATCTGCGCCATCTAAAACAAGAAAAAAAGATAAAAAGTAACGGCATCTTTTTTTCCGTGTATACAAGTACAATATATGTAGGTGCATGTTATATAGCGATATTACTATCATAGTATAGACTCGCCAGCATAGCCGGTGTACTTGCATGTGAGTGACTATAGGTATTAGTCTGACTTTGAAAGAAAGAGAAAAAGACCTTACTTGGTTGCGAAAAATTGACGCGCGATTTTTGCAAGGCATGTGGTACGCATGTGACACGTAGCGCCGACGAGACGATGCAAACAACTCGTCGTCGTCGTTTCTCTCTTCTTTCGACTCATCGCTGTTTGTCCTTTTTTCTCAAAAGAGATGCGCAGAGCTTAAACTAAACTTTGCACGTTTAGTATAGGGTAGTAGCAGAGTGTGTTCTATTATAATTAAAAATTGTCGATTGGGAACTTGCAAAGACTCAAAGGAACAGCGAGGAAAAAGCACTGAAAATGCCTATTTTTTATTGTGTCTTATTGTCTAGAGCTGGAGCTCGGCTCGATCTCGTGGTCTTACGCGCCTACGTCTTACATAAGGCAAAAAATGCGCTGTGCATGCTAAATGTGCGAGTTCGCGCGCGTAATGTCACAGCAGCACATTTCGACGACCACGCAGCGAGCGGAAGTGCGCCCCCGTACGCTTCCTCCGCACATCGCTGCCACAAAACTCGCACGCACGACGCTACTTTGCCATCGGCTTATTTTATGCATGCCCCCGTACTTTCTTGGGTGCAGTCCAGGCGCTTATTATGTATATGCTAATGCACGCTCATCGTCGTCGTCGTTGTCGTCTTCTTCTTCAAAGTGCCGCAAAACATCATCGAATCATTCTTGACTTGCACAAGTTTTCATCTCGTCAACACCCTTTTTTCCATCGACTGTTGGCATTGATTCAATAGCAGATTTTTTCTACCTTAAAATCTTGAGTATTGCAATTCTGTCTTTTACATCTGACTTTGAATTTTAAGTACATTTATTTATTTGCCTCCTATCCAATTACACCTAACATATGATTTCAAAAGACATTGCCAACGTTCAACTCTTTATAGAGTGATTTGACCAATCATCGACACTTTTATTCAAGTTATGGAAACATTTGAAGAAATTTGAAAATTATTATTCGATAAGTGCAGAAATTTTTTTACAACTTATATCGTAACATAACTTATGGAAAAGTTGTGAGATATTGGTGCAAAGGAATTTTCCTCGAGACCAACTACTGACCACTTTTTTTTTTTAATTACAACGTTCACAAATTTTTTCTTCAAAATCTCATTTTGAAATGCAACGACCTTTAAATTTTTGACTGTCAACATAAAAATTTTACCTATTTATTATAATTTTACAAGGAAGTAATAATTATTATAATTTTACAAGGAAATAGCCGGAAGTATCATGCTATTCCCTATTTGTTTGTCGATCATTAAAATTTTCTTTCTTTTGAAAATTTTGAAATTAACAATTATTAATTCATTTGCCAGTATATAAGTACAATTCGATTTTGAAAATTATCACAAGCTTTTCCATTGTTTTCGCATTATTTAATGCATAAAAATCAATCGGTATTTGGTACTTATAATCTCGTGAGATTTTTAAATCAAAAAAAGAAGCACCTGAGGCCTCTGCTTTCAATTGTATGTTGCTCTCCTTCGAGCACATATTATAGTGAATCGTAATTGAATTAATACATTATATATAAAATAATGAGTTAATAAAACATTTTTCTCTTGTCTCCAAGTCGGGTTTGAAATATTGTTTTCGAATAATATATGGGATAAGTGAGGTATTTAATTCAGTATAATAAAATGGGATTTTCAAATATTCACAACTTGAACTGTGGCGCCGCCAGAAGCGCTTGTGCGCAGCAGCAACTCCGTGTTGGGAACTATTAGCGGGTCGCAAAAGCTGGTCTTTTCGTTCGGTGTATCGCGAGAAGGTTAACCATGGTACGTGGATCATTTATAATCCAAAGATTTTTATAACATCGAAAAATTTTCTTAAATAATAATGCTGTCAAAAATCTTTTAACCAACCGTAATTAGGGTCGCAAAAAGTATATTTTTCAGTATTATTGTTTTTTACTAAAAATTTATACTTTTGGTTCTGTAACCTCTAATTTTGCATCGTCGACAAGCGTGCTATTAACGATTCATGTGTTACACTTTTTGTGCTTACATTCTTACAAGTTTTAATAATATTATCAATTTTTTGTACATCTCGTGTTAATTTTATAGTGTCAATATTTATAATTTTATTAATATAATTACAGTCGACACACAAGAAGAAGACCAGAAAGTTACGTGGGCACGTGAGCCACGGTCATGGACGTATTGGTAAGCTTTCCATTCCAGTATCTACATGAAATAATTGTTAATTCAGGTATTTCATTAGTATATGATTCTCATAAACACATTTTTAACTTTAGGTAAACACCGTAAGCACCCTGGTGGTCGCGGTAATGCCGGTGGTATGCACCATCACCGCATCAACTTCGACAAGTACCATCCAGGGTACTTTGGAAAGGTACGCATTTATGATTTATTGTTTAAAATTAGATTAAAATTAAATGATGAAATAATGCTTTCACCGGCGAACTGAATTACATTGAATGTATCTTGTTATCTGATCAATTACTTAAATATCTTAGTACTTTGCTTTATTTATGTGTAGTTATTAACTAATTTCTCTCACTGTTACAGTTAGGTATGCGTAACTATCACTTGAGAAGAAATCAAAAGTTTTGTCCAACGCTTAATTTGGACAAACTTTGGACCCTTGTATCCGAACAAACCAGATTGAAGTACAAAAGTGCTGATTCTGAGACTGATAAAGTTCCAGTAATTGATCTTGTCAAAGCTGTAAGTTCAAAAAATCTGATAATTTTTAAAATAGCAATGATGTATAATTAGTTTTATAATGACAATAAAATTTACAGGGATATTACAAACTTCTGGGAAAAGGTAGAATACCAAAACAACCAGTGATCGTGAAAGCTAAGTTTTTCAGTAAAACAGCTGAAGATAAAATCAAAGAAGCTGGTGGAGTCTGTGTACTAAGTGCATAAATCATTAGGTAATTCAATGACATTCTATTTTCTAGTTCTTTAATTTAAAATTGATAATATGATGATAATGAACGGGCGGACTGAAAGAGTGCGTACAACACTCATATAATCTTGTTGATTCGTTCTATTCTGATTTTAAATTGATGTAATAAATTAATGCTATAACAGAAAAATTTATATTTTATTAAATAGTTTATTAATAATAGTGTTTTTTTTACAGGTAAATATCTTCAGCATATACACTCCATAAATAGGAAAATATCATTCAGACAACTCACAATGTTTCAAAAATTCGAAAACTACTTGATCATTCAAAATGCATCATAAATGTGAACCCTCAAATTTTAAAAACAATTTTTTTAAAAGAAAAGTTCTAAATATTTTTGGTAACTTATCATGCTTTGAAATGATGCTGTAAATGAAGTTAATTTATAGTAGCAACTTCTTTTATAAAAATAAAATTCGTAAAAATTTCGAAAATTTGATATGATATGATGATATTGAACGGGCGGACTGAAAGAGTGCGTACATCACTCACATAATCTTGTTGATTCGTTCTATTCTGATTCAAGATTTTGTAGACATTTTTAATTGTAAACATATATAAAAGTGCGATTTACCAATGGTGCTTCTTTTTTTTGTTCCAGGTAACTATCTTAACCTACACAATGACATTCTTCAAACATCTCATTGGCAATAAAAAAATTTAGTTCAAAAAATCAAAAATTTTCTTTTGAGTTACTTATCTTTTATGAGCTCATCTTCAATGCAAATGGTGAATCTCAAAAAGTAGATTTAAATAGAGAAAATTAAACGGTTTTCACTTCATTGTTAATAATCACTTAAAAGTAACGTTCTGACTAATTTGCACATTACTATTTTTTTTTTTTTTCATTTTTATTTATTTCGATTCATATCATAAATTTTTAAAATTATAGAACTTTTAAATTGATTTTTTTTGTCAGACTTTATGCTATGTCTGTTTTTTATCAACTGTTTTTTTTATTTGAAGAGAAATATAGAAAATTGTTCTTCTTGTGTCACGTAGAGAAATCTATATTATATAAAGTTATTCTCCTAAATGATGATAATGAACGGGCGGACTGAAAGAGTGCGTACAACACTCATATATTCTTGTTGATTCGTTCTATTCTGAAATGAATATGATTTAAGTATTTTCAAATTTTAAATATGAATAAGAGGAAATGTACTAAATAATATTCAATTTATTTTTCAGCAATTTTTCATGGATTTTGTAAAAATAAAAAAAAATTATAAAAATCAATTTTTTTTGTTCTGCTTGAACCCTCGTATTTTATTTTTTTTTTATATGTAAATTACAAATTAAATAAATTAATTCTATGTCTTGAGAATATAGCTATTAAGTAATGGGTTAATTTGTCATTGTTGGTGGTGGCGGAGGTAGAGACATTCCTGCAGCCAACATTGGCGGAGGTGGTGGAACAGGGTTAAACATTGGTGGTCGTGGAGGGGGAGGTGGAACAGGCATCATTGTTGGACCTAATCCTGGTCGCATTAGGGGCACTGGAGGAGGTGGAACCTTTCCAATAGCTGGTTTTTCGTTCTTGAATGCAAATTGTAGAAAAAATTGTTTTGTGTCTTTGTTCCAATGAGTCCAAAATTTATTATCTCCCTTTTCAACTTCTCGGCTTGGAACCTGAGAAAATAAACCATTATTTAATTTTTTTAGATTTTGAAATGATTTTAATTTTCCATTATTCACTTAAAGTTATTAGAAGAAGATTAAAATACTGAAATTTTTGTAAAAACAATAATATTTAAGCAACTGATTAAAATATACCTTGAATGCAATGGTTTCATAAGGTTCAGCTGCAAACAGTAGATACTGCCATTTACGATCTGGTGGTTCAACTCTCTGTTCGTAAGCAGACATAAACCTATGTCGAGGAGTAACATTATCAGCTACTTCTGGATAGTCTACTTGAAATAGTAAACTCTGTTGACCAGATTCAGGATCCCTTTGTTTAGTTACTCTGTAACCTGGCCTACCAATTTTAACAAACTTTTTAGGTTCTACTTTTGGTTTTTCGGGTGCAAGAGTTACAGGAGCTTCCTTAGCTTCTTTGGCAGCCCGTCTAGCTAAATTGGCTTGATGCTTTTTTCCTTGAGTGTGAGCAAGATAACTGCCTTCATTATTGTGAAGTGTCAAACATAATTTACACTCGTAAGAGCCTAAGTGGTTTTTCATAAAATAAGGATCTTTGTTTAGATCAATTGTTTCGAGAGCCAGTTGTCGCAGGCGCTCCCTTCTATCTCTGTTAGTTTCTGACCATGAGGCAACACCTCCTCCACCGGTTTTTCCTCCAGGACGATTTTGAAAGTCCATTTTTATTTCTGTTGACAACAAGTATTTTAAGGTTAAATTGTAGTTTATGAAACATTCAGAAGTATCTCATAATAAAAATAAAAATTATTATTATAATACTAGCTTGTTATTTTATCTAAAAAATATTTGAAATAAAATAGTTTTAACATTCAGTACATGTTTTACAACTGGGTGATGTTAAATTAATATCAAGCATGAAAATAATCATAATTCTTACAATAAGAAAATTATTTTTAGAAATATTTTGTAGAAGAAGGTATTCATTTATACTCACATGGTTATTGTTAACTTTGCATGAAACAATGAATTGATGGTTTTTCAAAATCCATCAACCAAAGCTGTCAGCTTATTTTTTATTTATCTTCGTTCTCTCACTGACTACATTTGACTCATAGAGGCGCTGATGGTCGTTTTAATGTTTGAAGTGTTTAAATTCTCATTTCCAATGGGCAATGAATGGCTAACTGTTTAGCAGACGTAAAGCGCTGATTGTTGTAGTGTAGTGCCTGTTGCCATACAGGCCTTTTTCACTGCAGTCGTCACTATTGGTCACTTTACTGATTTGCCTAGAGGCTAAACAAACATTTTTTTATGTAAAAATACTAGTGGACCCTCTAGTTATCGACCACTGTGAACTATTACTTAAATAAGTAATAATTAAAGTAAACTTATGATGCAATGAATATTATTTCAATTTTTTAAACATTATATATTAAGAAAAAATTCATAACTACGCTTTTAATGATCAAATCTTTTTTTATATGATTTTCAACATTACCCTGGTCAACCCTGATCAAATACTAGACTAATTGTTCAAGTAAGCCATATAGTATTCGACTACCTGCAATAAACTTGAATAATTTTCAGCTAAATGGTTCAATTTAATTTTCAAGAACAAAAATTCCGTATATATTTCAAGACACCTATATTCATATTATAATACTTTCAGTCTTCGACAATAAGCATTTGATTGATAGTTCAGTAGGGTGGTCGACAACTAGACGATTCGCATTTTTTATCTCCAAAACCTTTTCTAGATATACTTCCAGCTTCCTCTGTTCATGTGTAAGTAATCATTCGAAAAGTTACGTTAGTTCAGTTAAGAGCTGAAGAGATTCTAAAAAAATGATGATAGTAATCAACATTATAAATGGTTTCTTGAAAATATTCGCGTAAAATGAAGAAGTTATTATCATTCTTAAGCCTTCAAACGATTAAATAAATACTTTACCTAAAGAGCGATAGAACATGCTAAAGCTCAAGTAGCTTCTCTCGAAGAGAGTGCCTGTAAAAGTTTAAAATCACGAGAAATGCCCGAAAATAAAAAGAAAAAATTACATAAATTTAATTTCACGTCAAGTATAGATTATAGATAGAATGTGAAAAATAACATAAATCGAATTTGAAATAAAAATAATTAAAAAAAAAAAAAAATTGTTTCGCTAAAAACAATTAGATGTCATATAATCGTGATACTTCAATTCTTAAATCTTTATCAATGTAATTAAATATCTATATGGAAATAAAATTTTATGGCTTAAAAAGTCGCGATTAATCGTGGTAATTTCGAAAGAATCTACTTTTCTTCAGTGGAAATCTTAAAAAATTTTTCAAGATAAAAACTTATGACGAAAGGAAATTTTATAATCTAACGATATTTAACATCTTTTAAAGAATTAACTGGGAATCCAATAGTGAGAATCTGCGGGAATAAGCCGTTTTGACACGATATAAACTCTGTTTAGTATTTACCATTAGTATCAGGAGGGTAAAAATATTTAAATAATAACATCGTTAATATGATTGCGTCCGAGCATGATGCGATTCCACCTGAATAACGCTGAAAATGAAAATGACTCTCCTAAAATGAATTAGGCTTGATCATAGGTCGCAAGTAAGGTATAGCGTCGAATGATTGTTATATTACAGCAATTCCAGATAAATATTATATGAATGGTAACAAATAACAAAACCCATATTATTTTTATAAATGTTTCGATAATTTAATCTGTATTATAAAAGTTGAAGCAGCTAACGGATCACGGATGTTATTCAATGTTTGCGCTACGACTTAAAGATCAAATAGCCCCGAGATATTGCCCACGGGTGCGAATAAAAGGTGGAAACGATCATGAAAAAAAATCAAGATCGAATTCACACGTACAGGCACTGCGATATAGTGAGATATACATTTTAAATAAGTTAAGAACGCGTTTAGTGTTATGTACACACTCGCCCAGCTCGACTCTACAGTTGATGTACAGAATTAACTGCCTCAGCAACTGAGCCGAAGATGATGGCGACGATCGACGATCACGAAGAGTCGATGAGTCACGCGGTCTGCCGTGCATGTTTGGCCATGGCGTGGTCGACCATATAGACCTGCAATGACACACATATAATATATAGCCGCGTGCCAGATAAACGGCGGATGTTGAAAGATCGGGAGCTTTTGTTCGCAGTCTCGGCTCGTAGTTTCAGTATAGCGCGCCGCACTCCGTCATACAGTCGCATGTGTACTTTGCGCGCAACTCATTCCCTATATCCGCTAGTGCAGTCAGCTGCAGTTTTGCTATATTACGCCTGTATTTGTATACCTATATACATATGCAGACGAGCAAGTCACAAGTGCCAGCATCGCGTGTGCGAGCTAAAGCCGTCTGCCAGTAGTACCTCAGTCAGCTCCACCAGTGCCGCCCGCGCGTACACATTGACACTCGCGTCAACACATTTACATGCCCGTATAGCAGGTATATTTGTACATATACATCATTATTGCGACAGTTTTGTAAGTTTACGTGTGATAAACTTGTGGTCTGCGCGCAAGCGTACTTCGCTAATACTGCATCAGCTCCGATTCTTTCCAAGTTTCGACTCCTGGCTGCTGGCTCTCGATGCTCGCAGCAGCTAGCAGCAGCTTTTTCAGCTCATTCACTGATCATTATCAGCGACGCCAGTCTCGACTTATTTTTATTTGCTCATCTCGAACCGTTGATGCTGTTGCTGCTGCTGCTGCTGTCACTGTCACCTTGTCTATATGCCTTCTCTGACACCTGACCGTGCAACATTACACCAATTCTTTAAAACATTGTAAACAATGTTTTGAACATGGCGAGCTGCGAAAAACAGCTGATCAGGACTGCTCATGGTGTCTACCTCTAATTATTGGCGCGAAACAGAGCAACAGCTCAATGTCAAACGTTTCTTCGGGACAAGCAGAAGAATGTCTCGAGAAACTAGAATTTACAAGGCCTTGATCCCCTCGCACAGTCGGACTACGTTCGGTAAGAGTCAATAGCACTTGAGAAAATTCGCTGCATTCCAACGCCCAAAAGTTTTCTCCAAAATCATGTTGCTCTAAAGTTCGAAAGCTCCGAGCTTTTCTGCTTCGCTTCGATTCAGTTTCTCATAACTTTTTCGCTTGTTGGTGCTCGTCTGGCAATGGCTATTGCTGTTATTGCAATAGCTTCTCAGTCAATATGTCCAAGTCCGCGTCCGACAAACGTCACTCTTCTGTTAGTTTCACTCGTGCCAAGGATGATATCGGTGATGCAGACGATGAAATCCACATGAGTTTGGCACCGTACCTCGAAGACTACTTAGCCTATGGAGGCCATGGACCAGGATGTTGTGGTGTTGGTCTACCGATGCCCTTTGAAAGAGCTGCTGCCAGATGTTGGTGGAATCCAAAGTTTGATTCTGAAAGCCTTGAAAAAGAATATAAAAATAATGCTTTCCCCCAAATTAGATTGCGCTTCAGGTAAATGCAACATTTTCTTTTCTTCATTCTTTTTCACCTTTTATAAAGACTGTTTCACTTTTAATTGCTAATTACTGCTCAAATTTTACAGATATGCATTGTTATATATTTTACTGGTTTCACTATCATGGTTTATTTACTTTACTGTATTAGGAATAGAAAATAATAGCCAATATTGGTCAATCTCAGCTATTTTATTTGGATTTCTTAGTTTGATAACTACCATTATGTTATACATTACTTTTAAAAATTGGTATAAAAAATGTGTAACAATTATGTCAGTAGTAATTGCAATAGTCCTCTGCATTGAATCATTGGTTTTATTGATTTGTGTTCCACCTCAGATTGATGGATTAACAATGGTAAGACTTTTGATTGTTAATTTAAATAAATTTTTATTGTAAAATGTACATAATTATTCATGTTTTCAGGTTGGACATTTTACTTTGTGTGCTGAAATTTTATTACTCGTCTATACTGTTTTACCAATGCCTTTATATGCTTGTGTCCTAATATGTGTTTTATACTCATCAATATTTGAATTTTTGACCAATTATTTATATGTATATGAAGACACAAAGAGTCAGTATGTGGTACCTGTTGAAAACACAAACAGTTCTCGTGGAGTATACCGAAGAATTATTGCAATGAGCAATACAATTATTTCTAGTTTGGACTCAAATATCACCCAGTCAAATTTTTCTACAAACACAACAGATTCTACATATATCGGTGAAGTCTTCACTGCAGAGAATTTTGATATGGGCACTAACTTAACTATTCACATCATATTACAGTTATGCATTCATATAATTGGTTTGCACATTCTTGTAATGACGTTTGTGCGAATGCGAGGAACTTTTATGAAAGTTGGTCAGTCTCTTTTTGTACGTAAGCAGCTTGAAATGGAGAAGAAATTAAAAGAGAAAATGATACATTCGGTTATGCCACCAAAAGTCGCTGAATGGTTGATGGCGGAAAGCGAGAGTAGACGAGAGAGACAAGACTCTTTAAAAAAAGGATCGATACCGTCAAACAATTCGGACATACGCTCTTTATTTCGACCTTTCAACATGCATTCTATGAATAACGTGAGCATATTATTTGCGGATATCGTTGGCTTTACCAAAATGAGCAGCAATAAGACAGCTGAAGAGCTTGTAGATATACTGAACAACTTGTTTGAGCGCTTCGACGAGTTGTGCAAGTCAAACGAATGCGAGAAAATCAGCACCCTTGGGGACTGTTACTACTGCGTGAGTGGTTGTCCTGAGCCAAGAGACGACCACGCCAAATGCTGCATAGAAATGGGACTAGGTACGTTAAGTAGCATTACGTCATTACTTATAGCGTATGAAGAATAGTTGCTTAAAGTTTGACGTTTGGAGTAGTTTCGGTGATTCGCTTGTAATTTTTAATGGCATCGAGTTACTAGTCGCGTCAAGGAGAAGTCGCTAGTATGTCTCATAACTTATTTAATTTTTGTAACAATTTTCAAGTCCAGTATGAAGTCGTTTGTTTTACGGTGGCAGACACGCATAAACGCACACTTGTTGGCGGTGGCCGCGCCGCGACCGAGATGCATAATTTACCTGCACTCGTCTCATTCGAATTCTTTTGTTTGTTCAATGCGTTGCCTTCGTTTACAGAGCGCAACAGCAGGAAATTTTATTTTACGGCTTAAATACGAGTCACGAGCACTTTTATCTCCAGGCATCTTCGTACTTTGTTGGAACTTTTAAACGTTTCAGAGTAGGAATTATTTGCTCCGAATGATTAAAAACGGCGGAAACGGGACGAGTTACAAAATTTCACTGAACGTCATTTTTTTACAAAGCCAATCGATAGACGTTGGTCGTGTCGTGCTGTCGATCGTATCCGAGCACGATCACGACTCTTAAATGAATTCTTTATGATCGCAATGTATTTTCAGGTGTTTTGCTTGTTGCTTGTCAACGTGCATAATATTAAAACTGAAAAAGTAATTGTTTTTCCAGCGATGATCGAAGCGATAAAACAATTCGACGAGGAGCGAAAGGAAGACGTGAACATGCGAGTCGGAGTTCACACGGGCTCGATACTCTGCGGTATCGTCGGCACAAAGCGTTTCAAATTCGACGTCTGGTCGAACGACGTAACGTTGGCCAATCATCTCGAAAGCACCGGTCAAGCCGGTCGAGTTCACATCAGCGAAAACACGCTCAAGTTCTTGAACAACGAGTACCTCGTCGAGGAAGGCAAACCCACCAAGCAGAACAATTCGCCGAATGCACCATGTGCGTGTGTAATTATAGCAGCTGTGCTCTTTCTGCTTTTCCTATAAAATATATATCGAAACGACGAGCGCATCCGCAGAATTCAATTAAGGAGCGAGCGCCGTTGCTCTCGAGATAATCGCGTGTAATCAATTGGAGCCCGTTATTAAAATATGTGCGTGCACATAGCGACGCTCGCGTGCTCGTTCTATAAACGCTGGCGCGCGGCTCTTTTGTTCTTGATAGGCGCAGATACCGATGCACGCGTATTGTCGTGCAACGGTTGCGTAAGAGCGCGTTACGCGAATCTATTTCAATCGATACGTTACGGCAATAAAAGCTCTCGATACGTTGTTCCGCGTACTCGCGACCGATGACGCTCTCATTGGTCTCTCTTTTTGCAACGACCAAATTTCTCTACGTATTAACTTTATTACGCCAGCATTTCGCTCTATTCTCCTTCAAATTCCAACAATGACTTTTTTCTTTTTCATTTTCTCGCAGATATAAAGACGTACTTTATAACTAAACGAAGGGCGGACGTCGTGAAGCAGTTCGATCAGAATGTGAGTCATGAGCAGGCGACGGATACAACACCCCGTCAACGATTGGCATCCTGCGGCAACAAATCCCGGCCTCATTATCTGCACATGGTCACGAATCCCAGCAGCTATCGCAACAAGGCCAGCTCCCTGCCAAGTATTCTAGATTCGGATAACGATGCCGAGTCTACTACGACCGCCGCGGCTTCCGGAGTCGAGCCCGACGATAGCGACAAGTCGCATTCCTCGACTCCTTGCAAGAAAAAGCGCCACAATCCTTGGAAATATCTGCAAAGACAAAGAACTACCGAAGAGATGTCTCCGCTTGAAATGGAGAGGCGTGAAGACAGCATCAGCAAGAACTTCGTCATCAGACCCGAAGTTGCGCAAGGATTACTTGCCAATATGGCTAATCCTGAAAGTATCGATGGAGACGTAGAAGAAGAGCTCAAGGTATTGCATCTTTAATGCACCAATGTAATTTTCCTACTAAGCTGAATGTGCCATTGATCAACGATTTCTCTTTTCAAGTCTTTCAATATTTGCTCATCCAGAGTCAATGAAGTTGATTCGAATCCTATGCCTTCTAGTCCTTTGTTAACGGGACAGGACTCGCTGAGTCACGCATCGTCTATCTGTAGCAGAAAAGATTCGGGTTTCCGGAGTAGAAGAAGCAGCATACAGCAACAGGTATGCTACAGGCTGCCCATAGCCATGCTTGAAACATTTCGCATAAGACTTTTTTTCTTTTTTCTTTTGTTTTTATCATTATTGCTATTACGTACGTACAACGCCAATCGGTTCCTCAATGAGATATATCAATGTTCTGATCAGTTGTACCTGATGAATGTCATCAATAATCCTAACGATTTACTGGGGCAAAGAGTTAGCGGTTATCACTCAAGTTCGACGATCGATTCAGCCAACGAAGTTTCATCGTCGATTCTTCCAAACCCATCTTCACCTGGAGTTAGTGATAATCCTGAATTTCGTGAATGTTTTCAAAATCTCCGTAAGCAGTCTGACCTGCAATTAATCAAGTAAGTGAACTCTTGAAATTTCCGAATTTTCAGGAACTTTTTAAATACTTTGGTCGATTGCAGATTAATACAAGATAATGTTATGTCACAACGCTCATACTTCGTTAACCCTCCGTTGTCTAAAACAACGCTATTTTTTAAAAACAAGGAAATGGAAAAAGAATATCGGCAACGAGCACATATTGCATCTGAAGAATCGTCTTGTACTCCACCGACTTTAGCCACTCCGCGTTTTAATACGTACTTCGATATTTGGGTATCCGCCATTGTATATACAAGCACATCGTTTTGCTTGTATTTACTTTGTGAACCGAGTAAGCTCTTCTACATATTTTTGGGCTTAGCTACGCTGATACAAGTTGTAGCCGTTTTACTTTGCCTTCATCGATTAGTTAAACCAAAGTAGGATGTGATTTTAATAATAACGCCCTAGAAAAGCGCTAAAAGAAATTAATTACTTACATGTTTTTTAGATCGACCCCTGGAACATTTTCTTACCTGGCAGCTCTTACCAGATGGTATCCTTGGCATGCGTTGGGTGCTTTTTTCGTTGGATTACCAATCGCTTCAATTCTGATAAATTTTTCGTGTAACAGTTTTTTTTCAAACTTTTTCCACCTTGAATATCATTTCAATCTTCTTATTGTTGTCGCTCTTGTGCACTTCTGCAATTTTACTCAACTCAACTGTTGGATGAAAAATTTTTTGGTCTCCGTGTTTGGATTGTTATTTTTAAGTTTAATTATATATAACAACAGCCACGATTCGCAAATGTTTGTCAACACTCGGCTCAATATTTCAAAAGGATTTGACATCGAGACAGGTATGAAAATGTAACTTTTTTCGATATTTTCTAAACTTGACGATTTTATAGGAATAATTTAAACATTTTTTCAGACTCTGATAATACGTCGACAATACTTTCTCGAATACTTTTAAATCATTCAATGTTAAGTTCTGCTAATCAAACACCTATTTTAGATGCCTCGTTTCTCGATGTTGCACAAGAATACACCACACGCTTATATAAGAGGGAAATTTTTCTAAATGTTTTTCTTATTTTACTATTAGTTTGGTTCTTGAATCGCGAATTCGAAATAAGTTACAGACTTAGTTTCCATGGAAATTCTGTTGCTGCTTCAGACAAAACTTGCGTTCAAACTATGAAAAATCAGGCTGAATGGCTATTACACAATATAATACCTAAAGATGTGGCTGATACGATAAAAACTACATCTAAATATTCACAAAATCATAAAAATGTCGGTATCATTTTTGCAAACATTGTCAACTTTAATGAATTGTACGAAGAATCTTATCTGGCCGGTAAAGAATACTTGAGAGTGTTGAATGAGCTTATAGCCGATTTTGATGAGCTACTAGAAAAACCGGAATATTCAAACGTTGAAAAAATTAAAACAATTGGAGCAACTTTCATGGCCGCTAGTGGTTTAAATCCAAGAGTATGATCTTTTGATAATTAATGTTTCAAACAAATTTTCAACTACTTATTTTAATTTTAATAATCAGATACGTGAACAAAATGAGCACGAAAATACGCACCTTCATCAGCTTATGGATTTTGTTGTGGAACTGTTCAAAGTATGCAATGATTTCAATCGTGATCTCTTGGGATTCAAACTGGTCATGCGAGCAGGATTCAACTACGGCGACGTTACTGCAGGTGTTATTGGTGCCACTAAACTTTATTATGATATTTGGGGTGACGCGGTAAACATTGCATCTCGTATGGATTCCACGGGTGTCCGCGGTGAAATTCAATTTCCTAAAAACTGCCTTGACGTTGTAAGCGAATGTTATAATTATGAACCTCGGGGTACAGTTTTTGTAAAAGGTAAGGGAGATATGGAAGTATTTCTCATGAAAGACAAAAAAACCAATAATTTTGACAATATAGAAAAATAAGATTCGTGACAATTATTGTCACGAGTTTGTATGGGCCTTGAAAAATTTCATTCATGGGGGTATTTATTTAACATGGAGTATTTTGGAAAAACTTTATTCATTGAAAACTTGAAGAATTTGATAGTGAATGTACTTGATACTACTGTTCAGTGGAACATGAATGAGTATGTTGAAAATGAATGTTCCCTATTCAATGGTTACTCTAAAGAATTTTACTGTGATAAATATAATTGAAAATGCCTTTATTAGATTTTGCAAAACATTTTTATCGAATTTTTGGATATCAAACTCTCAATTATGCTCTGTGAAACTAAGCAGATAAAAATAACGACAACGTGTGAAAACTCACTACAAACTTTATAAATATATTATTTGTCGATGTCATTTACAAAGAGTAACACGTTTACAGTTTTTGGTAATTTAACCGTGCTACTTTTCATAAAGGGCATCGTTTATATATTCCTATAAATATTCTATTTAAATAGTGCATATAGTTTATTGCAAGGGTCTTGAATATGTTAGTTAAGATGGTAGTATTAATTGTAAGAAAAATTATATTTACGTATTTGTAATTCGTGTTCGATTGTGATAAACGAACGCCTTACTTTTTCTCGTCGGCTGTCTAAAAATGAACTTTATTGTTATATATCTATTTAGAAAATTGATGTACATTTTTTTGTAAATATTAATGTACATTTGTCAAAGTATATTCGATTCATTTTCAGTTGCAACATATAAAGCTGTCGCCGACGAACATTTTGTAATTATAACATATTAATTTAGAGCTATATAATAAGCTTCCATATTGAGAATACTTCGTTTGTAAGTGTAAATAATTTTGTAAAACAAAATAGATTTATATTATCAATAAACGTTTAGCATCGATTTATTGATGTTTGGAGCATAGTTAAGGGTGTTAAAAAGAATTTTATTTTCGCATATACTATGTACGTTAATGATCTCTCAAAGCCCTTTAATTATAATGTAACTAAGATAATGATTGGGTACCTAAGATAATGATTGAATTACGAAGATTACTAGAATCTCGTTGTCTAAACTCGATATGAAAAAACGAATGAAGATTTATTTTGACTATCACCTATTGCGTACTTAAAATAAAAATTGCGCCTAAGTCAATGAATTGCCAGTTTTTTAATAACCACTATCAATACAATTGTATGTACATATAAATCGATATTTATTTATGTAGGTATAGTAGATAATTCAATAGTTTAGTTGATATAGTTTGAAAAAGTATTTTTATGAAAAGATATTAAGCCTGTCTTCCGAAATTTGATATCTTCTATTTTATCACGAGAAATTCACTTTTTAATATCACTACATAGTTGAAATTGTAAAATAATTATTTATATCATTATCAGAGCAAAACCTTTTAATATAACGACGTTATTTAATACAAAAATATTTAAAAACATTATAGCAAAGAAGTACACTCTACTCAGTTAAATAAATCTTGCCTACAGAACATTTTTATAATCTATCATTTGCAGATTTTATTGTAGCTAAGCTATCAAATCATATCATTTTTCATAAATTATATATTTCCTTTAATGAATTTTAAAATTTGTTTATAGCTTGACAAACAATTTATTAATTACTAGATTTAATTAAATTTAACCGACACATTAGCTATATTTGAAAAAGGCTTATCAAGAAACATTAAATAATGAAACAATGAATATTGATTACCAGATCACGTGTAGCAATTTAGATTTTTATAATACATTTGTACAAACTTGCACTTTTATATTTTATTATTGTGCGTTAGTACTCCAGGGTGCAATTTTCCGAATAGAAAAATAATATTTGCCATTACAGATGATGAATAATATTTTGAAAATTTCTAGTTAAAATTACTTGCTAAGTAATCAATTGCATGTGCAGCTAAAAAAAAAAAAGAATTATTCGTGTTATTAAAAGCATTTGTCTTTGAATTTTTAGAAAATTATCTTGTGCCTATTCCAAATGACGTCTCAATGATACTGTTTTATGTATTGATTTGAATTTAATAAATATTATAGATATTTACAGATACTTAGTTCAAAGTTTTTAGTAGATTTCATACATATGAAACTAAGGCAAGTTTTTTAAAATCTTTCTTGATTAAACAAAGTAAATCGATTGAATCATTTTAAATGAACATTCAATCAAGCTATCATATGTTTTGTCATTTTTTATTGGAACATCTTGTTTACAATGTATAGACATATTATACAAAATACACGAAATTTCCGATTCTTTTGATAGCTCTGCGCCATTTTCTTATGTATTTCTCACATCTATGTATTAATTGTAATCAAGATTCCCCAATAGACGAAGAAGCGCAAGAAAATTGAAGCGATTTCCGAGTCAGGGTAAAAATGAAAGTTTTTATTCGTGTTTTTCATATTTTTAAAGAATAATTTTTTGTAAGCATGGACGGCTTTTTTCCGTTAACAAAAAATTTTTTCATGTGCGTAAATAAAATTCATTATCAATTTTTATAGAACTTTGTACAATATTGGAAAAATTAATGTTTCTATGGTTAAAAGCCGAAAAACTTGTGGGTTTATATATACCAAATCAAACTTTATCGATGTTCTACGAGTGAAAGTAACAATAGTTTAATTCTAATCTCTGTGTATATTATTAAACATGAGTTGCAAATAACCAAAGATGAGCATCTGTTCAATTGATTTTACACTGCTTATGCACTTGTGAGCAATTGTGTTTATATAGAATACTTAGTAACAAAGTAAAGATACATATCCACATTATTATCAATGCATTTATTTTCTATAAAAGTATTGAGAAATGTCATAATTTTATCAAATTGTAATGCTACAGATCCTATGATGAATGATAATATTTATTTAATACAGCGAAATATATAAATAAAGATAAACAATCCGTGAACATTTACTGCGTTAATTTTTTTATTATCCTGATATAAAATAATTAAAAACAGTAAAATAGTAGGGCAACTCGTTAATAAGGTGCTATATACCCATGATAAGGTTTTGTAAAAAGTGGGCACCTGGGTACAACTTGTTGTTTGCAGCATTTAAAATAAACGATGTCGAAGATGTAGCAAAGCTTGCATTTATAAGCAAGATAAGTACGATATCGCCTCTCGATAAAGTACTAACTATATTGTAACTAAGTTATTCGAATGTTCGAAACGCAAACGCTGCAAGCAAAGTTCCGTAAAACCTGAAAATTTCTGATATAAAAATCTGAACAGTTATCTTATTATTTTATCTTCAACTTTATAATCAATTTGAGATTTATGTGAAAAAGTTTTAAATCAGAACTGTTCTCATTTTTGAACCTAATTTCCATCACTAGGTTCCTTACCTAAAATATTTTTTGGGGTCTCTAATTAAGTTACTTTCAATAAAGTTCTCTGTGCTAAGTTTGATCTATTTGTCCTTGAAGTCCATTTTTAAAATAATTTTATTCTTAATGAAAAATCTTATAGAGATTTTTTATCTAAAAAAAGAACTACTTGAGATGAAAAATGCATAGAAAAAAAGTCCTAGAATTAGTTTAAAAATATGTATGAGTTTTTTCACGATGATTCATCACTTTTTTTCATTGAGATGCTGAAAATAAAAGATCTTTCACATGTATTTTTTGACTAATTTGCATCAATTTGCATTTTTCTTCGAGTCGGGTCTTATTCGAGATACAAAAATCTCTAATATGTTTTAACAAACAAGAAAACTAAGCATTGGAAACTTCATTTTTAAATGCCACAAGATTGAATAAAAAATTACATAAATCGCGGAGTTGACAAAAGTTGCTTTTGTGGTAATTCACGGTTATCGTGTGCTTTTTTCGCTGAGCGATTGTTTGATTTGTCATTTGTTCAAAGCAATTGACAATTGTTCATTTCAATTGACCTTGATTTCACACTTTGTGTGAGTGCATTTAATTTTATTTTTAGCGTTACTAAAACGATTAATCAGTTTCATCACATTCTCATTTTTTAAAACTCGAAGTAATGGTTATAATAACTCTATAAATATCATGCTTCTTAGAAATATTCAAATTGTTTACATTGAAGAAAGTATCAACGGTTACTAATTATTTTAAATAAAATTATTATGAAAACATTACCACGAATTAAAATCATATTGGGATAAAGAAGTATAAAACAGAATACAGTTGAATTTGTAGCAAATTTCTTCATTTTTTCATTTGTTTGCATTATATATATTCTTGAAATTTCATTTAAAAAATATTTTTTCTGACAAAATAGATTCAGTCTAACAGTAGATTAGTTATAAGAGTTATTTTTATGAATAAAACTAGTTGCTTTTAAATGAAAACATATCAAAAATCGATTTTTATATTAAATAATTAATATTTTAAAACTCAAATTTACATTTTTCAGTTGTATTCATTAACAAATTGATTTCTATTAAAAAAGTACACTAATCTTTTTTTGGAGTATCAACAGCAGATTTGGTAATTTCTATTGAAGTAGTATTATTCTCCAGTCTTGCACTTTGTTGAGAAGAATTAATTAAGTTTTCTGCTGTAGAAGTTGAAGCATCTGGTATTTTTTCTGGCTGAGATACATTAAGTTGATGATAATAACTTTTAACTATAGGTAGATGAGGAGCTATTTCACTTGGTGGCACATACTTTGAAATATTGCCCTGAAAAATTTAAATTATTAATAATTCTGTTTTCTAATTTTAACAAAAAATGAAGGCTATAGGAAAAAATTACCTCAATATCTTCAAATTTGGCTTCCCTTGATGTGTACTCACGTATCATATATGGTTTACCCATTTCATGATACAAACGAGTATCATTTAATCTTATCATTACATTATCTATTCTTAAAAAATATTGTAGCAAAATAAAAAAAGATCCAGGCATCACTCTCTGAAATAAAACATTTAGAATTAATTATGTTCAACCACATAATTTTGGTAATTATAAAAATAACAAACCATTTTGACAGAAAGGGATGCAATTCCATTGTCATGTAATTCATCTTCAAATAATGTAAGATCAACATAAAATAGTATTTTTTCCTTTTTTTTTAATTTTTCCATATTAATTCTTTCTTCTGTATCTATAATTTCAAATCCAGTATAAGTACCCATATAATCAGTTGTAAATGTCCAATCAAATGGTTTGATTTTTTCTTGTAAATATTCTTTATTATCTGATCTATAATAATATTTATAATTATTAGAGTGTAATTAATTAAGTTTATGAAAATAATCATAAAAAATATACCTTGACTCTCTCCAAGCTTCAGCACAAGCTAATTCTATATTTATTTTTCCATTTGAAACTCTTTTCAGAGCATCTAGCGCTGTAAATTCTATCTTGGCTCCATTTTTATGTTTTAAATAGAGAATGTTATTTGGAAATACCATGTCTGGCATATGGGGCATTTCCAGGGCACGGCTATAACTATAACAAATTAACTCAATTTAGTTTTTAAGTATTCAATTTAGAATCAATGTCAAGGAAGCAAACTTTAATTTTTAACAATACTTACGAACAAAATTGACATTGATTAATATCTTCAGGACAACCTTGGTTTTCTTGACCAGTTACTGAGCATTTTGAATGAAGTATGTGAGATTTTGTATATTTCATATACCACGGTGGATAAACATGTTCTTCCTCATTTACAGGTAAACGTAAAATGTCAATACCTCCAGGATTTTTAATAGTAGTCATTTTTCAACTAGTGGATTATCTTCTATAGGAATTATTATTAACTTCAAAAGTCCTTTTTTTAGTATGCCTTTAATAAAAAATCATTATAAAATAAAAATAGCATTTTCAACACAGTAAAAATAAATTCACAATTATTATTGTTTTTGTTTTTACCTCTATAACCTTAGCTTTACTTTTTTCGCAAATAAGTTTACTTTTTGCGAATTTGATAATTTTACAAAATTGAACTCATCCGAGTATTCAAAGCAAATTGAGTATTAGCATCAAAATGTTTGGCATAATCAAAAAAAATTCTTTTCCAACCCGACCGAGAATGGAGACTGAATTAAACACTTTGCTAATGGTGCATCATGATGGGCTCAAAGGCCAATGTCGCACAGCGGCGCATGATGCGCGAAAGCAGACGCCAAAATTTTGCAACTGCTCAAATTGCAATTTCAATTAAACATTCAAAAACTAACAAAACTTGGTTCAGTTTTTTTTTAAATATGCTGATTACTTGAACTATATATAATAAGATAAGATGGGTTGGAAGAAAGAAAATTGAACCAAATATTTTATCTTGATTAAATTTTATCACATTTTTATTACAATAATTAATTTTAGGAAGGAAACAATAATTAATTTTATTTACAAAATAATTTAAAAAAAATTTTGTCCTAATAACTATATTTCTACAGTTTTAATGATTCATTAAGTTGAAGATTGACATAACTTAGTAACTTATGAAAATTTAAAGCCAGTTTTCTTTGACAATTGTTTTCATGCTTTGATTTTTCAATTAAGTTTTCATTGTATAAAGTAAATGCAATACTTAAAAGGCTAGGAGATAAATTTTCATTCTTTTTTGGAACACTTCTACTTGAAATATCTTTGGATATGAATTTCACAACTTGAAAGTTATCAAAGCTTGTATTTTCATAAAAGAAGTTTTTTGCATAAGACTCTTGCATGGTGTTTAATATTATCGCTAAAAATCGTCTGTGACACCATAGTGCTTCATGACCAGGAAACATGCAAATTAATTGTTCATTCATCAAACAATCCTCTATCCAGTATGAAACACTTATAATTGACTGTTCATACGCTATACCAGGGTCCTCAATTGACTCTGTTCCATGTAGTAGATCTAAAATGTCTTTGTGGGATAAGTTGGAGAAATTTGTTGCATCATAATACTCTTTTGCAATTTTTATGAACTTAAAAATAATATCTTTTGCTAATGACAGCTGTGGAGATATCCTATCTATTTCTAAATTATGCAATAATAGTAGTTTCAACAAAACTTGTCTATAACTCAATCCACTATAATCTGAAATGTGAGAACAACACCATTTTCTGGAATCTTGCCATTCCTTCCTTAAAAATAAATTAAATTGTTCTGGATATGATTTTTTTATCTCTGTAAGCACATGGCTTCGGTAACTCCAGGCGTGACAATTATTTTTATATCTTTCTGCTGCCATATCACAAGTTTGCATTTCTTTTTGGAACAGTAACAACAGATTGATACTCAAGTCATTTTTTCTTTGGAGAACATAATTCAAAATCCAACTTCTGTAAGAAAATGCTTCGAAACATTTTGGTTTGAAATATAAAACAATACCAATAAAACGCAATTCTTCCAGTGAATCAATTTTGCCACATCTTACAAATTCTCTTCTCATATTCCAAAATGTAGAAATGTCAGGATTCAATAATAATGCTCCAAATAACCAGCGAGATAGGGTCAATGTATCCGTTCTTCTTAAAATATTTTTTCTTGATTCTATCAAACTATGGTAAACATAACAAAAAAGTGGCTTGACACACCATGATTCTAAGCCTACAGCATTCTCATCATAATGTACTGGTGACTTGTTCCCATTATCTTCAGCGGGTATAATTTCAAAACTTGATAAGTTTTGATTTTTCTTAAAAATATTTTCAAGGTCTGATAAAATCCTTTCAGCCGCAGGAAAGCTTTCCTCCAGCATTTTACAGGCAGCGTCAATTATTGCTTATACGTTTTTCTATCTAAAAGACTTATACTTATCAAATGACTAAAGGTGTCCCATTAATAAATGTAAACATTTGTAATGCTTTGGACAAAGTTTTGCTCTATTACGAGCTCGTACTGTACGCACAAAGTCTAATGTACCAAGGAGTTGAAAAATGCCTCCTGCAAAAATAACTGTATTAAATACATAAAGAAAAACTTTAATTGAAAATGATAATGAATGTGGGTGCTGATAGTTGAGATTTCGATTACCTATCAGAGCTGACTTTATTTCCATTCATGCGAGTATAATATTGTTGCATCGATACGTGCCCGTCAGTCCCATAGACGTAGAATGATGCATACAGAAGAAGTAGATATAACTAAGGTTTCGTCCTTACTAGTTGGCTCGTAAATAGTATATATCTGAGCTGCAGGTGTATACGTGTGTAGCATGTTTTTATACTTATATAGGCAAGTATAGGAGTAAAGAGTAGCGTTGGTGCGCCCTTCAAGTATACATAGCAGGCGGCATAGCACTTGATTCATTTATTGCAGCGCGTATAAGGTGCGACACACCTGCTGAGTGCGGTCACTGCCGCTGTGCGTTAATGCCCGTTGCCGCGGGAGCTGCCGTTATTTTGCCTCTTGGCGTACGTGTAAAGTTGCTGTTGCTGCTGCTGCTGCTGCTGCTGCCTGACGCAGTCGCGCCGATGCACTGACTGCGGCACAAGTGCACTGCCACTATAACGAGTCTCGGAAGTCTCGGAACTGCTCGGTCAGGCTTTATCGTGTTTCGCTGTGTGCGGCAAGCGTTGCAGTTCGCAGCGCTCACAGAGACTTAGGTTATGAGCTTTGGTTTGTTATGATCGTTGACGCGTAAACAAGCCAATCGCAGATCGTACGTTAAAGTCAGTCGTGCGCACGTAAAGCGCAGCAGCCAAGAGCTCAATTAAATCGAGAAGCCCGCAAAAAGATGAGCCGCCCGATGAGCTGCGAGAGATGAGGTACGTAGGGGCAGATTATTCAAGCTATCTATGCGCTACGATGCCATAGCGATAATCGAATCGGCGCTTTTGCTCGCAGGCCTAACGTAAAAAGTTGGACGCGCTGAATAGCTCTGTGATCGTTGAAAGATCGGGAAGTTGGTACAAGGGAGAATCAGCGCTCGCAGCGTCGCGATGTACGTGTACTTGAGCAAGAAAATAGCCATCCCCAACAACGTCCGACTGAACTGTATAGCATGGAACCAAAAGAAGGGCTACATCGCCGTGGGTGGAGAGGATGGCCTGCTGAAGGTCATCAGGGCCGACACGAGCTCGTCTAGTGGCGGCGGCAACAGCCAAACAACATCAACGACAAGCACGACGACGACGACGACGACGACAACGACGACAACGACGACAACGGCTGCCGAGCCGACGAGCAACAGCAGCGGTGGAAAGGGGGGCCGCAACAGCACGAACAACGCGTCGAGCAGCCTCAGCATGAATCAGAGCCTCGAGGGCCACAACGGCCACGTGCAGGTGGTCACCTGGAACGAGGAGCACCTGAAGCTGACGTCGAGCGACCAGAACGGCGTGATAATCGTCTGGATGCTGTTCAAAGGCTCCTGGTACGAGGAGATGATCAACAATCGCAACAAGTCCACGGTCAGAGGCATGTGCTGGAGCTCGAACGGCCTGAAGATCTGCATCGTGTACGAGGACGGGGCGGTGATCGTCGGCTCGGTCGAGGGCAACCGGATCTGGGGCAAGGACCTGAAGGGCCTCGTGCTGACGGCGGTGCAGTGGTCGCCGGACGCGAAGCTCCTGCTGTTCGGCTCGAACGGCGGCGAGGCGCACCTGTACGACGAGCAGGGCACGTTCCTGACGAAGCTCGACAACATCGGCCAGGGCCAGGGCCAGGCGATCGTCTCGCTCCAGTGGTACGACGGCCAGAACGGCTACGTGGCCGAGGACTGTCCGGTGCTGGCCGTCTGCTACCAGAACGGCAAGCTGTACCTGCTGCGGGACGCCAGCGACGACACGCCCATCACCGTGGACTGCCTCATGAGCGTGAGCTGCTGCGTCTGGAACGGCTACGGCTCGCTGCTGGCCGTGGCCGGCACCTCCCTCAGCCACGAGCGTCGCGACTCCAACGTCATCTCGTTCTACTCGCCGTTCGGCGAGCAGCTCAAGATCCTCAAGATCCCCGGCAAGGAGGTGAGCGGCTGCAGCTGGGAGGACGGCTCCTTGAGGCTGGCCCTCTCGGTCGACTCCAACATCTACTTCGCGAACGTGCGGCCGGACTACAAGTGGGCCTACTTCGGCCACACGGTCGTCTTCACGGACGAGCGGGTGGGCCGCGACGGGGTCTGCGTCACCTTCTGGAACACCCGGACGAACGCGCGCTACTTCAAGTACGTGCGGGCTCTGCTGGCGGTGGCGGCGCACGGCGAGCACTGCGTCCTGGCGGCCCGCAACGAGGTCGGCCAGGGCCCCGAGCGCTTCGTCCTCTACGTCTGCAACGCCATCTCGACGCCGCTCGACACCAAGTACCTGGACCTCGAGCCGAGGCAGCTCTGCATGAACGCCACCACGGTCGTCGCGGCGATGCGCAGCCACTTTCTCCTCTGGAACTTTCGAGCCCCGCGCAGCTCGGCCCTCCAGCCGGCGAGGCTGCGCCGCGAGAAGGTCTACCACGTCGACGACACGCCCACGGGCACCGTCGAGATGGCCGCCGCTACGAGCCCACCGAGCACTGCCACTGACTCGCTCGAGCTGCCCGTGGCCCGGGAGAGCTCGGCCGGTCGCCGCGACACCGCTGACCCGATCTGCAGTATCTGCTGCAGCGACAAGCTCCTGCTGCTGGGCCGAGAGTCGGGCATGCTGCAGCAGTACGGCCTGCCCCAGGTGACGCTGAGCAAGCGCTACGCGACGGCGCGACGGCCCTGCCTCATGGCCATCAACAGCGACTCGACGCGGGCCGCCATCGTCGACGGCCAGGCGCTGCTGCGTCTCCTCGAGCTAGCTCCGAGCACCGGACCAAGCTCCGTGCTCGGCCGATCTAGTAGCGTCGAAGCCGCCAACGCCGCCAACGCCGACGACGACGAGGAACGCGAACGCCTCGAGGACGTGGCCAAGTTCGAGCGCAAGGACGCCTGGGCGGTCTGCTGGGCGCAAGACAACCCGCGACTGCTGGCCGTCATGGAGAAGAGCCGCATGTACATCTTTCGCGGCCTCGAGCCCGAGGAGCCGATGAACTGCGCCGGCTACGCCTGCTGCTTCAAGGACCTCGAGATCCGCTGCGTGCTGCTGGACGAGCTCGTGCGACAGCCCGAGTCGGCGGGCCCCGAACTGCTGCAGGACCTCGAGGTCAAGTCGCTGCGCGACACCCGCGACCTGTTGGCTCGGGTCGGCCCCAAGGAGGCCGAGGCCTTCGTGCGCGAGCGGCCCCACCCGAGGCTCTGGCGTCTGCTGGCCGAGCACGCGCTCCGGGCCCTGGACCTCGACGAGGCCGAGAACGCCCTGGTGCGCTGCGCCGACTACCTGGGTATCCGCTTCGTCAAGCGGCTGCGCGGCATGCACGACGCGGGCCTGCGTCGCGCCGAGGTCTTGGCCTACCTCGGCGAGTACGACGCGGCCGAGCGCGCCTACCTCGAGCTGGACCGGCGCGACCTGGCCGTGACGCTGCGGCTCCGACTGGGCGAGCAGCCCCGAGCCCTCCAGCTGATGCGCCTCTCGACGACCAACCTCGGCACCGGCAGCGGCGACGCCCCCTCGAGCAACGTCTTGTCGGACGCGATGCTCGAGCGCGCCGAGGCCAGCTGGGGCGAGCAGCTAGCCCTCGGCCAGCAGTGGAGGGCGGCCAGGGAGCACTTGGAGCGCGGCGGCGCCCTCGAACGCCTCCTCGACTGCCACTACCGCCTGGAGGAGTACGAGCAGCTGGCGGCGGTGGCTGCGCGCCTCCAAGAGCCCAACGCCCTGAGGCGCGCCGGTCGCATGCTCGCCTCCGTGGGCATGGTTCAGCAGGCCGTGGCTTGCTTCGTGCGTTGCGCCGAGCTGCGCCTGGCCGTGGACACGTGCGTGCGCGCCAACCGCTGGGAGCAGGCCCTCGAGCTGGCGCGAACCTGGCGCCTGCCCGGCATCCCCGAGCTGCTGGCCAAGTACGCGCGCCACCTTCTGTCGGCCGGTCGGCGGCTTCAGGCCGTCGAGCTCTACCGTCAAGCCGATCGACCCCTCGAGGCGGCCCGTCTACTGCTGGATCTCGCCCGAGAGCAATCGGCCAGTGCGCCGCCGCTCAGGCTCAAGAAGCTCTACGTGCTCGCCGCGCTGCTGGCTCAGGAGGCTCTGGGCCGCGCCCGGCCGGCCGGACTCTTGGCGGGCCTCGCCGAGGCTGCCGGGGCCGAGGATGCCAGGCTCCTCGAGGAAGCCTGGCGAGGAGCCGAAGCTTATCACTTTTTGCTGCTGGCGCATCGTCAACTCTACGCCAGCGAGCCAGAGGCGGCCATGCGAACGGCCCTCCGTTTACGCGAGTACGAGGAGCTGCTCGAGCAGGAGCCGCTCTACGCGCTGCTGGCCTTGGCGAGCTGTGCCTGCCGTGCCCTCGCGACCTGTTCCAGGGCCTTCGTGCGACTCGAGGCTATCGATCCGCGTTACGAGGAATTGGCTCTGGAGTTGTTTGGGGCGCGCCCACCTCGGGACGCTAAAGCTCCCTCCAAGGCCGAGTGCATCAGCTGCGAGAGTCTCGTACCGGATTACTGCGTTGCTTGTCCCAATTGCGCTAGTCCGTTTCCGGCTTGCGTTGTCACCGGCCGACCTCTCATGAACCTCGCCTCGGCTTGGCTCTGTACCGTCTGCAAGCACTACGCCGTTTCGGAACGCGAAGTTGTTAATATCAACAGTTGTCCGCTCTGTCACAGCATTATCACGTACATGTGAGCTCGTATGGAATTTCTCGTGTTTTCGGCTGCATGTATCCAATTGTCGTGTAATACGTAGTACAAATCAATTAGTTACTGCACGCCCGAATTTGATTCATTGGCATTTTTATGTAGGATTTAAGAACTTGTAAGAGTTACTCGCACACGTTTAATTAATTTCGACTACTTATGATCTCACTGAAAGTATTAATTATGTATACCTTTTTAGTATAAAACTGTTAAGAATTTATCAAAGCCAAAAGATTTTATTAATACTGTTGTATCAAATCAACACTTCACAAGTGCTTTTCAACAAAGATACATCCAAGGAGTTAGATAACGTAAAAATAAACCTAGTTAATAAGTAAAGATGTATTTATTTTTCATGTCATCAAATATGTCGTATTTATGGATTTCAACTATTTTTTTGTTAATAAAATTTTTAAACTAGAAACATAATGTACACTTTTTTGATCCTTCTTAACCAACTGAGATTCAGTAATCAATCGTCTAATAATTATTTTATATATAATGGTTATAAATTAAAAATCGATTCATAAATTATTCGTAGTTGTATCATACAATTTTATTTTATAAATTCAATTCATCACACTCTCAAAATTTAATTTCACGTATAATCGCAACTGTTCTCACACATCATTTACGTTTTACTATAAGAATCGTGTATAGTCACGGATAATTTTATTTAATCAAAGAACCATTAAAATTTATGTTTTTTATATAAAACATTTTGTCATGTGCACGTGTTTATGCTCCTTCTTGATGCATTTGACTCATTCGTGCGAGCGAGTGGCGCGATGCATAAATGAATACAAATAATTAAATAAATCAACGTTCAAGTATAAACATTGAACACATTTGTATACTTATTTATCATATGTTCATGAATTTTTCACTAATGCACAGATATGAGTGAAAGTAATTTATAATTATGAAAAAAAGCACACCTTTTGTTCCCGATAAAAGTATTTCCGATACCTAATATATTTTATTATATAACTGAGGTTATCGAAAATTCTTGATTCGAACAAGTTTTATGATTAGAAGATGCTTTGAAAGAGAAACAAACCGCGTTTAATGAAGTGCTGGAATTTTTTGACTCACTCACAGCTCTTGAAAGATATGATACGGGATGATTATAGTACTAGATTTGTATGGAGACAGACGCGTGACCATGATTTACAATTCGGAGTATCGTCGAAGTTTGTTCGTACAGAATCTCAAGTAAAATCCATATATATATTCTTATTTCTAAACGCGTACAGATTCTGTTTGTATATTTTCGATACTACCAAATGCAAATTTCATACATAATTTACATTAAAATAACGTCATTTATTTCATCATTATAATTCACATTAAAGTCATTCCAGCCTGCACCCGGCGCATCGTGAATTAAAACATTTTTAAAAGCTCCATTGTTAAATATTATCGCTCGTATTCAGCATTCAAATCTCAAAATAAATGCTCTATTTTTCAAACACACTCAAAACGCATCAGCGAAAATAAAAAACGATCGAATTCTTTTGCAACAAAGGTGATCAATCGTTCTTTCAGTCAATGCCTTACATCATAGTATTCACGTATTCTGGTCAAAAAATGACCGAATATTATATTATTAATTAAAATTTATCTAATCTATAACAACTCCTTTGACGCCAAGACTTGAAAATTAAACTTTGAATCTTTAATGTCCATTCACACAGGCTAAGTATAACATTCGCGAATTACAATTTCGACGATTTTGTATGATAACAAATAAAATAATTGCACAGCAAACACGTACTATTATTGTTTTTTAGTAATCCAAATTATGCGGTCTTTCAGCTAATTATATAAGTAAAACTTTGCTATTTTAGGTTTTGTGATTACTTTTATTTTACAAATAATTTACGATGAAGTTGTTCGTATTTAAGTACCATACCGATTGTACGAGATATTTTCTAAGTAAGACATCAAATTGAAAAATAAAAATATTTTCGAAGGTATCTATACATTCATTAATTAATGTACATAAACACCTATGCATCATAATTTTTAATACAAATTTATCAAATGTGTTTTTTTAACATTTCATTTATATAAGTATTTCAACACTAAGCATTGATATTTAATACATGTATATTTTTTCATAATTTTCCTATATTTTTTTTTAAATGTTGTAAACATTATTTCATTTTATTTCATATTAAATTGAAAAAAATTCGAAAACGTCAAATTGAATTATTTGTAAGCTGGCAGTGAACAGGATAATTATTTGTATGTATTCTGAATAAAACTAAATTTCGATAAGTGCTACGATCATAAAAAAATATATCTGACTAGTTATAAATTAATTTATAACAATTTCGGAAATGCAAATATATTTTTCAATACGCAGTGATGCAAAAAACACTGATTATTTTAAGATCCTGATTAAATTTGAAATTTAATATTTCTAATGCATAATCTTTCTAATACCGAGATATTCACAAATAATATAATATTTTGCAGTTCGGTAGTGAAAAAAATTTTACGTTATTTTAATTAAAAAAAAAACTGTTAAATCAAAACAGTCATTGATGATTTAACTAGTATCTTGAAGATAAATATTATGACTAGTAACAGTACTTTATGCACTCACATTGCACACTCACTTTATTTAGATATAAATATATTTATATGTGTATATCTGTCTACAAGTTCAGCGTCACACTTTATTCTGAAAACTATACACTTAGCGTACGGGAAAGTCTGGCCAGTAATTAACATAATAGCGTTGAGTTGAACCTTCAAATAGTCTATCCAACCACATAGGTAATCCTTCTAAAAGATTTTCAGTAAACAGAATTTCTTGTGTCTGAAAATATTTTTAAAATTAAATATCTTTTACAATTTCAAATAATTACAAATCAATCATTTTGAAAAATGCTTACTTCGCAATCGGAATCGGATGAACTGTCAAACCCGATAAATGCCCCAGATTCAGCATCATTTGGATGAGCCAAACGTTTTGTCATCCTCTCCATGCGCTAAAATTCAGTAAATGTATTTATAAGTTTTAGTTCTTCAATTTTTATTTTTTTATGTATGTATTCTGAATAATCTTTTCTAATTGGAATTCCTGTTGTACTTTTTCACCACATACCTTATTACCTTTACCCTTTTTACTTTCAGGGTGTTTTGCATGGTACATGCAAAAATATTTTCGATGACCATTTAATGAAAGAACTGTTCCTACACAGTTTTTAGCGTTGATTTTCAGGTTCCTTTCTTCAGGAAGGCATAAAGTTAATAAATTTTTGTACCACTCTAGACCACGTTCCATGGATAAATGACAAAACATTAATGGCACATTTTTCCTATGAACACAAATATACTTGACATTCTAATATAAATTACTTTTACTAAATGGATAATAAATAATATTTATTACCTATAAGGCCAAACAGCTTTGTGGAAAGCTGGTATTAATTTTAGTTTTGAGTCTTTATCAACAAGCAAAACAATAGTTCTGCATCCAGGTTTTAGCAGTCGAACAAGACGATTGTAAGTTTCCGTTCGCATTTCATAAAGCTTGAGCTGTTTTTGTGTTACTTGTGCTGTTGGTGTTTTGACTTTTTCAGAATTTTTTTCATTTTCAGCTTGTATACTGGCTTCTTCTGCCGCACTGCAATTAAAAATATTGTTGATTTCAGTACAATGAAAGCATTGAAAATACTCAAAATTATAAATGATTAAAGTTTACACAGCATGAACAATTCAATGGATAAATAACATAATATAGATTTAAGTTTAATAAGTTTTTACTTACATTAAATACGTCATTGCTTTAGCAAGAATTACTATCACTATGAATGATCCTAATACAGACAATACCGACAACACTTGTGCTCTGGTACAATTTTCCAAAATATAATCAAACATCATTATTGTTTTTTTTATGAATTTCTCATTTCGACTCTAAAATTGAAGATGATAATTTTTTACTTTAAAAATGTGAGAAAGAGGAGTGAATTTTTTGTACCAAATCTTACCAAAGCATGTTCATCTGAAAGTTCCTGTACTTCAGCAGCGTAAGGTAATGCTTCATTAGAACGCAATAATTTTTTAATGTTTTGCTCTAAATTCAAACGAGTTTGATTCCACTGATCTTCATTAGAAGTTACTTGAGACCAGGCAGATTTGAACCATTCATACTTTACATGACTAGAGTCTCGTCTCCAAATAATTACAATATGATGCAGAGGATCAGATGGACTACTTTCACTAGCCATAAGAGCTGATAAGAACTGTGGTTGTGTTTCTTTGAATAAATAAGCATATCGAACTCTTTCAGGGCTATAAAATGAAATCATATAAGTATCAGCAGCAATCTAAAAGTTGTTAAACTTTATTATTAAAATTAATAAAATACCTGTGAGGTGCAGCTAAAGCAGCTTGTCTGAATTTATGCCTCATTGTTTCATATTCATTAGTATTTTCAGTAATAAGAACAGCACACAAATGTTTCCTTGAATTTTGCCACACTTGAGGGCACACAGAATCCAACATAGCCTGATTAGAAAGTCTTGGCAAAATTAAAAATCGATTACTGTTGATAATATTGTGCATTGTATCAGTTGGAATATCTTGCATACTAATTGACGCAACAGGCTTTTCTACATTTTCATTAAAGAGTAATAAGGTGTCCGCATCTTGAGAAATCTTATACTTTTCCATTATACCTTTAGCGTTTTTACTTCCAGTCTACAGAAAATATGTAAATTTATCAGCAATTTTTAATTTTATCATTGCTAAAAAGTAAAAAATGTACCTGTACAAAACCAAAAGTTACATGGTCCCTATGTTGTAAGGCAACAGCCAAGTACCTAATCCTTGGTTTATCTTTATTTTCAAATATAAGGGCTCTAATTCTATTATCTGTCCAACCATTCAGAAAATTTTCTACATTATCGTCATTTATTTTATGCAGAAGTTTGTATGGAAATTTACTTCTCAGGAAATCTACAAGTAAACAATTAAAAATTTATAATAAAATTTTAGCTTTAAGAACTACATTATCTGGTTTAGGCACAGTACCAAAATGTATTCAATTAATTGTTATTTTAAACTATATTTGACAATTGTTTACAGTACTTACCAACAATTTTTTGAACACTGAATAAAGTTTCTTTGTAAGCAAAAGTATGACCATCGATCGTAAGAACTAAATATGGTAAGGAGCGGACACCCAATTTATTTAATAATGCTGTTTCTTTTTGCGCATGGACAGTGTGAAGGCTAATTCCAAATGGCTCCAGCTCATCAATTAGCCGCCGCCATATAGGCTCGACTTGTAAGCAAGCAAAACACCAGTCTGAGTAAATGAGAATTAAATGCGGCATACGATAACTTTTTGGTACAACAGTATTTTCAAAGGCTCTGAAATGAAAAGCATAAATATGATCATACAAAAACCTTAAGTAAGGATAAAAAAATTTTCATTTAAATGATAAGAAACTGTTAACTCTACTTATAAGTGATGCTCATTTCATGAAAAAGACTGATATCCCTGCTTTGATAATGAAATTTGTTAAATCCAGATAATAAATCTTCAAAGGGATCTCCTCCATCAAAATGATTTTCTCTTTTGTGTACTGGTATTCCTTCTTCAGTAATTCCATGGTAATCAAATTTTTTTCTTCTTTCTGGATCTGATAGAAGCTAAAATACACAAGTTTATGTAAAATTTTCATTGCAGTAGTTCTTTTAATATAATTCTATACCTCATAAGCTCTAGTTATTTCAACAAATTTGGCCTCAGCCTCTGGATGATTAGTTTTGTCTGGATGCCTGAATTTATTAAAAATGTTGATAAATAATTCAAAAATTTCATAAAATATTCATAAATTACAAACCATTCTCTGACTAAATTTTTGTAAGCTCTTTTGATTTCTTTAGAGTCTGCTTTTCGTGAGACTCCTAAAATATTATATGGATTTCCTAAAGGCTCTGCATTCACAGGTGACAGTTGCAAGGTGGCACAGAGCCCTAGTAAAAGTACAGAAACTCTCACTGCACAAGAGGATAAGTTTAATCTCATTATGATTGATTATCTTGTATCAACATTCAATTGATCAGAAATCTCTAAAAAATTGTCACTCTGAAAATCCTATTTTTAGATGCACTCGAAATCTTGACATTGTCTCGATATCTGGAAGCTGGAAATTCAATATTTATTTTTTATAAACAATGTGTCATTTAAACTCATTTTTTTACTTTCTAGAAAGTAACGAGTAGTTCATGGGTTAAACGTTTTCGTGAGCAATAATTTACAGTGTCTCAAAGATGCGCTTTAGCAATGGTGTTTCATGCAAACAATAATCACATAAAACTTGACGCAAATAAAATTCGATGAAAGAAAAAAAGTCAGAATGAAAAAGAGGAATGAAACACGAGATATATCAGAGGACTCGTATTACACCGTGTGATGATAACTTTAATTTCACAAATGTACGGGTGTTTCAAACGAAAACTAGCAGAAGAGATTTAAGTCCACGCGATTGTCAGAGAGTCAGAGAGAAGCGCATGAGAAGATGCAGTTAAACGCGTACTTTGAGCTAAATCTTATGTGAGTTTTATCTTACACGAATGCACATAATGAGATACTGTGCAGTATAGAATTATTAATGCATAAAAAATAGACAATTAATATAAATAAAAATGAATCATTGTTTCACCAACGACAACGAAATAAAGGCAGAAATTTTCACGCGCTAAGGAAAATATCTCTCTCGTATTCAACGAGCCCATAGAAATTTGGAATTTGGGAGCCAGCGATTGGGATGCGCGATCCTGTATCGGTGTACGTTGGTGATTTAGCTTACAATCATCTTTAAAAATCGTTCATCTAGATCGATTTTGATTTTGCTATAGCTATAATACGGCAACGATGGATGGTCCGAAACGATGATCAAGAAAGACAGGTAACGTATACGTAGAGGATGGCAAGAGGTAGTTGATGAAGAGCAGCAGCGGGTGAGCTGTGCGCGCGAGGATCCCGAGGAGGCTTGGGACAGTTGGCCTTTGCTAGAAGCTATAGCTGCGCTGCTGTGCGCGCGAGGGGCATATCAGCATCGAGCAGAGCAGTAGTTAGTCTTGGCGTATACACCTAGCTAGCAGCACACGCACATACGAGCGAGAAGAATAGACAAGAGGCAGAGTGTTACAAAAATAGACTGCGACAGATCAACACACACGGCCGCGGCTACTAGCTACTGGCGATCGTGTCGAGTGGCGAGTGCTGCTACAAGCTACAGCTCGCGAAAGCACAGCAGCTGCGCCTCGCTGACTCGGGGGACACCTCGGCGCGTTCTATCGAGACGAGAGCGATCGTCTCTCGGGGGGACACAAGGTCTAAAGGGAGCAATTGTCGATCGATGCGTTAATTTTGACTAGCCGCAGATTCGAGTGCGGATCGTTGCACGAGGTAAAGCGCAGGGAGCTTTGAGCGCTCGCGCGTCTCGCGGCTGCGATTTCGTCGGACGCACCCTACTCGGGGTTCACGATTGAATTTCCAAGGGGGGCAGAGTGTTAGCTAGCCTCCAAGTTGTAGATGTGGCACCTACCATTGGCCAGCCGAGCGGGTGGCGATCGCTCGACGTCTCGCCGCAGCTACGATCAGCAATTGTTTATGAGTGGCCAGTAGCAGGTCGCAGCGCGGCTGCCCACTGACTCCGAGGAGTGACGAAGCTCGTCGAGCTTTTCAGACACGTAGCGCAGCTCGTCATGGAGCACTACCCGCACCCAACTGTACGCGCACTCGGTTTGTTGTACGTATTCGTGATTGCGCTAAACCACTGTGCTCTGCGGCCACTGCGCCAATCCTCTATGCGCCAGTTTCGCTGCTACTCTTGCTCGATCACGCGAGACTGGGCAATTTTCCCTTGTACCCTGACTACTGACTGCTACCACTGCTCGAGTTGTTGCTGCTGATGCTGATGCTACTGATGTTTCCCTTTGCAAGATTGTCTCTTTCTCTCACTTTTAGCGTATCGTCGTCCCCTCCCACATACAATAGCAGCTCGAACATCGTCGGCTGGTCCGCAGCGAAAGCTCGACTTGCGACTGAACTGCCAGCAGCGCGACTGCTGCTCCCACCCCGCCTCGGTCGCCGCTTGCCACTATAGCGAGCAGCTCGGATAGTAGCACATCCCCTCCTTGAAATTCATCACTCGAGTCGACTGCTATAAACCCATACATATACAGCTTGTGCTTTGCACCTCAGTTTGTTTCCTGACGAGACTCTCTCTCTCTCTCTTTCTCTTGCTCTCTTGAGTAAGCTTTCACCCGCTACCCATGCTCGAGCTTCGACTTTTGCAACATTAATAATGCTCTGAGCCGCGAGCTTTTATTAGTCCATCCAAATACGTCGATACGTCAGTTTAACGCAACGACGACGCTACAAGAACATTTGCTGTCTCATTTTTTTCTTTCATTTTTTATAACTCTTGTTCTGTCCAAAATCTGGACTTACAAAGATACTTGGAAAACTTTTAATCTATTATATTACTGTACAGCGGTAACTTTGTCACGATGTTACACACAATCGGACCCTATATACTATAATGTTTCTAGGCAAACATTATTCAGTAAATAAAGCCAGAAGTACAGCTGTTTTGGACACAATTCATATCGACGTTTTGACTTTTTTTCAAAATCAATACGTGCCAACACGTGGCTATGCTTTTCTTATTTACAAACACACTCGGCAATTTTATTTGTATTTCTTAACATATTTTTCTCTTTAAAAAAAAGAGAACGATTCATCATTTTTTGAATACCATCATTCGTATTTTTTTAAAACTTAAAATGAAACTGGTAGGCAAATCTGACTGTGATAAAAAAAACGGAATTTTCAAGTCTGACGTTATGAAGTCTTAAATGAATTACAGTTTCTAAATTTAGATTCATTTTAAAATATTAAACGTTCGAAAATTTATTCTTACCGATGAGTTTAGTTAGACGAGGTATTTTTTTCTATAACGCAAGAACAAAGTCTTTTAGAAATCATCCGAATTGAAGACTTTCTCTGAACTTTACCTTAAATGCGTTCGTTACATGTTCTTTGATAGCACTACTTTTAAATAATGTTAAATAAATTAATAAATTACATGACATTTTCACGATGCAAAAATTTTGAAATTACGCGCTAATATTTGATAGGGCTTTTTCACAATCGTCACTATTGGTCTCTACGATTTGCTTGGAGGTAAAATATGCAAGGTGTTGCGGGTTTTGTAAAAAGAGAGATCTTGTTTGTTTTGCCTCCAGACAAATCAGTAAAGTGGCCAATAGTGACGACTGTGAAAAAAGCCTATTGTCATACAAATAGCAATCAGCGTGTTTTAAATTTTAATCTGTCCACACACTGACGCAACGCAACCAATAACATCAAAACCAACCTAGTGTTTACCAACGCACGTTGCGGGCAAAAATGTCATTTTTGACAAATTCTCTACAGTCAACGGTGTGATAAATTGACATGTTTCATGAAAATTGGCCACTTTTTTAACAGCATTTAAGATTCATCAAAATGAGCAAAGCAAATGCTTCAGGTATTAATTTTCATGCCAAAATATCAATATGTTTCAAGTTCAAAATATGGCTGATTAAAATGATTGTTTATAGTAGTTGTTGATCCAGTGCAAGAAGAATTAGCTGGAAGGGTTAGAGAAGTTGGAAACCATGCTATTTGGAGCTTATCTAGCTGTAAACCAGGCTTTGGTGTTGATCAACTTCGAGATGATATCACTGAAACATACTGGCAATCAGATGGACAATTACCTCATCTTGTAAATATTCAATTCAGGAGAAAAACTACAATTAGAGACATATGCATTTATACAGACTATAAGTTGGATGAAAGCTATACTCCTAGTAGGTATGAAAATAGTATCAACATTAATGTAACAAAATTCAATCATGATGATAAAAAAATTCATCTTTTTAGAATTAGCATCAGAGCTGGAACCAATTTCAATGATCTGCAAGAAGTTGAAGTAATGGATCTTAATGAACCAAGTGGGTGGGTAGTAATACCCGTAAAAGATCTTAATGAAAAACCTGTGAGAACCTTTATGATTCAAATAGCTGTCATAAGCAATCATCAAAATGGACGAGATACTCATATGAGACAAATTAAAGTTCATAGTCCAGCTGAGGATGTTCTTGGACCTCATTCTCAACTAGTGCCAGGACAATTTCTTACAAATGAGTTTCAAAGATATGCTACAATAAGATAGACATATTTTTTTGACTAAATTAGTTTGTTAACTTTTTGTGAGTTTTTGTAATTGAATATTTTTTATTTTTAAAAACATTTCAAGTTTCCCAGTATTTTGCCATATACATACTCTACTCAAATGAAATATTTTCATTTGAACTTCACTGTGATTATGGAATGTAGAAAGTGTAAACAAAAGATTAGGCTAATCTGTTTGAACTATCAACTACAATTGTAACTCTGTTAGTTAACAGGATCAGTTACATCTAATAATTTGTATAGCTAACATCATGCCTTATAAACAGGTGATCATCATCATTGTTTTTTGTCTGTTTTTACTTTTATTAAAAACTTCAATAAGTGATGACTCTGATAAAATATTTAATAATCAATTTTATAAAGACATGGCTGTAAAGTATGGTATGGATAAAGATTTTTGAAACACTTGATAGAATATTATGTGGTGATAATTTTATTATGTGTTGCTGGTTTATTTAATCATGTTCTTATAGAAAATGTTAAATTTGATAAAGAAGCTCAAAAATTGATCGATATGGAAATCAATCAATTTCTAATAGAAAAGCTTGAAAAAAAGAAGTATTTTCAAACAAGGAGATGGCATAATATTGAAAATCAAATAGGTAAATAAATAATTAAAAATTACTAAAAATTTAGTATTATATTTACAATTCATAACAATATGTACATTTTTAATTTTCATTCATGATTTATTGATGAAAATTTGGCTTCTATTCCAAAAAGTTCCTTGAATGCATGTTCTAAATTATAATTGATTAAAAATTTTGCCAATCGACTTTTATCATTATGCCCATCTGAATTAGGAAAGCATAGTTCTTGAAAATTAGAAAACTTTTTATATGTACTCATATCATTGGTAGGATCAAAATCTTTTTCTATAAATTTTATGAGTATTCTGTGCCAGTTCATGACTTTCAGTTGTTGCCAATAACATTCACAGTCTTTTAAATTTCCCTCGATGCATATAATTCCAGGTTTTCCAACAAAACTAAAGCCAGTTAAAGAATAGTCTTTTGCCATATCTACAATATTTTTTCTTTTTATTTTGCTATAAATATGATGACTGTATATCCAATAACGGCCAAAATTAATTGATTCATCTTCTCTCTTTGAACATTTTGATTTATTTATACTATTATTTATGGAAGAATCTCCAGAAAAAGAATCTGTATTGTCTTGCAGCCATGATATTAGGTTATAAATAATGGGTTCACCTTTCATCTGGGACTTCATAAAATTACTCAAAGCATTATTTAAGTTTGATTGTTCATTTCGATTCAACATTGAACATCTACAATAAACTGTTGGTTCAGCATAAGGATAATCTAACGGCAAATTTACAAGTAATTCAACTGTGCCCTGAAAAAAAATTTCCAATATAAAGGTTATCTAAATGTTTGATAATCTTGCAAAATCGTACACTTACTTTAAGAACTTTAATTTCTATGTCGTATTCCAATTTGAAAGGGAGTTCATTTCTTTTGCCTTCAATAAAGTCATTGATATCTGCCAAATTACCATGATCAGACACTGATACTTCATCAGGGTACACTGCCTGTAAAGTTTCCAATTCTGAAATTTGAGTCACTAAATTTTCTTTTACATCTGCTGATTCTGATGACATTACTGCAATTTGTTACGGTATTGCAAATGAAACTCATATGTTCACTAATTTTTCAAAATTAAGTTGTAGAATTGACAAAAAATGGTCAAAGCAATGAATCAGGAGTTTAGTAAAATTTCAAAGATATGGAATTATACGAATTTATTTTGAGCGAATAAATGAGATTCGAACGAGTACTCGTTTTTACTTTCTAGACATGAGTGCATACGCGCACTGTGTTGTCTCTTGCTATATATAATGTAAGCTGGGGAAAAAAATCCAAGTAAATATGGGTATATCAGATCGTGGTGCACAGTACACACTACGGAGACTTGGAGAATGGATAGTATAAGTACCGCGAAACCAAAGAGAGGGAATAGCAGAGCAGTGAATTGTAAGGCTTTTAAAACGGCGCACACGCAATATTGTTAATATATTGTATAATGTAACTGCTGTATAATTTAAAATCATGCAATATGTTACAAATTTTACTAATCCACGCGTTTATTTCAGATGTTTTCAGAGGACTAGAAGAAATTCTATCTTTAAATATATCGAATTTGCAAGACGTTCATTTTTTCAAGCAAGAAAATAATCAATTCTATGGATCGGTTTTAACTCTTAACGAGATAATTATATATCGTTTCTTTGTAAGTTTCAATAAAATAGTTATAACTATACGAGGCTGTTTCACAATAATAAATGGGTCTTCTAAAATTTAGGATAGTACCATAGAGCAAGTGGCCTCTCGTGAACTTGGAGGTACTTCCAACTCCAGCAAATACGATGTCAAGTCAAATGGAGATGTATTATTTGTACGAAAAGATACGGACGTGGCAATTTTTAAATTTTTCATGGAAGGCAATCGATACGAAATCGAACAGTTACAAAAAATTACCATTTCCGATATCAAAGATGTGTTTTTCGGTCGAGGATCAAGCAAGTTATTGGGTAAATTCATTTTGAACGATCTTTGTGATTCTCATTTTTTCGAAAAAACTCTATCGTGTGAAATTTCTTCGAAATTGCAGGTATTTCAACGCCATCCAAGCTTTATGTATATTCTTGGTCTGGAAAAAAATTCACTTTACTTTCTATTCTACCATTTTCTACCGAATCCGTGATCCCATTCCAGAGCAAGAATAATACATCATTCGTAACTTTGGGCGAAGAAAAGACGCGAATCTTTCAAAGCATCCGCGGTCAAATTGTACCCGTTCAAAACATACGTAGGAAATTTCATGACGGTGCATTGGTGCTGTTGAAGGATTCCAGTGACACCGAAAATCTATTGGCTTTAACGAATGAAAATCAAACAATATTATATCATCAGATTTACGATAAGATTTTCACGCCATTTCAAGAACTTCCAGCAGCCGATCAGGTTGATTCAATACATAATCACGGACAAACTATTTTATTGCTGCTGAAAAATGAGGTTGTCAAAGTGTACTTGTACGATGGTCACCGATTTGTTTTGCGAGATCACGAGCTTTTTGGCGTAGAAAAGATCGAGAAAGAAATTATCAATGACATGGAATACCTACTCGTAAAATGGGCCGATAATACCTGGAGTTTGCATAGGTTTGCCCAAGATTAATTTGATTTTTTGGAAACAATATTTTTTGTATTTCGTTTTGATTTATATTATTATAGAAGTGCCTTTAAATACATACCTATGACTCCATAATGTTTTAAAACTTTTTTTTTAATCGATTATATTGCACAATTGTATTTGTAAAGAAATATTATACATTCAGGAGTCGATTGAAAAAAATATTTAAAAAATTCACAACGATTAATTATAGTTATTTTTCGAAAGGATGCAGTGGGGTAGAATATCAAAACCTGAACTCCATAGAGAAATATTAGCTTGGTGCTTAGCAGTTAAAGATAGAACAAGAACCATACCAAAATCATTTTTAAATTTAGAAAAATCTATTCACATTATTGGAGGACGAATTAGAAGGATCAAAGCCAAAAAGGTGAGTATATGTCTTTTTGCAATTACCAAACTAAAACTATTTTTATTTTTATGATTTTTAGATCAACGGCATCACTATCGAGAAACTTGATGAGCTGAAACAAAATTACATCAATTTGATGTCACATTTCACTGAACTTAACACCCATTACACTGAGTTGAGAACAGTAAAAAGTCCTGTAAAAGTTCGCACTTTTCGCGCATCTAAAGCTCGAATAAATTGTTCCAACAATCGATGCACTGCTAAAAATCTTGTTGTGAAACATGAGTGCGATTTTACGAACAATCTAAGAAAAATTCACGACCATGATGTAGAATTAGACTACGTGCAAGTCAGGGAAATAAGTGGATTTCCGTGTCCTGCAGCTGGAATCGTGTTCAAAGATGTTAACTTTACAGGCCTGCTCAATGGTATTTCTTGGATAAATTTACTGGAAAATACTTTGAAAACAAGCGGCGATCAAATTGTTACTGGTAATTAAATATGACTTGATATAATCAGACATTTTGGCTGGTATAATAATACGTGTATACTAATACAGCCCGACATACATTCGACAAGTTGATCACATCGTCTCTCTTCGCTCAAAATATTGACATAGCTTCATCTTACACTCGTCAATCGGTCAAAACTGACGCGATTTATGCTAGAGAGCTAAAATTAAGCGATGATACCGGTCTTCTACCCCTGGATGGAAAGCCAGTCATCATGTCGGGCACTCTGCGTACGAAAAAAACTGTACTCGCTGGACCCATTGAACTACGCGGTGGCATTTACGGAGCTGGTAGCAAACGATATTCTCCAGTGGTGCACTTCTTAGACTCGACGTATCAACTAAACGGAGACTATGCACTTAATGACCTACATATTATTGGCTCATTACAAGCTAAAGATGTTACTCGACAGAAAGGCCAATCTTTGAAGGAAATAATTGATCTATCAATCTCACTCGATGCCAATGTTCCTGTAAGATTAATTTTGAGTAAAGAAAAAACGGTAAGTCGTACTGCTGCTATAAAGATATTTTTAATGAATTAAAATATTTTTTATAAAATTTAGATTTGGACCAATATCACTGTGAATACGTTACCGCATTGGCTGATGAAGACGAATTCCCATCCGGTCCAAGTAACGGGTTGGAAAATTGCTCCCAAATCTGTCATACTGTCCAACGCTCTCGTTTCGAGATTGCCGCTACCAAAGTCAGATAAAAAAATCCCTATTTATTTGTATCAATAACAATAAAGTTATTTGAATGTATTCTAGGGTAGAAACTCGAATATGCAGTGTTGGCGCCATCGCACCAGGAATCAGAACAACGAATCTGAGAGTTGAAAATATTACGGCAAAATTCATTTTGAGCGATGAAGTTTTTGGCGCTGACGAACTTGATGCTGTTTTACGAGATTCCGTAACGTCATTAAAACAAGTGGATATGTCAAAAAAACATCTCGCGGGTAGAGTGTTCGTGAAAAATGTTTATATTCATGATTTTGAAAAAAATTATGGTAAGTTCATAATTGCTTTTATTATTTTTTAATGGAAAATTTAGTTCACTTAAGGTAGAAATTATCACTGAAGGTTTGCAGAATTCAAAATTCAATTGGCTTACACCGAAAATCATAAAAGGACCACTACAATTGCAAAATTTTGATGTCAATTCAATGAATACCACAGGAACTATGAAGTTTTATTTACCTTATAAAGTCAAAAATTTAGTAGTGGGTAAAGATTTTCATGTTCGTAAGATCAACGATATTGTTATAGATAAATTATTTAGAGAAATCATTTCAAATGATGTTCAAGAGTTTTCAGGAAATATAACGTTTGGTTAGTATTGATTGTATTATTTATTTCTAAAAATAAAAATTACATAACAATTTATTACAGGATACCTTGAGGTTGACGAACTTGAAGCTATTAATAGTAATATTGATTTATCATTTCTGTATGGTAATATTAATATCGGTAATAAGGTAATCGAGACCGATTTAATTCTCGAAAATGACATAACAATATTAAACATATTATCTTTGTCTGATAATATTACTACGTACATGGTGGAAGGTGACATTTCATTCTTATCATAGACCTTCTCATCATAATGTACCAAATAAAATATTTTTTATCTGCAGGATCAGTTAAATTTAAGAAAGAACCAACTATAAAAAATTTGGATGGAAAAAGTTTACCGAAATATATATCTGAAACGTGGGTTCCTTGCAGCCCTTTTCCGCAGCCACATAAAATTCATATGGCTGATATGAATTTAACTCAATCCTTAAACGGATCTGTAAGATTTCCTTTTTTTTGTAATGCGCAGTATCCGAAATTATTTTATCGAAGAAAAATTACAGGCTTTATTGAACTCACCAAAATTTGGATATTGGAAAACTCTTCGTAATCGAGTTCTTAGTGAAACTGATGATCAAGAAATCGATGTTCCCGTACATTTGAGAAAATCTCATGTTCCTAACATCATCACGAAACCAGGTGTGATTCTTTTTTGCAGTGATGAAAAGATACATAATCTTTTGTATCAAACTTTTACAAAAGATGAAAAACCAATAATAAGGATTCCGTGGACTATTGGTAAACTGATTGTCGAAGGTAAAATATCTCAGATTGGTGATTATCAAAATAAAAATTAAATTAAATTTTGTCGATATAATTTTAGGAAATATCAAGTTACAAGGAAAACTTAATAATTTCAATTTGACTTCCGATGTTGCGCGGTACGATGTAGAAGATAACTTTGTGTCGGGGGAAACAGTTGTCAATGAACTGTTTGTTCAAAATTTGACGAGCGAAAATTTTGGTGAATGGTCCAAAGATGCTCTGTTACAGTCGAAAAGCCGTGGTTATAACATCATCTCGGGGCGTAAAGTATTCAGTACTTTTAAAACTCGCTTCATAAAGTTAGTATTTTTTATCATACATGTAAACTATCATACGTTTTTAAGTCATTCATCTCAGATTTCGATTATTCCAATTCATCTATAAAACAATATTTAAAAGAGATGTATAACATAAAAAAATGTTCATACCATTTGTGACACATTTTCATTAATCTGTTAAAGCCCAAAACTCATAAATTTTTGTTTAATTTACGATACCACAATTTTGGGTGATATGGAGGTGTAAAAATTCTACAGCCCGATTCTGAAAGTACATAAAATTATAAATAAGAAATCATGTCATTAAACATTTTACATTTTCGTGTCATCAAAAATTGTCGTATCGACAATGAAAAGAGATTCGGGGAGATTTGAATTTCATAGAAAGCAAATAGAATTGAGTAAAATATATGTTAATGTAGCCTCGAAGGTGATTTAATGGGAAAGAAGATCGAAAACTGTTTTTTAAATGGCAGTGATCAAGTGGTGCTAACTCCAACTTTTATAGAAGGATACGTTACGAGTACTTTGTTAGCCACTCAAGGTCTTGTCAATAATATTAACTTGACATCTTTTAAACACGGTTGTTTAAAGTTATGTGAGTCAGCACAAAACGTAAAATCAAAAATGGTATTCTCCGGTAATTTTAATATCGTTGGAAATCTCATAGTTCAGGAAAATTTTTCAAAAATTATTTTTAATGAGTCCAACGATGAAGAACACACAGCGTCAGGTTTGCTACCGTTAATAACTGCACTCGAAGAAATAAAACAAGGTATATAATTTTTAATTTCAATGTTAATCAAACAATGCAGTGAATTAAATTGTTACTTCTAGGTTACAAAAAGTTTTGGTATGCTTTCGAATTAGAAAAAGACATTGATATGCTTGGAAAAAATCCAATCCTCACGAACTTCAGTCACTCCAACTTTCAAGAATTGGGTGATTGTGTAATAGTGCACTTTTCGAGTATTGTATGTAACGAACTAGAGGTTTATCATCTAAAAGTGTTTATCAATGCAACGAATTTTTTGATAAACAAGATATTATCATTGGACAATGGTCCTATTATTATACAAGTCAGTGCAGGATTGAATAGTAGAATTACGATTCACGCCTACAACTCCCGCACGAAGTTCTTTGACGTTGTTGCAAGTACGAATTTTCGTTTCCTAATCTTGTGTTTTCCTACACTTTTGCATAAACAAATTATTGTACAACAGGTATTCGAAGCCCTGGAATATTACAAGCGTCTGTTGTTGCCCATGAGCAAATCATTTGGATAGTGGCACAAATGAGACTTAGTATGATGATAGTGCGCTTCGGACCGTTTGGAGAGTTAAAAAAGTACCACCTGCCTGCATCGCGATTTTTTTTACTCGATCGTGTACCTGCAAGCAATGAGCTTGTACTTGTACGACAAGATGGAATGTGGAAGCTTGATGGTCTTGATGGTCCAAGATGCGAATTTCATGTCTTAGTAAAAGCTGACCATGTAGAGAGCTTTTCAAACAGTCATGACTTTTTTATAAGACTGATTAGTGCAGGTAATGTTTCGCTTGTGCTGAAGGCACTTTACGTTGGGGTTTAATACTTTATGTAAATTTATGTTTTTTATGTTTTATATTTGTTATTTACTGTTATTTACTGTTATTTTATTTGTTATTACTTATTGTAAAAAGTAAGAAAGTCGATTTTCGTAATATTGTATTTATTAATTTTAATTATACAATCGGATCATTAAAGCTTGTTTTTGAATGCGTATGGAAGCATACAAAAAATAAAAACAATCAAACACAACGATATTTTTAATATTTCATTAAGTTCTGAGGACTAGTTAACAACATCTTTATAAGACCTGTCATACGGTAACCATGTTTAAATTTGTTGCAATTATCGAGGGTACAACCCTTTACTACTTTAAAACGTAATGGTGAACTTTTCCAACACACGACTAAACTAAAAAAACGTAATTCCTCGCAAATAGATAATAATAATTTGAAAAATTCAATTTGGAAATGATACAATTAAACTTATACGAACAAGTTTTGTAGCATAAGTCTTAATCTAATCCTGGAACGAATACGCTAACGTTCATTATGCATGGTGGAATGAACTGAACAAATGTGATGGTATTTTGAACGTTTATGTAAGTCGAAGAAACGGTAATTAATATCCCTATTACAATGATGCAGTATCCAGTCCAATCTAGTAGTCGTTCCTGGGTAAAAATTTTATTTCCTGGCTTGAGATAAGCATCGGGCAATAATTGTTGTCTCCTGCAAGATAAAATATGAATAAAAAATTGTGCATACAAATTACGATGCGTAAGTGGACAATGGCACAAGGGCAATACAAACATTGGTCTCTGCAGCGACGGGCGGGTAGCATCGAGCATCATCGGTAAGCTTCCAGTTCTGGGAATGTCCTTACCGTCGAGCTTTGGGAAGCCACCCTCAAAGCTTTTGATGCTCACTTCCGTGCCTGTATAGGGATTTATTTCGATTTGATCCTCCGAGTCATAGTAGACGAAGGAGTAGCCGTTGTCTCGGTATTCAGACTCGTTTCGAAAGCTGTAGTGCGTCGATCTGCGAATTGTCGCGTGGACGACTAGAATAGCTACGGGAAAACGTGGCTGGACTATTAGAACGCTTACTTGGAATGGGCTCGAGGATCTCGAAAGATGTCGGTCGAGGCGCGGATGCACCTCTCGGGCTTGGTGTAGGGAGCTGGCGTCGACCTGTATCGGGTATCGGGATCCAGGCCCGCTCGGCAGAGATCGTCCGGCGCGGAGGAGCGCCTGATGGTCGTGCGGCGCATGGCCCTGGCCTTGGAGTACATGAGGGGCGGCAGAACGAAGACGAGCGGCCCGGTGAGAGTACCGCCGATGAGCGACATGACGATGTCGAAACGCGGCACGGATTCTCCCAGGGCCACCCCGAGGGCGACGATGGACGAGCGCAGCAGGCAGCGTCGCCACGAGAAAGCTTGTGGGCCGACAAAAAACCATCATTCTCGATCAAAGCTGTCAAATTGTGCAATTGCGTTGGGTGGACTACTAACAGCGCTGGATCTGCAGGTGGTCCTCGATGTGCTGGAAAAGGGCCGAGTGGCCGATGGCGCTGGTCAGGCAGAGCTGCAGGGCCGAGATGAGCACCGCCGCCTGGACGATGGGCCCGGGTGGCATGACCTGCAGTATGTTGGCCGAGGTGTCCCCGCCGTAGCGCCAAACCGCCAGAGCCGTCGTCACGGCGAACAGCGTGCCGCTGACTTTGCCCCGAACAAACAAAGCCTCGATTAGAATGATCGGCCTTCACTACAACACCTTGAGATCAACTCACCGAGGAAGCCAAGCATGACTGCTTTGCCGATGTGTTTGGGCTTTTTCATGTCCACCTGGATCGTCATCAAGGTCGGATGAACGTCGAATTGAAAAGCCAACATGCCGTAGCTGCGAGTCAATGTAGCACAAGGTTTGCATTTTTTTGATTGGTTGGAGTTGTTTGTAAGGTTGGAGTACTCACCCCGCGATGAAGCGCTCCCAGGCCGGTGAGCTCGGCACCGGTGTGTACGAGTCGCTCGCGTCGTCCGAGAAAATCGACCACCAGATGAGCAGCGACGTGACGGATATCGTCGCCGAGGAGATGGCCACGATCGATCTAGCAAAAGTTGACGGATGTAATCATCCGGATCGTAGCTATATAGGGGAGAGGCGGGTAAGTGGAACATGGCTGGTAACCGTGTCACCCCCATAAAAAATGCAATTTTCAACTTAAAATTATGAAATAAATTTTTTCATAGTCCTTTCATCATTTATGATATTTATACGAAAAAAAATTTTTCAAAATCCATTTTTTTTAACAAAAAAAAAATTGTTGAAAATTTTTGACTAAAAAATCCAATATAACCAATATTTCAACTGAGTAGCAAAACGATTAAAAACATTTTTTTGCTTTTGAAATTTATATCACTAGAAAGCTAGAAGCTTGAACTTTAATTTCCTTTTTTTTTAATTCTTCTACGATTAATATTAAAAAAGTTATTAACAAAATAAAGAAGGTACTCAAACCGGGCGCGAGGGTCACCTTCCGTCGGGCACTAGTGTCACATGACGACCTATCAATAACCCATTCACGTCGAGAATAATGAAATTTTTTGTTCGTGATCGACGCGATTTTTTTTTATATTTTGAAACGCAAAAAGATTTTGCGCATACATAATTTCATGTAAAATTTAATGCCCTTTCAGAATCCGGGCTCAAATTGAAGATTTGATGCTTCGTCAAAAAGTTATGGTTGTTTAAACAAAAACAAACGTAAAAATTTGCGCGAAAAATCAACTTAAAGAAATTTTTTCCAAGTGTTGCAGTATAAAATTCGAGGTATAAATATGATGAGAGGTAATTATGGATGTAGAAGTACCGTAAGGAATTTTCCTAAATTTTTTTAGCTACTTTTTCTAACAAAATGGCGTCCCTCAAGTGAAATGTTTATAAAAAACCAAACTTGATTTTTATCTTGAAAACCATTGGGTTTAGAGAAAAAGTTTATAGAACAAAAAAGTCTTAAAATTTATCAAAGAAAAGCCCCAAATTTTTTCAGAATTTTCGGAGACGATTTTCAATTTTCCGACAATTCGTCGAGTGCAATCTCTTAAAAAAATCTCAAAAAATTCTGAAAATATTTGAGAATGTTTCTCGATAAATTTGGAGACTTTTTTATTCCATAAACTTTTTCTCTAAACTTCATTGTTTTTGAGTAAAAAAATATATTATTCTACACATATATGTATTTTTTGCATGATAATATACATGACACTCGTGCCCGACTCCTATGGCACAATTCCCGGCCATTGAAAAAAGACGGGCAATTGTGACAAATTTTTTGAAATTCAATAAAAAATAGAAATTTCATTGTAATTTTTTAATTTTAATATATGTTATAGAGCTTGAGCTCCCCTTTGCAATGATCGTTTCAGATTTAAAAAATTTTAAAAATTCGCTTCAGGAAGCAAGTTTGAAGTTATGGTGTCACTCATGCCCGTCTCTCCCCTAGATGCTGCAACGAAGGCATTTTTCAACTCACTTCATGTCGCGAGGGCTGCCGAGCCACATGATGGGACAGAGCAGTACACCGACCAGCAGCAGCCAGTAACAGAACGACAAGTTGAACTGCATGTCGGAGACTTTTAGGCCAAACAGTTGCAAGTTCTGCGACGCTGTCCAACAAACGCAAACATTTCTATGTGCTCGATTGCGAACTTCCTTAATTTTACTCGTTGCTCAACGTACCTACCAGCAAGTTAGGTATTCCGCCGGCAAAAATAGTCAGGTCCAACAGTACCGACACGCAGGAGCTCGCGCCTTTGCCCAGCGTCAGCTCTGTTACGGCGGTCAGTGGATACCTAATTATAAAATTAAACCTATCGTCTAATAGTTATATTTTGTAGTGGTTCAATCGAACGATGAGACGAAAACCGTGTATGTGAAAACATGCATCATATTATGCTTAAGCTAATTTCGATCAAGGACAGAGCCATTGATCGCCTTACCTCATTGATGAGCCTACTGTATTCGACTTGAGTTAAAAATTCGGAAAAATTATCTTCGACGCTCGCTAAGTATATTGATAAAGTAAAAAGTAAAGTACCGGCTCTTCCTCGTGATATTGGGGTCCAGCGATCTTGCGATGTTCCATGATTTGCCAAGTAAGCTCGCGGTATAAATTTGCAGAGCAAAAACTACGAGCACCAGTGGGACACCAAGCAGTCCTAGAAGAAAATTTGCTTTGATTGATTGCGCTCGTGCAGCTATTTGTACTTGTTCGACTCAAACCTCAAGATTATTCACACAGTTTTTATTAATAAACATATACGGTATATATATCGCGCGGGTATGTGTTTATATAAGCGGTTGAATTCGCTCGCACCTCACTAAGCAACTAATGCCAAGTCTGGGAATCGTATCGTGTAATCAATTTCGCTTCGTAGCACACCACCACTAAGTATATTTTTTTAATATACAGAAGAATGTTTTATTAAAAATAAAGATAAAAGACCGCTGCAAATGCATTGGTAAGGAGCTTTCTAGCCAATTTAGAAAATTATTTCCCACTCTTTACGTAAATGAAGCTCTTTCTAACTTGATTTGATTCGATTCATCATTCGCAATTCGGTAAGTATTCAAATTCATTTTTAGAACAATTATGAAAAACCAAAAAATTCTCATTTTTCTCATTTTTATTTGGAAGCTCATCAACAAGCCTTAACACTTTTTTGTTTTACTTTAGTTTTAGCTGTTCTTCTTTCAAAATCGCTACTCATATGTTGCAAAAGCCACTTAAACCAGCATAAAAATGTAATAAATTTATTTTTTTCGAGGTGGATATCGCCATTATATTTTGTAAGCTGAGAAACGATGACATAAATAAATTGCGCAATGGTATATTCATAAGAGCCTTTGCTAGCGGTTGTATATCGATCACGCAGTGATCCATGTCGCCGAGACGATTCAACTTTTGTCTATCAACGAGTCCCTCGCACTTAATTTTCATTTTAGAAACGAAAAAGACAAGTGGTATTTTTCCGCGATCCGCGAAGCGAGGAATCGAGCTAGCTGGGCAAAGTTAAGCCCGCAGCTTTCAATCGCAAGCTGAGGAAATCGATAGAAGCGCAAGAGGCGGAGGGGCGAATATTACGATGATTTCAACGAATTATTTGGCGATTTGAATTTGATTAGGTAGAAATGAGGCATACCGCACTGGACGATGGCGCGTGGCAAGGCGATGACGGGAAAGACGCCGAAGATGTCGACGATGCAGAGCGTCGCGAAGAGCAGCGAGAGTCCGGGCGCGGGATGCCTCGCCGATGGCAGCAGGGGCCTCTGCTCCTCGGGCTTACTCTTGTAAGTGTAAGTCCTCATGACGAGGCGAGGTCCGGTCGCAACTGCGCAGCCGACTGCTCGAGCCCAACGTCGAGCGGCGTCGGCGTTCCGACTCGCCACAGCGCGAGTAATTCGATACCCCGTTGCGCGACGCGCTCCAACCTCGTCCATACGATCTCGAAGACCCGCAAGTGTACCTCATGCCGATTCGCCAGACCAATGCCTGATCTTTTCAGCTACGTCACGGGCCACTCTTTGCTTCGAGAGCTTGCCTCGCGCCATCGTCCCGACTATTGTCCCTTTTTTCCTTCTGGAGCTCTGCTACCGATTTTTTATCCGCGCTCTGCAGCTCGCAGCTCCTATACGATTAATCCTATCTATTTACCAGCGAGGCTTTAATCCCAGCTGCGTTGCATAAATCGATACTACAATCGATTGCCGCTTCAACTTGCAAAGCTGTAATTTATAATTATAAGCTGATTATTTCGAGCGAAAAGGGTCTACCGCATTGGGGGCCACCACAACTGCGCGAGAAAATTCCAAGAGAGAAAGTGAAACGTCGAACGATGCTTGATCGATCGCGCGCAACGATTCGGGCTACAATTACAAATCGCGCCATCGATCCTAATCAATTTTTTTTCTACCATTCATTGCAATCATTATTAACGAATATTAGTTTAACTGATAAATTATTCATCATCGATGTACTTTAATTTTCTGCGGCTTTTTATTTAGGCTTATACTTTCTGAATTTCTAAAAACTCAAACATGAAAAATGCGCTTCATCAGGGTAGAATCAGCCATATAATATATACCCAGATAGATATATTCAATGGAACAATTTTTATCCTCCCCCAATTTTTCTTGTTGCCACAAATATTCTGCTTTTTCTAATTTAGCCAAAGTAAATGAGAAAGCTGTACAAAGCAAAAAATATCAAAATTCTCCTCGAGTCTCGGAAAACGACATATTTTATTCGTTGAAAAAAGATCTATGTAGGACTAGATAACAACTGCTTCAACAAGTCTCACGACGTTGCCGTTTTGATTATTTATACTGCTATGACTGTTTAGTGTTCATTGAGCGACTATATGAAGGTGCATCTACAATAATATCTCGCTGCGGTCTACAAGTGGTCAGTCTGCAGCCCCCCTCTCAATTCACAACCCCCTTAATCGAGAGTCAGCAATCAGCATGAGATAATGTTCAGACTATCAGTGTAGAAGCACTCGCGAAACGCGAAATGAACTTGTGAATTGAGTTGCAGCAGCAGTTGGATATAGTTGCAGTGTGCTGCAGCGCCAGCAATTTTAGACGTTCGTCATTCGTCGTGCGTGTGCGTGCGTGCTTGGAGAATTCATGTGTGCGTGTGAGTGTGTGTGTGGGGGGCAGTGACAATGAAAAATTCCTAGTCGAAAGTAAGAAAACGTCGCGCTAATCGACTACGATCAACGGATTCGAAGCGAGCCGATGCTCTATAGCTTGCGGGCCAAGCGCTCAACGCGATAGCATTCGAGGCTCAAACATCGGACGGAACCACGGCAGAAAATTGATGCGCGCTCGAGGCAACGACTTGCAAGCCTACAGCAGCAGCAGATCGCCGATCCAAATAACCAATTTGCGCAAGGCACAATAGCAACTATACATATCGTACAAAAGGGCTTCTGCCGAGAATCCTCTGGGCGAGACGTAAGCCACAGCTTGTCTGATTGACTCGAGTTTGAGCAATCGACACTCGGTCCATCGGATCAAGCTCGCACGCGAAATCATAACATTAAATCTTCGTAGTTACTTTACGACAATTCGCAGCCATATATGGCCGACTTCATTACAACAATCTTCCGCAGGCAGTTGATGTAATCAGCTACATACATTTCAGTGACGGATAAAAAAAGCGCGACTGACTGCCTTATTGTGTTTACATATATTCATGTCTAGTCAGAGCAGCAAAAGCAGCAGCATCATTGAACGAGCGCAAAAGTGATGGCAGCAATTTGGTGTTTTCAAATAAAAGGAGCGACTCGGAGAGCTATCTGAACGCGTCAAAACATTGAATGCGCAGCAACAGTAGTAGCAGGGGCAGCAGCAGCAGCAACGTGTCTCTTCCTCTCTCTCTCTTTCTTTTATACACACATCTCGTGAGCCAAGTATCGCGTGCATTGTCGCCTTGTAGCATCGAGTTCGAAAGACGACTTTTTAAGCTGCGCGAGTACGGACTCTGGTGAGACGCGACTGCTATTCGTTATACTCGTACGTAACAAGTGCATATACTGATCTACACGAGGTACACTTGTCGATCGAGAGTCGTGAAACGACGATTACGCTACGCTACTTATACGCTACTCTAAGTTTCCAAGTATACAAACATCATGGACGTGGACGAACTCGATCAGCACTTGCTGCATCAATTCAGTTGCATGGGCACGACCGACAAGGATGACCTGGTCAAACAATTACAGAGAGTGCTCGACGGGAGCCACCTCAACGAGGCCACCGCAGCTTTTTTCCTCGACATGAACAACTGGTTAGTAGCATAAACATTACATGTACTCTTTGTAGACTCGTACTTATTAGCCCGCGACATTGACTTTCAACGGCTCTCTCTCTTAATTTCTCGCCAACTCACGATCCTACACAAATCATTTTTCAAGCTTACCCCTAAATGCTTTAAACATACACCATGTGCGTATTAGTTGTAATGTTTGCATACACAAATTGCAAGCATAGGCACTCGCATACTCTTGCACGCTTGTGCCCCTTTTGTGTATACAAATACAATGCACTACGACGACTCGCCACACACGTATGCATGCGTGAGCTTGGTTTTTTCTCTTCTCATATCTCTCTCTCTCTCTCTTTTTTCTTTCTCTCATTCTCTTTAGATACAACACACTCCTTTGTGTCATTTTCTACGACATGCATACGTGCATTATACGTTGCCATTGCATCTATACTTCATGCACTACAGGAATGCTTACAGAGAATGGTACAAAAAATGACATAACCTACATTAATGACTCATTTTAACTACTCCTAATGCCTTACAGTTCCAATCTACCGTTTTTTTCTGCAAGTAACTCATGCTGCAGCTTACTTTTTGCTTTCAATGACACTGAATCAAGTGACCAAATCTTAAGTTTTCTAATCACCTGCAGATATTGATGCAGCAAATTACTGATAATGTCGCTTTTTAAGTTGGCCCCAAATGAAACCAAATAAATAACCAAATTAATGTTATGATCATCTTACTATTATCATCACTTTAATCCTAATTAGGAACTTACAAGCTGCAATTGGAAGTTACTGCGATTTTGAGGCAACATGTAAGTTACCAAGCATGAACTTGGTATGTGATACCACAATTGGAGAAGGAGAATCTGTACAACCAAACACAAAATTTGTCAAATCCTGGATTGTTCAAAATAGTGGTCCTGAACCTTGGCCAGAAGGACTATGTTTGAACTTTACCAGTGGTGTACAAATGGGAGAAGTCACAAGCATACCAGTTCCAATGTTGCAACCAAGAGCAACTACAGAACTCAGTGTTGAATTAGTGAGCCCTCCAACGTTAGGTGTATACCAAGGCAAATGGCGAATGATGACTTCTAATGGATCTTACTTTGGAGGTATGTTATATTTTATAATTTAAAAATTTAAGAATCATGTTATTAGTTAAATCTAACAACGAAAATCACTTTTTTAGATATCATTTGGGTTATTGTGACAGTAAGTGAAAGTGGTACCTTAGCAGTCACTCAACAACTTCATCACCTCAGTACATCGCATTCAAATGATGACCAAATGTTGTAGCCTTCAAACTAGGCTTGTTACATATAAATTTTCTAATACTTTGAACTCACAAGCTAAAATAATTTTCGTTATACATTAGATTAAAGTTTTTAATCTACGAGATTTGATGGAAGAACTTGGGGTTTTTTTTTTAAATAAGCATCATATTTTCTTCAGATTTAAAAAAAAAACTATAAATATAAAAACAGATTTTAAAATAATCTATTTATTAAATTATAAAAGAGGAATATTTGATTTAGAAGTTTGTTTCTAAAAGATTTAAATTCATAATTTTTAAGTAAAATTTTGGCCTATAAAATGTTTTATTCTTGTGTAAGATATCTGATGAAACTTTAAAATTTCTTTATGCAAATTAAATAGATAGAGCTAACTATTTTGTAAGTTATGCTCATTTGAGCCAAGAATTAGAGTGAATTTAGAATAACTGTAGTCCAAAAAAAATCAATGTAAATTAAAACGAACATGGTTATTCTTTTGTTGTACTTGAGCATAAAAATATATATATTGTGATGTTTTGACTACCAATTTGTAAACAATATTTAAAGTGAAAAGTCATAAGAGTAATGTATATCTTAAGATATGAGTTTATTGAATATACATATAATTTTTATTAGAAAAATAAAAAAATAGTTATTGCTAGAAATAATTGTTAGTATTTGAAAATTCCTTCTTCATTACAATACTGTTAAACAGCCATAGGCATAGAAATTTTTGGATGTGGATGGTAACCATCTAGTTGAAAATCAGATGACTTGAAGTCATCAATTTCTTTAACATTTCTTGTTATTATTAATTTTGGAAAGGGTTTTGGCTTACGAAGTAGCTGCTCTTGCAGAGCAGGTACATGATTGAGGTAAACATGACAGTCTCCCATAGAATGTACAAAATCACCAGGCTGTGAAGAATGAAAATAAGATATTTTTAACTAAATAAAATAATTCTTTCCTGGAATATTGCAGGAAATATATTTATATGCTAATGAAAATTGCTAAAAAGAATCAAAAATGACTTATGGCAATTGTATTTACTAATTTGAAAGAAATTATTGTTAGAACACCTAAATAACTTATATCTTCATCTGTATGACTGCTGTGTAAACTATTGTGAAATAAACTTCTTTTGTTAATGTATATACATTTAAAGCAAGTTTAAGTATTTTTGACTTAGTATCAACATTTTCTGCAATATTCCTAATTTTGCTATTTTATTATAATTTTAATACCTTTAATTTTGTAATATGAGCTATCATATATGTCAATAAGGAATATGAAGCTATATTAAATGGTACACCAAGTCCCATGTCAGCACTTCTTTGATAAAGTTGACAAGAAAGTTCTCCATTAGCAACGTAAAACTGAACCAATGCATGACAAGGTGGGAGAGCCATTATTGGAATGTCAATTGGATTCCAAGCTGACATAATGATTCTTCTATCATCTGGTTTATTTAGAATTGTATCAATTACTTGTTTTAATTGATCAATGCCTAAAAATTTATATAAAAATTTGAAATTAGGATCAAAATTTATTCAATTGTTGAGGGTGATTGTTGAAGAGTAATAATGTAATTACCTTGTCCAGTATAATCTGTATGCATGTTGACATATTTTGCTCCAAAATGCCTCCACTGAAATCCATAAACCGGTCCTAAATCGCCAACTTCTCTATCCGTAAAACCACAGGAATCTAAAAATTCTCGCGAGCTATTAGCATCCCATATGTGAATATCTTTATCAGATAATTCTTTGGCATTCGTTGAACCCTTAATAAACCAAAGTAGTTCTTCGACCACTCCGCGCCAAAATACTCTCTTTGTCGTTAAAAGAGGAAATATACCTATTGAGAAAGATTATGATAGTTTTTTCGGTCGGAAAATTACTATGATGAAAGATATAGCAAATATTATACCATCTCTAAGGCTGAAGCGCATCTGAGTGCCGAAAATGGAATGTGTACCAGTGCCAGTACGATCCGTTTTGACATTACCCTTCTGAATGATTTGTTTAATTAGTTTGAGATACTGATATTCATCGTGATCTTTTGAATCGTCATCAGGGTGAGTGTGTCCATTCTCTCGTTGGTTGTCGAGAGAATTGTTGGCTTTGCTTATTTCACAATTTTCGCTCATTGTTGAGGCTATATAAACTACTAAATGATCAACAACGTGTCTGACTGAAGCGCGCTAAAATTACGCCTCGCTCTTCTAGTGGGGATAGGATAGGACACATCTATGGAGTCACTCGAATCATACGCAATGTCTGTGCCGGCTTTGTGTATTGGTGATTTAGGCCTCATGGCATTGGCTGGACCTATAAAGAAACACGACGACTCATATTTAAGAGAGTTATAATTTAGAATTTGGCGCGAACTTTGGGATTTTTATTATGTATATAATATTATTTAATTTTGGTACGTATTAAAAGATCAAAAGTTGAGAAAGTGGATAAAATAATATCATAGAAGGAGGATATATTAAAAAAATAATCTTTATTTTCGACAGGTTTAACATGCAAAAATGTTAATATATTAAATACAAATGTGCTAATTAATATCTATACAATCGTATGGTTCAGATTATGAAGTATTTACACTTATCGTAAATTCGTAATGTATACATTTATAGTAATATTATTACCTATACATATATGCTAAGCGTATGATTGCATACGCAGAAAAAGGAAAAAATGTAATCATTCGAAATGATGATTAGGTGAAAAGGTCGAGCCAAGTTGCCTGTTAGTCGGACGATCGCGAGCAGCAAGACCAAATAAACGAGTTTACACAGCCATTGGCATGGGGAGTTTAGGATGACAATTGTAATTTGTGATTTCGAAATCGGAAAATTTAAAGTCGTCGATATCATTGACCTCGCGCACTATCCTGAACTTGGGGAAGGGCTTGGGCTCGCGCTTGATTTGCTCCTTGACAGCCTCCACGTGGTTGCGGTAGACGTGAGCGTCACCCATCGTGTGAACAAAGTCGCCGGGCTGCGAACGATAAATCCAAGTTAAAAATAATGTCGATTAATCGAGCAAGTCGAGTCTAATTACCTTGAGCTTGGCCACGTGCGCTATCATGCAGGTGAGCAGCGAGTAGGAGGCAATGTTGAAGGGCACCCCCAGACCCATGTCGCCGGCCCTCTGGTACAAGTGACAGGAGAGCTCGCCGTTGCAGACGTAAAACTGGGCCAGCGAGTGGCAGGGCGGCAGGGCCATCTTCGGGATGTCGACCGGATTCCAGGCGCTCATGATGATGCGTCTGTCGTCGGGATTATTTTTCACTTTGTCGATCACGTCGGCCAGTTGATCGAAACCTGCGGCAAATGGTACGTCAGCTATGGCTAGTGGCATGATATTAATTACTAGTAATTGACTCACCTTGGCCGGTGTAATCCGTGTGCATGTCCACGTACTTGGCCCCAAAGTGCCTCCACTGGAAGCCGTAAACCGGGCCCAAGTCGCCGACCTCGCGATCCCGGAAGCCGAGCGAATCGAGAAACTCGCGAGACGCGTTGGCGTCCCAAATTTTAATACCTTTGGCGGAGAGCTCGTTGGCGTTGGTCGAGCCACGGATGAACCAGAGCAGCTCCTCGGCGACGGCGCGCCAAAATACTCTCTTGGTCGTCAGAAGCGGAAATTGGCCGTCTCTCAGGCTGAAGCGCATCTGAGTACCGAATACTGAATGGGTGCCGACGCCGGTGCGGTCGTCTTTCACTATCCCCTTCTTCAATATCTTTTTGATGAGGTTTAGATACTGGTGCTCCTCGTGCTCCTCGGACTCGACTTTGCCGTTGGCCAGCTTCATCTTTTTGTTGTTCACCGCGCCGTTTTTCAACAAGGTGATGGTCGTCATTCTCCTCCTTCCTATTATTTTCGGCTACTTCTATATACGAGAACCCGAATTCAAAGCTCTGTAAGTTAATGTTCACTCGTTACCGTTGAAATTTCAATTGGTGTCAAGATCGACTTACCGAAATTCAGCGAGTTTCGCGCTGTGCAATGCTGCGCTGCTCCAACGAGAACGATAAAATCGCAAGATCTTTCACGCACTCTACGATCGCCACGGATCGAAAGAAGTCAATCTTGGATGCTGCGTCGGCTTTATATGCGCTCGAGATCGAGATCGGCGCATTTTATTCTCCGACTGCGCTGCATTGGCGCCCGTCACGAGAGCATGCGGGGCACACGTTCACGCGCTATACGTAACCAACGCCACGCGCTCCGACACCACTCGATCTTCAAATTTATCACTTCACTATCGAACTTCTCTTTTTACGTCTGCGATTGTATTTTATTATTACGAGCAATCATTTTTAGAGACTCCTTATTGCGGTCAACAATTGCTCGAATTATCATCAAAAATGTCCCGAAGGGTCAACACTTTAACGTTTCATTTTCATCGGATACATTTTGATAAACTGCACATTTTTACTTGTACTGGCTCGCCTAAATTTATCTTAGTCAAATACTTTTCAATGGCTATTGTACTATCTATAGTTTAATTATTGCTTGTGAGCTAAAAAAATTAAATGCTATATCGTTAAGTACGTATAATACGGCGCATAAAACGATGTTTGTAAATATTGCGCTTGGTGAATGCTTCGAATTTCCGCTGAAATCCAAGGAAAGTTACGCGAAAGCGATTTTTTCACTATAACATAGTTTTACCCAGACTTTATCGTAAAGTACGTTTATTTTTTTTTCTCAAATGTGATTCAACGTTATCGTGATTTTTTTCTCATTGAATAAATTCAATGATGATCGAGAAAATTTTCACGTGATCTTGTTAAAATCATCGCTGCTATCACGTGAGATAAAATAAACTAACAAGAAGACCACCCCATTTTTTTCAGAGACTTGGATTTGACATTTTTCATAGGGGCTTCAGAGACCTTTGAAAACAGGTGACGGACGGCTTTAAAAATTCTGAAAAAATTCAGATCGATTTTTTGAAAAATTGTAAGACTTTTTTGTTCTTTGCATTTTTTTTGTTTAAGTGCTTCTGTGTCGATATAAAAAATAGCCAAGATTTTTTTATAATGTGGAAAATACTTTAGTAAACTGGGCCCTAAGGCCCATGAGATTAAACTAAACACAGGAAGCTTTATTATTGGGCACCAGGAGACACTAAAAAATTTTTGGAGCAAATCCATGACCCGGAGTTAGGGTGGTCTCCTTGTAAGTAATATTTAATATGAAATCAAGCAAAAGCCTATAAAAGTATTCCTGCGCCACTATGATCTACCTACAACTTTATTTTAAAAATATTACATAAGTACTGATTGTGTTAACGACGACGAGTGTCTCGGATAAAAATCAATTTTAAGCGCAATACGTCCCATTGTGCTTATACAGCAATTTTGTTTGAAATTTATTTTATTACATTGTTACAAAAACCGTAAATTTTACTAAAAGTTAATCTTGAAAGAACTTTTTGCCAATCTTCAGTGTCATAGAGAAGCTAAGATAAAATTTATCTCTTCCTTTTTTAACCAATTATCGTCATGTTTGATTCATCATTTTAAATCATCGCATTCATCAGCTTAAAAATGCATGATTCCACATTAGTTTTACTATCATTCGAGATTGTTTCCAATTCGATTTTTTTCTTCTAAACAATTTTTTCATTCAGCAACTTTGAACTTTGAAATAAGTACGGTTTTCTTTGCAGCCAAATTGAATGATTTAACACCGTTTTATAGTGAGGTGTGCAAATAATAAACCCATTTTAAACGTGTGATGAAAGTATAATTATTATTATTAAAATCTTAAATTAAAACATATGATCTAAAACAATTTTTCCAATACAACTAGTTTAAATTCATTTTGGTTTCTTTTATTTCAACGCCATTATGTTCGAAGCAAATATCATTTCTCTAGAATAATTAGAGGAGTATTGATATAATCATTCAAATATTTCCCAATCTTCAATTTACTAAATACATACAAATATCATTTCTAGATATTCTAAGCATAAATTTTAAAAATATTTACAGTATTTGGTGAAATATCATTGGTAATGAATAATTCAAATATCTTAATATCTAAAATGAGTCAATTTGTAAATTCCTTGTTGTTGGCATCAAATGGTTTAGTATCTCAGTTTTCGAACGCATCTTCTCGTATTAATTACGAGTACACGAAGTATAAATTTATGTACAATAAAAAACTCCCTTCGTTAATATTATCACAAAAATAACTATTGTTGTAATATAACATCAACATTCAACATTGTTTTAATCCCATTTTTTCTATACAATTTTTTGCTAGCCAATATCTTAAATGAAAATAACACAAGCTTAATAAGGAATTACAAAGATTATGAGAATGTGAAGATTACATCAAATTTATAGTTAATTTATTAGCGTTGCAAGAAATGAAAACTTTGAATAAAAACCTTGCACATCAGTAAAGGCTATTAAGAAATTTACCTTGCATAAAAAATTAATTAAAGATAAAAAGAGCATTTTTTTAATGTATTGCTCATATGTAAGTCAAGAGACAAGAAATATGATGAAAAATTAAGTTTAAATTTTTTCAAATTCTTTTTAGTCATTAGCCTTTTTAAATTATATTTTAGAAAATTTCACACAATACTCCGTTTGTAACTTAGAGTAAAGTGAAAAAAATATTTACAATGAATTAAATAACCATACAACAATCAACATGAACAGTTAATAATAGCTACTGATAGCTAATTATTAATCTCACTGAAAAAATCAGTTGGTGTCTAGTGGTTTCTCGATTAGAGAAACTGAGAATGTTTAAGTGCTGATGCTTCAGCTACGTCGTCACACTATTGCTTCCACCAGGCGATGGTCCATCTGGGCTAACATCTAAAGCTTCGCCAGAATTCGAAACCTGATAGCCTGAAAATGAAGCTACAGGTGCACTTTTGGAGCTGATCGGAGCACCTGCTGTTTCGGACAATAAAGAAGTACGTTCATCTGCACTACTCCACGCTTGTTGATAAACACTTCGACCTCGTATGCGTCGACTCAACGACGAACCTACTACTCCTAAATGTTCTTTAATATCATTATGAACATCTGAGACATCCCACATTTGTCTAAAAGTAGAAATACATATTAAGATTCGTTTTATTTATACACTAATAATATTAACTTTACAACATTAGTGTGTTGTCATTACCTAAAAGCATCCCACCAAGCTTGATTTTGTGAAGAATTTGCAAAAGCTTTGTAACTAAAACTGTAATGATGAGCAACTGCAGCTAGGAACATTTCGATGCAAATTAAGAAATCTTGAAGTTTTGAGGCTATATTTTTAATATCAGCTTTGTCATCAGTATCAAAAATAGTTGATATCACGTCAAAATATACAAGGAAAGCAATTATAACACCTTGGCTGCAAAAAAAAATAAAAATTAGTATAAAGTTATATAATATAAGTATTTAACATTTTTAACTTACAAAAATGAAAAGAATACAACAGCTTTTATGCATAAAAATTTTCCCACTGGATTCATAGGCTTCAATGCCTCTTTATTGGCACGATAAAAAAGAACTAAACAGTACATAGCAACAAATTGTGATAAATTGTTGAAAGCTATCATGTAAGGAAATGCCACATCTGCTCTGAATTCACTTTCACCATAAACACCATTTAATTCACAAATGCTAGTAAAATAAAGTTTCTGATTAAGAAAAGTGATTAACAACGGTTGGAAAATATTGAAAATTTATAAAACATAACTCACAATGAAATAATTGTTGTTATGGGTCGAACAACAGTGTATTGTAAAATACCATGTTTACACATGTGAACAAATTCTCTACCCATTTCCCATTTTGGAAGACAACAAAGAGGAAACATATGATGTATTTGTGGTTGAATTTCTAATCTATGCTCTAGCTGATGATCCGCGTTAAGATAAGCAAATAAAAACATTAAGAAATTATAAATTACATATGCTTCATAACATTCTCTAATACTGTCCACATATATAGTTCCTTCTGGGTACACTAAGCCAAGCCACTAAAATCAAAATGATTTTATTAGTTGAGGTTTTAATCATTTCCATCAGTCAATTCAAATGTCTTTATATTTACCGCATTGACTGCATAAATAGGTACCATCCATAATACTCTAAAGATAAAAGTAAAATACAATTTTAATATTCTCTATAGCGAAGTTAAATTTTATAAGTATAATGATACATACCTTATAATATATCTTTGAAGTCTTGGCTGTGTATAATAAATCATATGCTGAATGATTTCATAGAATGATATTGGAAGAGCCAACAGAACAAATGCCCCTCCAACCAGTGCACCTTGATCTTGTTTCTTAAATCCATTTTTTATGGAATTGTCTATTAAAATTGGAACCAGTATGATAATGAGTAGAGCATAAAGGCATGTCAGTACTGGAAGGATCCAAAGTCGCCAGTGGCGACAGAAATTGTTCGCCATTGTAAATTCAGAGTACAGTAATATGCAATAAGATCATTTTCATCTCTGTCTCACTCTTTTTCTCGTTCTCTGACTTCTGATAACTGCAATTAAATATAGTAACGATAATAAAGTTTATGTACATTAAATAAAGAATTATAATACTAGTGTAAGTTAGTTTGAACAAATAGCTTTAATGCATTATTTTCTTTTTAAAGTATGTTCATTAATTTTGTTAAAAATCTTAATACCAATTATCTGAAATGAATGCTTCGAGAGAACATTGAAGTTACATTATAAAATTGTAGAGCACAAATTGAATACAAATATTGCATTGATGTATAAAATGTGGAACATGAAAAATAACTCATAGGTACTGATACGTGGGTGATTATACGAAAAAATCGTATTTATACGCAATAAATACCTATCGGTAGTTAATTTATCACCTCGTAAGCGCAAGAAGCGTCCGAGAAGATAAACAACAGACAGTTTTAATGTTCAAGAAAAATAACCTCCCACTTGTATGTAGGAGAATGAAAAAGAAAAATAAGCGAGATGTCCATGAGGAATGCAAATTTGCAACGACTATCGGAATACTCGAGAGACGCTATCGTGCATAACTATACTGATTAATCACTTGCGCGACAAATCTTGTTTGCGAGCTTCAAGTATAGTCGCGCAAAATATAAAGCTATATAGATATAAGGAGTAACATATATCGGTGCACAAACTACAAATACGCGAGGAGTTGTTGCATAGAGATTCATACGTGGGTTCGAGTTGCAAAAACGCCCAATAGAATTATAAATAATTAAGCTTATGCAAATTCACAAGAAAGCACGCAAATTTGAGTAGAGCAGCAGCAGCAGCAGCTCAAGTAGCAGCTCGGGTGATTATATTGCACAAATGATTTGCTATACCGTCGAGTGGAGTAACCGCAAGCGAATAGCGATATTATAACACTGATTGTGTGTGACACATCGTATAGCGAACTCAGTACGTACATAATCAGTAAGCCTTATAAGTCGTCGATTGGCGAGCTGCGAGGATGATCGAGCACCACTGGTATCTTGACACTCTCGACAATCGACTCTAGATTACAGGTGTATGTATGTAGCTATAGCTCGCGAATATCGTATCAGCAAAGTCTTCTCGAGCTCGCTAATGTGTGGTGATTGGCACAATTGAAATACATTTTAATCACCCACAGCCAAAATATAACCCAGGCATGTAGATATCTACCTCTTTGGCTGATGAAGTGGTTTATAAAAAATGTACACTCAAGATTTCAGCATGAGTCGTGACTGAGCAGACGTCATATTCCAATAATCGCACGAGATGCAGTTGTGCGGATAGATTTTAAATTTCATGAATTTTGCTTCTCATGCCGACATCAACTGCGAATATTCTCAAAAATAATGCGCTGAACCAATGTAACACTGAGTTTGTAACAGTTGCATGAGATTTACTTGAGTACGGCGAGCACTTGTTTTTATACTTGTTGCAGGTTATAAATGATGTGTATAATTATATATTATGAATTATCGAGGTGAGCTTTCTGCGCCGCGAGCAGCGACGTTGCCGTGCACAACTGTCAACTGCTGGTAGGCTGCAGACGACTCGACGAACAAATAACAATCCAACTATAAGATTTCAGGCTTTGGTCAAGTATCTTTGATCTTCGGCGGCGTCTGTCACTTGGGATATTTACTGCTACTATCAAAGGTGTTTGTATGTACACAAACACTGTCACCTGTCAAGCCGTAACTAGAAGTTGCACGTATACCTAATATACAAAAATTTTATGAAAAAAAAGAAAAGCTATTTAGAAAGAACAAAATCTATAAATAATAGATTGCAGTCACTCGCAATCTGATGGTTGATAGAAATAAATAATTTTTACAAGTTGCAATAAATATTTAAAGTTTGTATCATTTAGATTCGTATTTACTGTTTGGTGGTAAAGTTTATCATTTGATAATTTTTGCACGTGCGAACGTCAACAACTCGTCGTTACCAACTGATCGATGGATGGTTTGCAGTATAAGTAATTTTTGCGAGATGACGATATTAAATTTACTCATTAACTCAGTTAACGACTGTCATTACCAAATTCTTATAAAATAATAATAGTAATAAAATTATTGAAAAGATATAAATGTAAGAAACTGTAGAAGGCAAGTTATAACTGCATTCTGCACTTCTGCAGTAGCTAAAATAGATGTTAAAACACTCCAAAGATTATTGTTCATGCGCATTCGTAAGGTAACCAGCAGAAGTGCACGGGGCTCCCTCGTCTATCTAGTGAGTCTTTTGGTGGGGAATCCAGCTCAGAAGCGCAGCGCAGACCAGAGCAGCCATCGTCAGACATCCGGCCAAATGGCGACCGAAGAAGCCATAGGCACTGTTGTCACGTTGTGTACTTTGCAGTGTTTCATTAATCATTGTTTACTAGCAGTATCGGCGCACCCGATAGACACTGCCATACTGGTACCGGGGATATCCTCGACGACCGGGGAGGCCCCTTCAAGGGCGAAACCGGCCGCCGACCAATTTTCCAAGGGTAAATAATCTTTCTGCACGATCATTAAGTCGACTGTTGTTCTCTTGCATGGACGCTCGTTGACCTTGGCTGTTCCTCCTCACTGTCTAAACTGCACTTTTTAACTTTTGCAATGCACCTACTTCGTGACTGACAGTTTAGGCCGCCAAATTCGAATTTTTTATTCCATAATACATTCATAATATAGTAATTCCAATACTTAAATTTGAGTCTCTACTTTTTCCTACAATTTTTAACTTACACCGATACAGTGTCTTACTGCATACAGTCATTAGTATATTACCTTTTTGAGGCCTCTGTGTATGATTTTTATATCAAGGTTTCATATATTACGAGTCAAATTATTAAAAGAAGTTTTTAACTTATTACATACTCTGTGTCTTTACAGTTGTTGAATGAAGATTTTGAGATCTCAATTGACTCGATAGAGTAACATTTAATCATGGAGGTGGTTGCAACGGAAGATGAGGCCCAGACAGTTTTGTCATTAGAAGGCATGGAAGGGGCTCAATATATGACCCTTCCTGAGCGATACTCTCTGAATGAAGAACTTATTTCAGAAGGAATGGTCGTTGATATGATTAATGGAGTTACCACAGATTATACTAGTGGTGCACAATATTATGAGAATGATGATGTTTTGCGAGAAGTAATGACAGAAGTAAGTCTTCAGACTTCTATAATTAGTTAAGGTAACAAAAATGTATGTTAATTTTAATAATATTGATTTTAGGAGGATCAGAAACTAGCAGAAGCTCTTGTTGCGGTTCAATTAGAACAGCATCAAAAACAACAAATTCCTATTGATGCAAACCATGGCGGAGTTATCATAGAAGAAGTGTCTAATCTTGAAGATTTACCACCTGTTGACCCATATCAGATGCAAACAATTGAGGAACACAATCAACCTCAAGTTTATTCATTGATTCAAACATTCAAAAGAGGCACTCACATGATAAAAACAGAATTTGTCGATGTTAAATGTGAGGAAGAACTAGATATATCAGCAGAGAGTAGTGAAGATGCAGTACAAACTCCAGGAATTAGAAGGTCTTTACCTCACAAGAAAAGAATTGCTAAAAAATTAAAACAGCAATCTAAAAAAGTTGGACAGAAAAAAGATAGTGCCAGTCTTGATCAAACGGGAGTGATAGTAACAGAAGTAGAATCTAAATCTCAAGGAAATATATTCAAATGTGAAATTTGTGGTATGAGGTGCAATGCTCAACTGACATTTTTTGAACATTTGAAGGTACATATAAAATTGGTATTACAGTCATGATATTAGTATACTTCTGTTAAAAAAAACGTTTTATTTAAACATTAACTTATATATTCTAAACTTTTCTTTTATTAATAAATATTTTGTTAATCAACTAAATACAATTTCATACTTTTAGTCTCACTATGAACCAGTAAAAGAAGAAAAGAAAACAATGAATCAGCCTGTGAATAATAATATAACTATTAATATGCTGGGATCATCGGTTCAAGGAGTTGTCGAAAATGTGATAGAAGAATTTAGTGAACCAGAAGATTTAATGGAAGGAATTCGTGATGTTGGTATGTTGAATTATTCAATGTTTATTATAAATATCGAATTATTATCTGATTTAAGATATCTCAGTTGAAAACTAAATTTCCGTGTTCGTGAACTGAATGCAATTTTAAGTTTTCACGAAAAATCGTGTGAATACCTAAGTCGTTTAAAAAAACCCAACATATATGTTTATCAGCCTCTGCTCTGCCCTTGCTGCTAATTACATGAGCTCTGGGACTTTTCACTGTGGTTTAAATGTGTTATACACTATCATAGTAGAGTAATTAAAAATTGTTGATAAAGTTTAATTTTATATTTTAAAATTGCATTATTGTGACTTAGTTGAAGAGACTGGAGCTCACATCGATGATGATGAAGATGATGATGGCCAAATTGTTGAAGAAGACCCATTACCAGAAACTACAAATGATAGTACGGTATGGACAATAGATGAAGTCCAGGAACATATTGAACAAGAAGACATGGAAGAACCACAAAATATAACCCAACAGGTTTCTTTTGAGTTGGATAGTTCTAAAACCTCTGAAACTGTTAAGAAAAAAAGACAAAAATCTAAAAAACCACCTGATGAATTAACTTGCACAGAATGCCGCCGATCTTTTCATCACAAGAATAGTTTAGTTTATCACATGCGTTCACATAGTGGTGAAAGACCACATCAATGTGAAATTTGTGGAAAAAGTTTCTTTGCTGCGAGTGCATTAAAGGTAAATTTAGTCAGAAATTTTAATCAATGCAATTTAGATTTTTGAAGAGTAAACAATAAATAATTCATTCTTTTAGGTTCATAAACGTCTTCACAGTGGCGATAAACCATACAAATGTGAAGATTGTGGTCGTCATTTTCGACAATGGGGAGATCTCAAATATCACTCAACTAGTTTGCATTCAGAACAGCGACAATTTCAATGTGAATATTGCGGCAAAGATTTTGCACGAAAATATTCACTCATCGTTCACAGGCGCATCCACACTGGTGAAAAGAATTATCGTTGTGAATATTGCAATAAAACTTTCAGAGCTAGCAGTTACTTGCAAAATCATCGCAGAATTCATACTGGTGAAAAACCACATCCTTGCGACGTTTGTGGAAAACCATTCCGTGTGCGCAGTGATATGAAACGACATATGCTAACACATTCGCGCTCTACCAATAGAGTTGATAGAGCTGCAACTAAAACTGCAGTTGCCAAAAGTACACCAAACAGTGAGTATTTTTTAATCATTATTTTTCCCATGTGCTTACAAAGATCTCTTAAACTTTTAATGAATATTTTAGATGATGGCAGCATAGCTGACGAAGAGTCCTTAGATAAAAGAAGGACGATCAACGAGATCGTGCACGAATTGAAGTTAGAAGTCGAACCCTGTGCTGCAGCTGCTGAATTAGCGGCTGCCGTGGCTGCTGCTAGTGCTGGTAACGATGACCAGTCTATTTTGCCTCATGTAAACGTACAAACCCTTGAATACGTGACTCAAGCAAATAATGGTGATACACCTAACGATCGCGATCCGCTCGGAGCTGTTGTCCGGACCGATGGCCTGTTAGTGGATTTCCAGCTTTTTTAAAAGAAAACTTAAATCATGGAACGATTATTTATGACTCATTGGTTTTTTCTCTCACTTTGATATACAAAAGTAATTGATGAACTTGTGAAACTGTAATCGCAGGCTATAGTATGGCGACATTGTAAAATTACGAGGAATTTTTTAATTCTAGCATGATTAAGTTTTAAGAATGAAAACTTAGTTTGAAGTTAAAAATATATATTTACATAATTTATTTTTCGAGTAATTGAACCATAGGAGAATGCTTAATTTTCTTAAAAAGACTGGTTATAATTTCAATAAGTGATTACGATATGCGAACTGTATATTTGGAAGAAAAAAATCAGCTCTGTTGGTACCTAATGTATTTATTGAGATAAAGAAGCTATTGCTTCAACCTTGATATCCCAAACTATACTGAGCTAACTTGTTTAATACTTATATTTTTATTGTTTAGTTTTTATTGGCACCAACATTTGTTAATTTGTCATAATTTAGTTTAATTGCGAGCGAAATATGCTGTGAAGATTTTTAACTTACAATATAAATTGTTCAAGAATTCACAGCGTTAAAATTGATATTGTTATGATTCTAATTTACCTATTAATTAATTTAAAGAATCGGCCTGTATATAAAGCTCTATCATTTCATTAAGTATTCTTAATCATAAAATAAAAAAATCAAGGAATAATCTTATAAGAAAATGCGCATAAAGCTATGTAGCTCTTAATAATAATAATACGTACGTCGTGAGTTAATGTAAATTTTATTTCTCATGAAAATGTGTAACACTTTTATACACCTACACACTCACCTGTCAGTGTTGAAAAATATATTTTTTATTACATAGCAACGTTTACAGAAAAACAGTGTGTTATCTTTTGTTGTTGATCCCTCATTGCAATAGTACAGGTGCTGAAATCAGCCCAGTGTCTTTTATAACAAAAGCTCGTAATAGCGCCGACAGCTCCATCGATTCCAGTGCATCTTGTAGTTTCTCTTCGGCTTGTTTGTTGGATATGCTACAAGCAGTAAGCATCGATCGTCGTATCATAAAAATAAATGTAAAAATCGAAAAAGCTATGACCTACCGGCGTGAACCTTTTGCCCGCTCCCAATCGACGTAGAGGTCTACTACGATTCCTTGAAGCCTCTTTAGAGCATGGGGATCATTTTTGTACTTGGCTCTCAATTCAGTCTCATCGTTGATAATGTGTTGGTACTCGGTACAAAGTTCTTTCGGGTTGTTTTTCATTTCCCACTCTTCAAGCGCATCGAGACACTTTATTCGCTCGAGCAGAGTTTTGGCTTGTGTAAGTTTTGGATAAATCACTTCGATAACTCTATTCATACTAGCTTCGGAGACGTCTACATGAAAAAAGGCCCACACGTGTAATACGATGAACTCTTAGAATTGTGAAAAAAGTAAAGTTTATCGTGAAAAACATACCAAAATAAACTTCAAGCTTGATTTTTCTTTTGGTAGCTTCTTTTGTTAAAATGTCTCGTAAAAGTATGATGGAGGTAATATTTTCACTTTGAAAGTTGGCTACTCCTTTCCTAAAAGAATCGGTACGATCGAGCGTAATAATTGAATCGATACATTTTTTGTAAATTGAATGAGTCGTTGAAAAGACGAATATAACTGACCTGTATCGACACTTGACGATCGTGCCTACGGCTGTAGATCTGTAGAGCAACGAGGCCTCGGCTTCTTCGGCCTTGATGGACGGTCTCTCCGGTACTTCGGGCAAGGACAACGCGAGCCACGCGTGCATCTGCAATTATTTCAGATTACGCTGGACATGAATGTTAGTTTTAGAAAAAGATCAAGGTATTAGTCGCACTTCGGCCATGGAGAATCCGCCGGTCAAGCGCAACTCGTTGAAGGGCCCAATGTGCTCGTCTCGCGGCTCTTGGTCGTTCGCGTGGATTCTCGCGTGCAGCGACAGGGCGCAAAGATGCACTTGAATTCTGCGGCAGCACTTGGGTTGCAACTGCGAAGTCACGTAAACCCGCAGAGTTCCAGGTTGGCCTTCGATGCTGCGGAACTTGATTTCCAGCCGGTTGGTGTTGTCCTAGGATCGTTTTGATGAAAATAAATCGCGAATAGGAAAAATACAGAAAATATAGTTAAAAATATAGTTATACTTGGCAGCGGTAAGTCGCCAAGACGTAGTTGCCCTCGCTGGGATTGCAACTGGACAGACTGAGGACGGCGTTGTTGTTCTCGGAGTCGATGAGCTCCAGCGGCGTGTCCGACTGCACGAGGACGTTGTCGATCGACCGGTCGAGTTCCAGGAAAAACGTGTACGACGCGTCCTCTTGATTGAGCGCCAAGCTGCAACATGCCTCGATTCGATAGTACTATTCGTTCTAATGTTATAATAATAATTATTATTGTTGTTAAATAATAGAGATGAATGGAACGGTTTGTCACCGATGGTTCAGGGACAGAACGAGAGGCTTGAGATTGTCGCCGAAGAAAGGAGAGCCCGTGGGCTCCTTTTTCAGCTCGTCCGCGAGCTGCTGGAGCTCGGCCTGGAGCTTGACGAGGGCCGCATCGCCGTGCTGGTTCTGATCGACCGGTTGGCTCGTCAAGCCGAAGATCTTGCCCGAGTAGGTAGTGACCAACAGCTCGGGGAAGTCGGCCGAGCTTATTCTGCCGCCGAGCACGCAGCTTATGCTCTCGCCGGCGTTCTGTCGAGCAAAGCATCCTGTTTCATTGAAAGCTCGCAAAGTTGAGTACAAGCTCCGATCTTACGTATTGAAATCTCCTCATTGGGATGGGATCGTCCTCGGTTGGGAAGGTGAAGATCTCGATGGAACCGTCCTGTCTGCCGATTATCAAGTCGACCGAGTCGTCGATTTTAAAGGAATCGAGCGACCTCACCTCCGAAGCTGCTTTGTTCAGCAGCCAACTGACTCGGATGTTTTTCTCCTTGTCGAGCATCAATAGGCCCACCTTACCGTCCATCGTTCCCATCAACACGTGCTCGTACGACTCTTTGTCTTCGTCTCTGAAATTTATACTTATGATATTTATACTCGTTTTCCTTCACGTTTCCTATTTGAACGAGTTTGATTCCTATCGATCGGTTCATACCTGTAGGGCGTGAGAACGGTGGGCACGCTCGGCAGCCGCAACACAGCGGGACTCTTGGTACTGTGAAGAACTCTAATCTGAACAAAAGATGTAGGAAAATAATGCGACATTTCGAGTGCACACATTTGCAGGCCATTTGAGATTTGCTAATACAAGACTATAATTACCGCGCAGTCGGCGCAAGCGAGTATGGCGATGACGACGTTCGGGCCAGCCGGAAGCAGAACGACATCGAGCAATTTTTCCCCGGCCAGGTACGAATCGGCATCCTTGCAGTCTCTGTAGCGGTGGTACAGGTCTCGGGCGCAAGCTGCCAAATCCGAACCCAATATGCTCCTTGCAATTTTGGTTGCAAAAAACATTAGTGCATGCTCTCAATAATACCCAGTCAAAATATCCTACACTCACATGGCAGAGATGGGCTCCATTAAGCTCGTATCGAATTCGAGAAAGACTTTTCCTTTTCGCGTGTAGCCCATGACCGTGTTGCCGTGTGCCAGGAAAATCTTGTCTTTCGGTACCGACGCCCCGCCCAGCGAGAGCCTGCTGATTTTTGGCCCTGGCAGTGACTTGAACAGTACCTGCAGCTCTCCTCGCTTTTGACCTGCACCATTTCAAAGCCACTTATTCGTCATCTTTTTCCTATTCGATTGGCAATATTGTTGCTTTCAGCGATTTCGATACCGTAAACGTGAAGGACACCATCGTGATCGCCCACGACGAAGCTCTGAGTGTTGGGCTTGCCGACGGCTGCCTCGCTCGGGGGTAACAACAGAGTAGTGGCCCGCGACGTAACACCTACACTCGCGTAATCAACCCGTGTCAGCTGCAGCGTTTGCAACATCCTATGCCACCTTCTCGCTTCAAACTGCTCACTATTATTGCCTAGCACCAAGTTTCCGCGACTTTGTTTACCGGCTCATTCGTTGATCGAACGTGTACTTTTATTTCTTGTGCAGCTATTCGATAAGCTGCCTCTTGCGAACGCCCGAGTAGGGTGACGCCGACGCGCCCCATGGCAACCATTTATACCAACACGATCATCCTCGCTTTCATTATAATTTCTACTTCATTTTCAAGTAGTACTTTATACATATAGAATTCCAAGCATGTTTAGGGATTATCTTAAATCGAAAATTTATAGAAAATTCGATTTTAGAAAAATAAAAACATTTATTCGTAACAAATTTCAAGTTTTACAATTTTATAAATTAGATAATGAATTCAAAGTATATACACTTTTTCCTCCTCAATCTCGTTCATGTTTTGATTTTTTATGACTTTTATGGCTCTTATGACTTTTATGACTCTTATGACTTTTGTGAATTTTGTGACTTTTGTGATTTTCACTTGAATCGTATTTGTCATCGTAAGCGTCGTACCTTTTTTCTCTATTTTTGTAATATTTTTCTTCTTCGAAAGAGTATCGCGATTTTTCATCTTCTGATTTGCTCCGATGACGCTTGCGTGGTCTTTCGCGATCTTTTTCATGATGCTTATGCGCACGTGAGCCATTATATTGTTCATGTTTGCGATCATCACTGCTACCATCAAAATATTTATCATAATTTTTTTCTTCGCTTCTTTTGCGATAGGAAAAAGTTTCATTAGTTTCATCAGGATACTTAACAATTTTTTTGGCATCTCTGTGATTATTCTGAACGGATGTTTCATTACGCTGTGGAAACAATTTTTTATTCTGCGATTCATGTCTATCATAGTCTCTACTTCTATGTTTGTGATCAGGCTCGTACCTTTTATGAATTTTATCGTTTTTTTTATAATCAAAATCGTGATCTTTTTCAATACTATACTTTGATGAGTCTTTATTCTCTCTATAATTTGATTTACCAATTTTTTCTTCATAGTTCATTTGAGAAACTTTATCGTAATATTTTTCTTTTATTTTTCTTTCATTGACATGTTTTTCATATTTGCTATTTTCACTGTTAACAAGTAGTTTGTTATTAGTTGTTGAAATATGTTCTACATACATTTCCATTTGGTTTTCAATCACTTCTTTCATGATCTCATAGTGTGACTTTTTATTTGTATGCACTCCTCTGTGTTTTGTACTCCGCCTTTTAATATCTCTCTCTTGTGCTAAAAGTTCTAGCAGTGGTGTACTTTTGTTATCTAATTTACTATAATTAAAAATTTATTAAATTATAATGTATAGATCAAGAAAAATTAAAATTTTTTTTAAGTATACTCACTCTGGTTTATTAAGATCAACAATATCTGCACCAATATCAGGAGCTAAAGTATTGGCAACTATGTATTCATATAATACTTTTCTTTCATCTCTTGAAAAGTCACTGGTCATTCTTTGTGACGTTAAAGGAATGAATCTTTCATTACTTCCTATACTCGAAAATTAGATGAAAGAATTAATTAAAACATTTTCAAATGTTAAATTTATGAAATTATGATATTAGAATGTTAAAACAAATATGCAAAAAAGGATATGAGTCCAAAGTAGACACACCATAAAATATTCTGCAAAAAATTATTGAAATTCAATCATATAAAAATATGTTTTGCGATTAAACTTATGTAATGTCATACCTATATTCAATTCAGGATTGTTTGTTTTGGCTTCTTGAAGAATGGTGTATTGAAGTTGAAAATCTGAATAAAATAAATGTGATATTTAAATTATTATTAAAAATTATTTGTTAAATGAAAATTTTTCTTCAGGTTCTTATTATAATTTACCTATAGTAATGGTTGAAGGATCAGATGGTTCAACAGTTGTTTCAGGCAAAAAGACACATTCGTTTGTGTAACCTAAGGACTTGAGTTCACAATTATGTAGATGTCTTGTCAAGATCTTGTCTGTGAGGTTATGACCTTCATTAAACGGACACTTGATATATGTTTTATCATTCTAAACATTAAAAGTGTTCAATTAAAACATGATGGTTTAATTATAAATTAATGTAAGTACAAAGAATTAACGGGGAGCCTACATTGTTAACTGTTTTTCCGACATCCCAATTGAGCGATGAACATGTATCTGAAATAAGTGTCGATGATTCTTCTAAAAGATTTTCTATACTTTTAATAAGTTCGTTTTTCTCATCTTCATTTATTGTCATCGACATTTTATCCAATTATAAAAGGTTAATGTGTTCGTGAAAAAATTAAAAGTTCTTTCACATAACACAAGAATACAGATTGACAGTAAACATTACACATAACATCACACAACAAAACACAATACACAATGTTTCTATCTGTACATGACGTATGTAAGTAGCCAACAGTATCAACAGGTTAAGACTTCATAGAGTGCGCTACGAAATCTTTGATTTAAAATCTACCCGGCTTTTGGTCCTTTAGGCTTTAGTGGACTCTAAAATCGAGTTCACATTGTTGTCTTTATAGGACTTGAAGATTATAGATGATGAATGGTAGAAAAAATCAAACACTTTTTTATTTTAAGCAGTTCATTGTATTAAAAATAGAAACGCACTTGCACATTTTTTAAATACACAAGTTTTTGTATTCATTTGTAGTATTTTATTTAAAAGTTATCGATTTTTGTATTTACAAACTTAAACATTCATTATTGTTAATTAACGATTCAGTTTTTCTTCACAAAACATTCTTTAAAATATTATAAAATAGCAGTTTAAAAGCAATTGATTAAAATACAAAAAAATGATGCAACTTATCAACTTTGTTAAATAAACATTATCAAAAGAAATTTTTAACAAGAATGATTTTTAAAAATATATTCATCTCGTGATTGTAAATTACACAACATGTGTTATATGTGTTCTCTGTGCTGTATACATAAATATATAAATATATAAATATATATATATATAATTTTTTATTATAAACAATAAATGATATCAATTGCCAATAAGATTTTGAACTTCTCTATGCATTGTACACAAAAAGTCTACATAGCCTGGACTACCATCAGGTCCTCGATCTTCTACCATTAATTGCTTCATCATCATTTCCATTTTATCATGTTGTCTCATTAGTATCATCTAAAATTGATAATTAAATGTTATTTTTACATAAAATAAAAACTTATCACAAAAAAAAAATTATAAATACCTTCATGCAATAACGTCTCTCTGACTGAATATCTCCTATTATATTTCTTACTCGAGTATTTAAAGGATTATCCAAAACAGGAATTACATTTTTATCAGTATCAATTTGAATTACAGATGAAACATTAAATACACCTTGAGTCCATTGTGAATTCAAACTCAAACCCAACCACAAGAACATACTGATTCCGTTTTCTGTAATTAAAGATTGTTATTTAATAATTTTTTTAAGATTTTTTTAAAATGATATTTATCGTAATTATTTACCTATAATGTAAGCACCATCGTCTTCAAATTTCTCTATCGAACATCGCATGACAGGAGGAAGGTCTTCACTCAGTGGATCTACGTTGTGAACAGGAAGAACTCTTGGGTACATAAAAGCTAAAGATTCTGAAATTGGCATGGAAGTCACTAACATCATAACATGTGATTTTTGATCAATAGTAACAGCAGGACCTTGGAAGTAATAAATAAATATATTAAAGCGATACTATAATGTTTCCTTTCTAATTTGATTTTATAATTTTGCAGTACCAGCACTAAAAGCGTCGCTCTTGAATATACCACTCAAGTAAATCGGTAAAAGTTTCATAGTCTCTGGAAGTATGAGTTGTCCTGGATTAGTCATTTGTGCACAACTTTTCCTGTAGACAGCTAATATGTTTGCAGCACGCGCCATAAGACCATCTTTGATGGCTTTAGGTGAATGATCAACCATTTTCATAACACCTATAAAATTTTTTATACATGATATGCAAGTTAAGTTTTTTATTAACTGAAATTTTTTTTGAACTTACTTTGCTTCAAGAGGAAATTCAACATGGCATCTAAGTCAGTTAATCTATATATTTCTACTAATGAATTTGTTGTCGGCAAATTTAAATTTATGATTCTAAGTCTTCTAATTCCTCCGCAAGAAGTGTAAAGTAATGCTGCTTGAATGTAAACACTTTCTTCTTCTGCTAACTTATCATCGTGTTTTATTTCGATCGAAATTGTTTTATCAGAATCAATACTACCCAACTCTATATCAGTTGTATTTTGCATATGTAAGTGTCCATAGAAATCTGTTGGTCTTACGCCAGTAGAAGTTCGAACTCGCATTACAGCATCAAATGCGGTAGGTCGATTTATGTTATTAACTATATCTGTGATCAGTCTTTCTCCATCAATATCAGACTGAATCGATGAAAATACGTGAATATTGAATTAAATATTAAAAATAATATAAATAATATCACGCACTTAATTGTTAAAATACATTTTCTTTAAGAGTAACTCTCCTCAGTAAAAACGGAAAATTTTGAATCTATTTCTGTCACACTTTTTTTTTTTTTTTCTCTCTCTCTCTCTCTCTTTAGAAGACACTTTACTAACAATCTTCTACGTTTCGTTTATAAATAAATTATAAAATTTAGTATGAATTACTCCTTCAAGGTCAGTTGTTAATAATTGACTTTTAACTCGAAAGGAGTACTTCATATTAATTTTTTATAGTTTTGTTAAGGTCAACGGATATGTTTACGAAATTTAGAAGATTGTTAGTAAAGTGACGGAAATAAGTTCAATATTGTTAGTTTTTGAAATTTTTCTGTCAGCGTTACCCTTAAAAAAAGCGTATTTGAACTATTAAATTTATGAAAATACGTCAATTTGAATAAATGCTTAAGTAATATGTGCTTATTAAAAAAGCAATGATGTAAAATAACTCACTTGGAAATAAGTATATTTGTAAACTTCTCCTCCTGTAACACGACTAACTTGACCAATGGTAGCTACATCAATGTAAGAATTGTTTAAAAGGAATAGGTCAACACTACATCCAGCAGCAACGCAGTCTTGTCCCAAGGTTGTATAGTAATTAGTTTGAGGAACTAGAAGTAATAAATATGTAGTAAATTTCAATTTTAACAATAAGAGAATAAAAAATGAAAGTGTATATTAAGCTTACCAAGAACAGTTTTTTCTTTGTCTGTTCCTATCAAATTACGTTCATCACGATTTTTCAGCCTTCCTGGAGCTTCACGAGTAGGCAATGATGAATGAAATACCAATAATTTTCCAGCGCATTCAGAAGCCTGCAAAAGTTATGAACAAAAATCATATTATTAAAGTTACTAAAAATATGTAATTTACTATGTGTGTACCTTTAATGCCTCTAAACCAGCTTGAATAGCAGGCCCAAGAACAGTTTCAGTCTCACGAGTTTCACCAAACATTATTGGAATTTGAGCCATCAGAGCATCAATAGTAGATTCACTTTCTTCTATATCACACAGAAAACCTTCTAATAACGGCATAAAAATATCTTCAATATCCCCAACAAATAGCATTTGAGGTTGAGCAAGATTTGCTTTGCAATTGTAGAAATGAATTGAGTTGTTGTACGTGATAAATCCAACCTTCATGTTTGATTTTGTTTGTCCAACATCTACTGGTAAATTGCAAAGAATATTTTTCATTTGAGAACACAACAAATTAACGAAACCAGATTTCACATTGTTGTAAGATACATCAATTACAAAAATCAGAGCCGGCGGTTTTGGTAAAACATTATTCTGAAAAAATTCATTTTATTTAATAAGTTATTAAAAATTCAAATTTATCATACATTAACTTACTCTACAATATTCTTTTAAAGCAACATATTCAAAAGTTCCCAAAACTAATTCTGGCCTCTCATGGCGATCCATTCTTTGACCCGTATGGTCCAAATGTTGGAAATATTCAGTGGGAACTAAAAAAATTAATTTTTTAATGTAATTGATTATTATTTTATATATGAATTTCTTGAATAATTATTAACAAAAATTATTACCATCTGTGGTTGCTTTACAGAACATGCACTGAAATCGTCTACCAGCATCAACAAATTGCATGTAAGGGCACATGTATGCTTTACACCGAACACATCGTACTGGGCCAAGTTCTCCCATATCGACAATAGGCGGTTCATATTCATCTTTTTCAACAAGAGCCATTGGATTTAAAACAATACCAAAAGGAACTCCAGCCTAAAATATTTTTCCAGTATTTATAAGTCACTATACATGTCTAGGTGATCTGATATAAATAAATAATATTTAAAGACATACTTGTTTCATCAAATCCTGAGTAGTAGGAATAGAATATAATGTTGACTTAATAAATCTGGGAGATGCATTGCCCTGGTCTTGAACAACAAATTTTGTTGTAACCATAGGAGGTAAGACATTTTTTTGATTTGTTGCAAATATTCCACTCCTATTTTTTTTATCTTCTTCATAGACAGCAATCTGAAGAGATTGTTTAAACATTAGTTAACTGTATTTTTAAAAACATCAAATGATTATCACAAAATTTTCAGCTTTCAACGTACTGGATTTGGCATATGATCGTTTTGTATTTTACCAGCTTGTTGGTTCTGCAAATTGTTTGTCATACCACCATGATACATGTTTGGCTGATTTCCATACATGGGCTGGAAAAATGTATAATTTAAATAATAAGTTTCTTGAAGAAAATAATAAATTCTTTCTTACTGCTGGACCAGATCCATATTGAGGTTGTTGCATATTTTGATTCATCCCATAAGGAGAACTGTTTATTTGCATTTGACCCATTTGTGTAGATAACGATTGTCCAGGTGGATAGGAATTTTGTCCTAAATTGTGATTAGCATGCATATTAGTCGGCTGATACGATACTTTTCCAGGTAAAGCCGGCATTAATTGAGGTGCATTTTGTCCAATTTGACTCATTGGAGGTGGACCTTGTCCAATTTGACCTGTTGGAGGTGGACCTTGTCCAAGTTGACCGGCTGGAGGTAGTCCTTGTCCAGGTTGACTTGATAAAGGTTGCCTATGTGCAGACGACCCCATAAGAGATGATCCTTGCGTTAGTTGATTTAGATGTATTGGAGGGCCCTGCATAGGGGGACCTTGCATATGAGGACCTTGCATAGGAGGACCTTGCATAGGAGGACCTTGCATAGGTGGACCTTGCATAGGAGGACCTTGCATAGGAAGACCTTGCATAGGAGGACCTTGCATAGGAGGACCTTGCATAGGAGGACCAGAGCGTGGTGGTCCTTGCATAATAGAAGCTGGAGGATGTTGTCCTTGCATTAGAGGACCTGACATAGGAGGTCCTTGATTAGGCTGACTGGGTAGATTTGGAAGTCCTGTTGAGTTGGATTGGCCAAGTTGACCAGATGGTGCAGCATTGTAATTTGGATGATTTCCATTCAAAATCTATGGAATTCAAAGAAATTTTTGAATGAAAAATGATTAATTAAAAATTTTCAAGAATGCATTAGCAAAAGCATGTCCTACCGGTTGTCCAGGTCCATAAGTTGTTTGCTTATTATTCTGGTTTACACCATATGGTGAATTATTGAGCTGACCAGGCATAGCTGGTGCAGCTGGGTACTGTTTTTGCACGGGTATTGGATTGGTATACATATGGACGATGTTACTAGCACGACATATATAATGAAAATGACAATCTGTCGTTTTACTTGTAGGTTGTGCCGCGATAATCGGGTCGATATGTTTGTACAACACACGGCTGATCGGACTGACGTATCTTTTCCATAGGCCCGCAACTTCTGCTGCTGATGCCTTGCTATGTCTACTGCTGCCACGTCGGGCAGATTAACAGTTGTGTTGTGCACCGAGTCTGTCTTTCTTCCCTCTCTTTCTCGAGTAACGTAACGCGAGCGGCAAGTGCGATACAGAGATCTGTTCTGTATTATGTCGTATGTACAACGTTTAGTTGTGGCGGGGGGACAATCGCGAATCGGCCAGTAAAAGTTACAACTTACACGTCATGCTATAATTTCGATTTTGCGCGAGTGATGGTCTTGAGTGCGCGATGCGCTTCGCGTCCAAGTCAACTTTTTTACAACTTTGTCCCCCAAGACGTGTACTTGACTATGGTTGCAAAAAAAAGTAAACTCAGTTCCGATCCGCTAAATACTGTAAAATTCAGGCTTAATCCTTGAATAAAGTCTTTAACTTTTCCGGGCTAAAGTGAGCCTGACATTCTGCAACCCTGCAGACCTTTGGAGTACATCTACAATCATAGGATATTTGAAAAAAATGTTTAAAATTTGGGGTTTTTTTTTTAGGGGGGGAGGGGGTCACTATAAATCGTATAATTTTTGAGTTCAAGGACTAATAAATGGCCGATTCTCTGTCAACTCAATCGGTCAAAATTTTTTTTCTATATCTAATAGGATGAAGACATTGTTTAGGATGTCAGAAATGTAGAAAAAAATTAATAGAGCGATTGGGGCCTTCTATCACCCTTTTTTAGAATTCCAAAGTTGGCTTTTTTCGCATTGTTCCGTAATTCATCAAAGATCGCAAATATTTCATTAAGCTGTAGCTCAGTGTAGAATGACTCAAAAGTAAAAGTGCACGGAAGCTTTTTTGTTGGAAATCGTCCAAATTTTCAGAAAAAATGGGTCCCGAAGCGATCTGAGCACTCTGGAGGCTTCTACAATAGAAATAACCAAGAAAAAACAAAAAACACAAAATCTAATCAAGTATGATCCGGACTTTCCTTTCTACAACTATTTACGAAGCTTTCTCAACATGTCAACTACTCCCTTGTAAGTTTTTATAATGGTTGAGCCTTGGTTTGCCCTGGAGATGCTAATATGTGTCGAAAAACGTGCAAAAAGGCCTCTAAAGCAGGGTAAAGGCTCAGACCTTGCAAGACGAGCTGTGATATGCGTAAATCATGCAAGTGCGTCGATGCACCGCTGCTCATTTTGCAATATCGTTTCATAAGCGATGTATATTAGATCCTCGGCTGCTGCGGTGACTGCTGAGTCAATTGATGGGCTGTCAGAGTGAGAGTACATGGAATTGTACACATCGTGAAGACGCGACCGAGAAAGCTCGAGCGCAGGAGTCGCTGCTCGTCCTTCCCGCATCTTCTCACGACCGCGCAGCTCTCAACGACGTGCATCCTCGCGCGTGATTACGCCTATAGATGATTTACGCGCAAAAGCTTCAAGTTGATAATTTACACGTGTTATTAATGTATAATTGCTGCGAAATGAGATTTCATTCTCTTTTTATGCATGATATACGTTTTTGAATTGAAACTTCTATCGGCGCGTTGGATGGAGATGATAACTTATAAAAATTGAGCGAGCACGTGATAATCGTATATAAGGAGATTTCTCAGAGAAGGGTCCACTAGATTGCTTCTGTATTGTGCCGGTGACTGTTATGGGCGTTTTTAGTCAGTCTTTTACATATATAGCCTCGTGTAACTCTGTATCTCTCTCTCGCGCTCATTTGTCTCGATCGACGCTCGAACGACACATAACACAGTTAGCTTATATAATCCGTTACGGAGCCGTGACTACGCGAAAGATCATCTCTACTCATCGACTGCAGCAAGTGGTTCTCGTAAAAAATAAAAAATATTTTATATTACAACTGAGTGTGTGTGTTGTATGCGAGTGTGTAGACAATGGCCGATGACACCCAAAATCGTTCAAGCAAATTGAAAGATATGCCCGAAAAATATCGACAAATTAAGGATGAAAGTCACGAATTTATTCGTAAACTTTATACCTTCACCAGAGATTATCAAGGCCAACTTCTGAAATACAACGGGATTGAGCTGGAACCTCTGGTCGACTTTCTGATCAAGACCGGCTGCAAGGACGAGCCCAATATTGGATCGAATCACGCCGATACATGGTGTTCCCTACGGGGAAATTTGGAGACCCATCGTCTGCAAACTTTTTCAAATATACGACAGATTCGACGTGAATTACGCCGCCGACTCCGGCGTCACACATTTTCATCTAGCCTGCTGGTTTGACTGCGTCGATGCAGTCAAGGAATTCCTCGAGGCCGGTCAAGATCCCAATTGCATCGCGAGCGAAGAAGGTACACGGCTTCACTTCGCTCTGGCTTTCGAGCAGAAGGAGATCGCCAAATTGTTGCTGAAACACGACGCAAGTCCCAATTTAGCCGATGCAGAGGGTCGGACTCCTGTGCACGTTGTTTGCAAGGAGGCATGGGAATTACTGGACGATGGTGGCTTGCTGGAAATGGTATTTGAAATTTGCAACGAAAATCAGCAGCTGTTGCAGATCGATGCCCAGGACAAGTTGGGTAACACACCATTACACTTTGCTCTGATCCGTAAGGACAGAAAATTAATTGAATTACTGCTGAGAAATGGCGCCAATCCAAACTTGGCCAATGCGGAAGGATCGACTTTCCTGCATGTTTGTTGTCAGGATCGTCATGATGACTACGACGCTTTGGACGTATTCTTTGAGGTCACCGACGACGTGCAGCAGTCGGTGCAAATCGATGATCGAGACAAGTTGGGCCGGACACCGCTACAGTTGCTTCGTTTTTCCCACTGACAGTTACTTTGGTACGAGGTTTGACCTGGAAAGTAGTTATTATAATTATTTTAAATTGAGACTAGCTTATGCGGGGCTGTAGGCGTCGCCGAGCAACTTAAAAATAGAGGATACGATTTGGATAGATGCGATGTCCGAACGATCATGAAATTTTTCGCCAAGCATGGATTGTTTAAAAAGGTGATAGATCTTAAAAAATGTTGGTACGACGTAAGGGAGTGCGCGATTGAAGTGAAAAAAATTATGATAAGAGATGAAGATCCGAGTCTATCGTTCTAAAACCTGATCCGGTTACGACCTGAAAAGGCGGCGAAACGACTTACGTATATGGATTATCACGAGTTTTCGCTTTCTCGCCAATTGTCGGACAGGCTCTCCAATAGGCATTAGGAGCTTTGCACTGTGAATCTGTGCGAGATGATGTCAAGAAGATTTTTCCGGGACTGGGCGCTAGATTGTTTCTGGGAGTTGATACGAGACTGACTACAGGATCTCTGCTGCGATATGATCGTCAAGAAGCTAAGGAATGAAGATTTATATAATATTTGCGAGGTGGCTGGTATAAAAAAAGACAGTAAAAAAAACAGTGTAAACAATGTAAGTAATAGTGCTAACAAAAGACCTGTGAGAACCAGGAAAGCTCCTGACAGGTTAACATATCGATAATTAACTGTTAAACTTTACTGTATTTTGTTCATATTTGTTCTGTTATTCATATTCGCATCTGTTATTATTATTATTTTTGTTTTATTATTCAATTTACTTTGATGTAAATTTTTTTTGTTATTATTTCATTTTAATTTTATGCAAAATACCATAAAGTTTCATATTTTGCAGCTATTCTTGTGCATGAGCTGCTATATCAATAAATTAATTTCGGTATGCATATTAACTTACAGGACTGGTTTTTATTTCTCAACTTGTTTTGATCTTCATTCCAGATACTGCTTTAGGCTCTATACGGTAAGAAAAGCACGACAATAGGTCAACATCTAATAGTAAACACGTAAAAACGATTTTCAAAAAATCTTTGAAAATGCATCCCTATTCATTGGCTAATTTTAAGACTTGTTTATTCTGTTTTTATTTCCTTTGAATTTTTCTACCTTATAATAAAAATAGGGGTGTGCGAGTACTCGAAAAAGCTCGGCTCGATCGAGTTGAGCTTTTTTGTCGAGTACTCGGCTCGAACTCGATTTTTTGAGTACTCGAATTTTTCGAGTTTTGGTCTACTCAATTATACAATGAGCATTATCATCTATTTTGTAATTGTATGGTCATATAAACGCATTCGTATCTATTATATACAAATGTCGTGACATATGTCGTATAAATAGTCCCGTTCGATTACACAGATACTTTTATACAGCGACTGTTCAAGGGAAAATCAGTAATATTGAAAAATTCAATTTTTCAAATTCAACAACAACGGGTCATGAGCTCGATGCAAAACTTTATATACCGCTGCGAATGCACTTATGACCATGCACATGTCATTGCATCTTTAAGTAGTCCAAAACTCGAAAAAACTCGAGTACTCGAGTATTCCAGACTCGACTCGAACTCGACTCGAGCTCGACGAGCCGAGTTCGAGTCAAGTGATACTCGAAAAATCGAGTACTCGCACAGTACTCCTAGTACCCCTAGCCTTCGGTATAAATAAAGCGTCCATGGGTCCTTCTCTTAAAGTTATGATGGTTCCAATTAGTAAAATATGATATCAAGTACAAAAAATGGCGACTGGAACACGAAAATATATAAAGAAATTTTTAACTCAAAAACGTGGATTCTTAAAATTTATCAAAGAACTCATTCATCAGTAAAATTTTTTTCTCAAATCACCGACGACTCACCGGCCGTGGCTCACTCACAGTTGGCCGTGGCAAATCTCAATCCAATTTTGGTCGATGTGCTTTTAGATCATGATGCTGATCTCACCAGTTTCGCAGCAGAGAACAAAAAATGGCTCCCAAACAATCAGTACGGCTTGCGAAAAAGTAATTCTTGCATCGACAATTTAACTAATTTAATAATCACTGTGGAATACGCGTTTAATGAAAACCTTGAAGCCTACGCTGCTTTTCTTGATATTGAGGGCGCGTTTGATAAAGTCAACATCGAACTATTATTACAGAGGTTGGCCGCGAAGGGTGCTTCTTTACTGGTCGTAAAATTTGTAAAATTTCTCAATGCGGAGCGGTCCATTTTCACTGATCTAAACAAAAAAGATCACACTATAGCCTACTACTATTTACGCCGCTTTGATAACGGACAACCTCACCACGGAGATATTCACATCGTGCTTCGCTGATGACATCGCTGTTTACGTCAAATCGGACCCATTTAAAGATAAACTAGCCTTTCTCGAGGAAACTATAAAAATTCTAGACACAAACATCTCAAACATAGACCTTAGCATCGCTCCAAAAAAATCAAAGTTTTTGCATTTTCACAACTCCCGCTTCAAACCAAAGGACGAACAAATTAAAATAAAATCACACATAATCAAATCAGTAGAAAGTAATAGTCTTAAAAGTGAACATTTCAAATAACTGTAAAAAATGTAATAATTGAAAACCTACATGTAATCTAATTTAATTCTGTTTTCTTAAATAAAAATAGTGTAAATACTTCTTTCGAGGCGAACACACTTTAATATAAAAAGTATCTACTACAGCATATATCAAAAAATCAATTTCATTAAAATCAATTAAAAAAATTTAATTCACAATTCTAAATGAACCATTCTAAAAATCAGCTGTATAAGAACAGTTGTAAGATGTGTAACGTCTTCATGTACATGTAAAAATTTAATTGGATACCAAGCAATTCAAGTGATTCAATCGAAAACAAAATAATTAAAAACTTGAAATATAAATTCAAAAAAATTAAAGTATTTCAATTTCCAATTAAAAATTTTACAATAATAAAAAAACCTCGATAAAAACCGCTACAAGATGTGTAACTGAAGTTAAATTTGATAGCAAACAATTTCAAAAATATAATCCAACTAAAACAAAAAGGTATTTGATGTTATGTTTCTAGTGGTTTTATTTGCTAATATTTAAAGTCGTAAGACGACTGTTCCAGTACCCAGCCAGTAATGTTTTAATATCCGGCCATTTTTTGTAAAATTGTGACAAAAAATTACAATTTTAATGTTGAAAATAAAAAATTTGAATATTACTCTTCTAAGCTGTTTCAATTCACAAAGAGAGTAATTTTAAATAAAAAAGTGGCTAGTATTTAGTCTCGAGAAACATCCCTTTGCACCGATATCTGTAAACTTTTCATTGGAAAATATTTCAATGGATTTATTTAAAAAAACGTTGTTAAGCAAAAAGTATCTTTGTTAACTAATAATGAAATTGATTATAAGATTTAAATCATTTTAAAACTTGTCCAAACATTTTTAACTTGATCGAAAACAAAAATTTACGAATTAACGAGAATGATATTTCACGAAGTAAAAAAGTATCTGTAATAAGTCTCGGTTTTGCCTTACGATACGTCAAGTGAGATTATTGTAATGGGAGCTCGTTTGAAACGAGGACAACGTACATTTATTATATATCGAAGAAAATATGTAATGCTTTCACTATGCAAAGGTTTTTTCTAACACATGCTCGAGACTCTGAGTTGAATAATCAGAATCAATAGGCAGGATTGTTTTGTGAAGTAAAGCGTCCTTGTAAGTCAGTTTTGATTGCACGTCAATCGAAGGGATTATTATTTGCAGTTATATACGTCGACGAGTATGTTTGACGGACATAAATCGTATACGCGGGTGAAGACGTTTGCAATAGATGGGTTGAAAAAGAAGTCGGCTGCAGTCGGTAAGTATAGTATATCGGCGAGTAACGACTGCAACGGCGAAAATAGCCAACTCCTTGGATCGAGCTTGCGCGGGCCGGGGAAGAGGAAATGAGCGAGCGAGTCGCGCGTCAGGCTCGTAGAATCGCAGTCGGGCATGTATGGTCGATGAGGCAAGAGTACTCGGAGATTCGAAAGAGTCGGCAACGGAATTATGGCGGAGCTGCAAAGTTGGCGTAAAAGAGATTAACGAGGCGACGCTTATTTAACATCGACGCCTCGGTTGGTCTCGCGAGTCGCGCTAATGAGTACAAATGTGACTGCTTACGCGAGCTAACAGCCCGAGAGTTGGCAATTCGACTCGCTGAGCTTTGCTACTCGGAGACTCGACTCGCTGCATACATAAAATAGTGTACAATAAGCAAGGGCTGAACTAGACGCGCTCGAGCTCTTACGCTCGATTAAACGCGCGCTTCTCGCTCGGTCTGGTGTCGGGCGCGCGTCTCCTTGTTTTTCCTCCTCGAGGCCAAGCAGCCAAGGCCCGCCTCGAATGCTGCGAGGACTTTGAGGATATATCAGCGGGCCGGATTCGACGCGGCCGGATAGCCAAAGTTGCCAAATATAATGCCAGCGTAGATTTACGAACGGGCCCAGCTCGAGCGCTACTTCCTGCAGCTGTTTGTAAACGTACTTTTGGCCCGCGAGGCAGAGAGAGCTATTCGATACGCGTTCGATAAGCTGCGTATCTGCAGCAGAGGGCAAGCTTGCAGCTGCAGCCACAAGTTCGCTCTTCGCTTTCGACGTCGCGAAATTAGAGCAATACATTATAATTGCGCGCTGGGATATCGATGCGGACTTGCTCTTGCCGCCGAGGAGAAATTCTCGCTCTCGGATGCTAGCGATATCACGTTCGGAGTTGTGCGCCGCAATTGTGCGAATCGGCAAGCCTAGCGACACGGCCCTGCCAACTGCGAGTAATCTCGAGCGTAAGCCAAGCAGCCCGAAAAGAGAGAGAGAGAATATATACACGGGGCGTCGGAGTCGTGCCTTTGACTCGCCGAGCCCGGAGCAACTGCTGCGGCCCTGCGCGCACGTCCATAAGCAGCGATAACGATATTATCGCTCGCCATTTATTGCTCCGAGAGCGTCTAATTTCGTCTTTGTACTTTGCACGGTGGCTGTGTATACACGAGCATTGCCTCCTGCATAGATTCGCAACTTCTCTCGCGTCTCTCTCTCTCTCTCTCTCTCTGATTTACTACTTGCGAAACGACTTGCTCGGCGCACACAGCAAACCTATATATTATAATATTATGAATCGTACGCGTGTGCAGCTGCAGCGAGCGGAGCAAGCGAATTTATAGGGCCTCGTCTCTGAGCACAGCTACAAAGTCAACGAATATCGAGAATCGAGCAAACGTCTCTTTTCGTCCTAATGGTATAAATCAGCCGAGTGCGGGGCTTGGCTCGCAACTTTGCCTCATCGAGTCAAATTAGCCGCGCCAGGCCAAGAAATTAGCGTCGACAGAGGCTACTAAAAAAGTTCCCCCGGCTGTCGCTCTTATCTAAAGGGCAAAGAAAGGGTTGTCGCTCGGGCGTCGTAGGCTCGGCCGGTGCTTCGAGCACATAACTTGGAATATACACAGAAGAAGCTGCTGCGGTGGAGCCTGTGCGGGCGCGTTCGGCCGTTAAGCGTGGTAAGCATGAAAAATGGCGA